TAGGAATGTGGCAGCAGCACTAGAGTGCAGAGAGGAGGCGGCAGCTGCTCTCCTAGCTGCCAGATGCTGAGTCAGGTGGGCTGGAGCCTGCGAACAGAGCGAGCGCCCCAATCCCCCCACTTGGGAATGTGGCACCCACGCTGCTTCGCCTGGATTTCGCTTGGGGTCGGGCTTGGGAACGAGGGGAGGGAGGGAAGGCGAAGGGATGGGAAGGTCAACCTGCCCAGCATAGTTCCCCCACCGCTGGGGGAGAGTTGCCAACTTCCAAGTCTCCTTACTCTGGAGTCACTTACATTCTGAGGAGCCACCCAACTCCACTTTGTAGCAAGGAAAGAGGCGCTTCCCATCAGAGGGAAGAGAAGGGAAGGGAAGGTAGTGGTGGCAGTCACTGCTGGGACAAGCTGCTCGCTCAAAACAGAAGTGTGCACTCAAATTGGAGCACGTTCGGCTTCCGAAAAGGGTTCAAAAACTGGAACACTCATTTCTGGGTTTGAAGTGTTCGGGTTCCAAGTAGTTTGAGAACTAAGCTGTTTGAAAACCGAGGTACCACTGCATTTAAAAATATTAATATCTTATTGAAATATATTTTGTTCATAAAGATGTAATAAGAGAAAGGAATAAAAAAGGGAAGGAGTGTGTGGAAGAACGATTTTTAAAAGAGGAAAAAAATTGTGGAACAAATTCAGTGTAATAAAAATAAATTTCCCTTTTATATCATATAGATGTTAAGTGGTATTGTTACACTAATATCCAGTTGTCCCTTGGTTCTCGAACGGTTCTGTTCGACTCCCAGAACTGATCAAAAACCAAGGCGCTGCTTCCAATTGACTTAGCTTCCTGTACTCAATTGGAAGCTGCGCTGACCATTTGACTTCCGAAAATCGTTCGAAAACCGGAACACTCATTTTGAATTTTCAATCATTTGGGAGCCAAAGCATACACGTACCAAGGCATTCAAGTTCCAATGTATGACTGTATATATAGAGAGAAACTAATTAGAGCCTCAGGAAGAACGACCGTTCACAATTGTTGATTACTGAACATCGCTAATGAACAGTTGTGAAATAAGAAGAAATGAAGGGAATTAGATGGGAATTCTTACTACAGAGTTCACTGACTTTGTTGGCTGGTATTAGCTGACATACTTACGGGAACCTGAGATTCAATTAATTTTGTTTGGCCCAATCACGAAATCTGCTCTGTCTCCATTGTATGACAGATATTCGCAGACAACACCGCCAATCACCCTCCATTCCAAATGATTTCTGGGGGCATTAGATTTCCAGGTGGTGTAGGTGGCGCTACTGAGTTCCATCCAAACCTTGGAGATTCATCGCAAGGAGAAATTTATGGAATTTCAAAACAGATATGATGATCCTCAGAGAATCTTACCCAGAGAATCCAGGAGTCCATGATTCTCCTCCATGACCTCCTTATACAGAGCTCTCTGGTCAGGATCCAGCAACGCCCACTCCTTGTCCGTGAAATTAACAGCGACATCCTCAAAGCACACCAGACCCTGAAAGAAAAAGGGAAATGTCCTCCTCTTAGACAGCATAAAGATGATCTACCACACATTGCTCCGTTGTTTTCTGCCTGTTAATTGCTGTGTTGTTTAAATGGGATTGTTTTGCTCCACATGGTATGAATGCTTATTTTAACATCTTGCTGGAATTACTTTATTATTTTAATGATGGGTCCTAATCTTTGTGTAAATGGGTGGAACTCCACATTTTTTTCTTCCAAGCATTCTGGCTGCCCCACCCCTCGGCCTCTCTCCCTACAATTCTCATGCCCCCTACCTGATCTGCTTCTATAGCCGCTGCTTCTCCTTCTCCACCATGAAAAGACACATGAGGTCTTGCTGGCATCATCCGGTCACCTGCCAGAGACAAAGGGAAGTGGGAAGCCATGAATGCCTGCTTTTCTCCGATGTTCAGGACTGCATCTCTAATTTCAGATGGACTTTTGAAGAAGTCTATCCTACTGAGACATTTGTACAACTTCATCTTTTAGTTGTGCAAAAATACATCTCTGCTCCTTTGGGCTCTTGGGCCCAACCACATCCCCATAAAAGAGGAAAAGAACCCACGGAATCGAATCCCTAGGATGTGACCAAAGAGAGAAATAACACTCTCCTTACCCAGTGGTCTCTCTCTGGTTTCCATCGGAGTCCTCCTTGCCTCTGAGGAATCGGGACCCATTTCTGCCATCAGATCCTTTCCCTGAAAGAGCAACAAAGATTCCAAAGAGATAATTGGGAGGAGGATTAGAAAAGTAACGGAAGAGGCAAACACTCTAGGGGTACCAGATCGCATTCCTAGGATCCGATCCATAAAGGGATGGGACATTAGTACCACATTTTGGGATACCCTTGCTCTGGTTTGGAGCCCCTTGGGAATTTCCAGAGGAAAGTCTCTCTCACCTGCTGCTCTGCCTGCTTCCTCTCCTCTGCCTGACTCAAGAGGAAACCTTCGGCCAGGGCCACTGCCTGGGAACTGGTCTCCGCTCCACATTCCCTCATCCAGCTCTCTATCTCGGGTGGAAGGACAGCCAGGAATTGCTCCAAGATCACCATGTCCAGCATCTCAGCTTTTGTGTTCCTTTCTGGCTTCAGCCACTGACAGACAAGGTGGTAGAGTCGGCTGCAAACCTCTCGGGGTCCTTTGGCCTCCTGGTAGAACTGCTTGAGTTGCTGGCTCTGAACATCTGAGCAGAGGGTGTCCTCCTCACATAGGATCTTCCGCATAGCGTTTTCCCAGAATCCCTCAGTGCTCCCATCTTCAGTGGCCGGGCCTATTCCTGCTTTAGGTCCAGCCGAGTCTTGCTCATCCATCTGTGCTCTCAGGAAGCTTCCAAGAGATGAGAAGGAGTCCCTTTTTTCTTCTGCAAAGTTCTTCCCGTCCGAATTAGAGGTGCTGGCAAACCCTACAAAGCAAATGCATTGTTCTGTTATAAAATTGGCACTCTGTCAAGATCAGAAAAATGTCCCCAGACAAACGTGGATGGCTTTTGCTAGCAATCAAGGCTGCACTTCAGACTCTGAACATATTGTGGTTGTAAGTTGTTTTAAGCTGTTTTTAAACTCCACGAGAGAAAAATAAAGACTCGGGGGGAGAGACACCATCAGAATTTGTCTTAATCTGGCTGGTCTAAATTTAAATATAAGCAGAAGTTACTATCTCTTGGGTAGGGGGGGGACACACACCATCAGAATTTGGCTCAGTCTGGCTGGTCTAAATTTAAATTTCAGCGCAGTACTGTGGGACCTCGACTTACAAACACGTCAGGTTACAAACGATTCAGGTTACAAACTCCGCTAACCTGGAAGAATTACCTTGAGTTGAGAACTCTGCCCCAAGTTGAGAACGGAAATCGTGTGCCGGTAGCGAAAGCATGTCTCAGGTTAATAACAGTTTCAGGTTAAGAATGGACCTCCGGAACGAATTACAGTGGTACCTCGGGTTACATACGCTTCAAGTTACAGACTCCGCTAACCCAGAAATAGTAATTTGGGTTAAGAACTTTGCTTCACCATGAGAACAGAAATCGTGCTCTGGCGGCGCAGCGTCAGCGGGAGGCCTCATTAGCTAAAGTGGTGCTTCAGGTTAAGAACAGTTTCAGGTTAAGAACAGACCTCCAGAACGAATTAAGTTCTTAACCCAAAGTACCACTGTAATAGTAATACATAATTATTACTATGACTATTACTATTACTACTACTACTACTACTTCTGTTATGCCGCCCATCTGACTGGGTTGCCCCAGCTACTCTGAGCAGCTTCCAATAAGATGAACATCAAACACAGTAAGGCATCAAAGAGTAAAAACTTTTCTTCATCAATACAGCAATTATTCTCCTCGCTTTGAACCTCACCCCCACCCCCGAATTCATCCACAGACCAAGATTTTCCGCTGTTTCATTGGTAGCAGAAGAGAAAAATAACTCTTACTTACACTTAATCTAAGCACAACCAAAAGGCCTCTTGACTAGGTGTTTGGCTATACGATGTGAACTGCTAACCTGTTAATTCTTCTCTATCCTGTTTCCCTTTCTTCTGTTTAAGACAATTCACGAACCCAGAACTCAATAGAATGACCACTAATAACAGAACATGTCACATATATCCCTGCACATTTACAGAGGACCCTCTGGATACGAATGTAATTTGTTCCGGGGGTCCGTACGTACCGCAAAAACTCTGCAAGTAGAGGCACTGCTTCTGTGCATGTACATAAAACACTTTGCGCATGCAGCAAATCCCGGGAGAATACACTTCCGGAGTTGCCATGTTCGCAACCTGAAAAAAGGAAACGTAGCCCGAGAGTCCACTGTATTACGGTATTTTGCGATATCGATGAAGAAATCTTCACCCAACTTGGGCACATACCCATGACCAAGCAACCCCCTCCCCTTTCATGGCGTTTGCTCTGGGGGACCTTCCTCCCCAAGTCTTTCTTTCCTCTCATCTCTAGGAATCCAGTTTAGTTCCTTTTAACTCTATGGAGAGCAGGAGCCCACAGAGAGAGGCTTTCTTCTGGGGAGGGTGGGACCTCCTTGGCAGGCAGAGGAGCAGCTTGTAGGGGTTAAAGGCTGTGTCAGAAGCAAGGGGAAGGGGGTTCAATGGCATGCCACTTGTTCCCTCGGCAAAGGAAGGAGGGGGGAGGATGCTCCCTGCCTTGGGTATCCTCCCCCTGCAGCCCTGGGACCCCCCTTCTCCCCCGGGCGCCCCAAGGGGAAAGAGAGAGGAGACTCACTGGATCCCAGGAGGGGCCACCGAGGCAGCCTTGGCAGAGGACGGAGGAGGAGGGGCTTCCGCTCTGGAGGACCTGAGACCCCCGCCCCCACTTCCTGGCCTCTCTAGGATTCCAGCTCGGCTCCTGTTAACCCTTGGCAAGCCGAGCGCACAGAGGGCAGAGGAGGCTCTGAGCAGCTGCGCATGCTCCCTGCCGGCGACCCGGACGCCTCAGAGCACGAAACGGGGAAAGGGAGAGGCGGAGGGAGGGCGGGGCAAGGACCAGTGACGAAGCAGACCTGGCCCCGCCCCTCCGCCGGGAAGGCGGCGGTGGCTGCTCTGAGGGAAACGGCTTTTCCCGCCTTTTCCCAACTTCCCGCCTTTCGAAACCTGACCTTCCCCTCAGTTTTAGGCGCCAAGGAGGCCGATTCCTGGCAGACCAGGTGGCAATTTTCCTGGGCTCCCTCGTTTATCGGGGGATTTCTTTTCATTCTGCGTGATTTCTGTTCATATCTCTTGCTTTTGGAGCTTCTATCTGCTTCTTTAGAAAGGCATTTTCCTTTATTAAAAAAGTCCCTTTCACCAAGTTTTGCCTGCATGCCATTAAGTATTTAAATCCATTTATTCAAATGGATTTCGAAATAGTCCTTTATAGTGCCATCCCTCCCCCCCACTCCTCCTCCGCTGCTACTGAGGAGAAATGAAGAGGCTCATCTGCCTCAGGCGTTGCACTTGTGTCTGTCTGTCTGTCTGTGTGTGAGAGAGAAAACGGGTGCAAGAAGGGCCCAAGGATCCTGTAGTGGCCCCAGCAGAAGCCATCCACCATGGCCTTGAAGCCTTGCAGGTAGTCCTTGTCCCACTTTTGGATGTGGGGCTCCTCCTCCGGGAACATGGCCACAATCTTCCCTCGGTCGTCAGCAAAATAGAAGAGCTCCTGCCAGTCAAAGAAGTACCTGTACAGGTAGCGAACCCACTGCATGCTGTTGGGAGAAGTGGCAACCCTGCTTCATCTGGTATAGGGTGTGTTGGGGGGGCAGGAGGGGCGTAAAGGGAGGTCAGGTGTGGGAGGGGAGCGGGAACAGGCAGATACCCTTGCTCCCTCCTGCCATCGTGGCAGCACCCCATCTGCCCCCCACTCCAGCTAAGGATCAAGTCACATCATGCAGGGTTGCCACCTGCCCTGTATAATACGTTGGATGGATCAGAGTCATTTATTCCTAGAAACAACATTGTGTGAAGTTTCCAGAAGATGGGTTATTATAATGGGTTATTATAACAGGTACAAGGAAAATAGAGAAAAAAGTGAAATATTTAGGAGTGTGATGTTGTTGTTGTTTAGTCATTTAGTTGTGTCCGACTCTTCGTGACCCCATGGACCAGAGCACGCCAGGCACTCGTATCTTCCACTGCCTCCCACAGTTTGGTCAAACTCATGCTGGTAGCTCAGAAGAACAGTGTCTAATCACCTCGTCCTCCATCGTCCCCTTCTCCTTGTGCCCTCCAATTTTCCCAACATCAGGGTCTTTTCGGCAAATAATCCTAATATCAAAAATGATAATGATGTGAAGATTTGGAAAGAAATAGAAATAGTGATAAGAATGAAACTATCATGGATGGTGAGAATCTTGGCGATAAAAATGAATGTAATAATAAATAATTTTGAGACCTGGACTTTTATATCTCACACTCATTTGTCCCCCATGTTGATTTCCCTTACTTGTCTTTGCTTCCATTGGGAAAAACCACCTTGGTGTTTTGTTTTCAGGCTCACCCAGATTCAATGACGCACTGCCATATATCCTTACAATGACTGCAAAATTCCCTCCCTTGTCTCCCCATTGTTTGGGGGTGTGCAAGATTTACAGCCTATCATGACCACCTAATTAAAATAGTAAATTCTCCACCACTGTTGACATTTCCCATTCCCATGAATTCATCGACCTTCTCTCCTACAGTGTAACCTTGGTTTCCAAACTCATTCCATTCCGTGAGTCTGTTAGATTCCTGAAACAGTTCAGGAACCAAGGCGCGGCTTCTGATTGGTTACAGAAGCTTCCTGCAGCCAATCAGAAGATGCGGAAGCCATGCCGCGCATTCATGGCTTCTGATTGGAAGCTCCTGCAGCCAAGCAGAAGCCATGGAAGCAGCACCAAGCATTTTCTTCCAGAAACTGTTCAAAAACCGGAACAATTACTTCCGGTTTTCATTCATTTGGGAGCTGAAGCGTCTCGGCATACAGGAGCTGAGGTTCCACCGTATTTGTGAATTCCCTTTTTGGGTCTTACCTCTTCAACCCTTGACATACTAGTTTTAGCAAGAAAGCCACATCCTGGCCACTTTCAAGACATTAGCTCCCTAGTTCTGTTCTTCTTGCTAACATCTTAACCACAATTTGTTCTAAAGATACAACTTCCCTGTAGGTAGCCTAGCCACAAGCTATATTAAAAATATGCTAACTGTTGCAACCTACGCCCTAGCTGTTGCAACCTTATGACCTTTATGAAAAAGCAATAAAAGCATCATTTATTCTGGAAAAGCAATCTGAAAAGCTCCAATTATCATTCCTTACATGGGATACCTACAATGATCTGCTAAGACATTTGAGGGAGAAACAAAAATGTAAAAATTAAGAAATTTTTGTATTGGACTGGCCAAGCTATCATCAGATTTGTTTAATAATAATTTTTATTAGTTATCAGTTACACTGTCGCTTAATCACCCTTTAAATAGGAGAAGATAAATAATTGTACTCTATAGAACAAAAAAGCCTGTCCTGTTTGTTTTTAGGTTTCGGTACCAACAAATCCTGCCTAGTTCTTTTAGCCCTTTCAAAGGCTGTTTGAATTAACTCCTGCGGATAGCCTCTATCTCTTAATGAAGAGGAATGACTATTGGAAGAACGCTATCTCGCAACTGCTCCTACGTTTATGGTTTTGTGCTTCCAGTGAATGACTATCTGCAGAACGATTTGTTTGCTCCAGCTGTGTAATGTAATACTTACCGCATACACAACCGATATAGTAAAGAGAGACATTAGTTCATTCTATGTTTATGAGTATCTCCAGGCTTGGTTATGCACATTGCACTTTAGTTTGCTTTTTGTTTAGTAGGTTTATGAGTTTATATACCTATTCTAGTAAAATTGTCCTTTATATTTGTATTCATAAGACAGCTTTGGTGTTGTTGGTTTGTTGTATAATTGATGATTTTCTTTACTTCGGCATTCCAAAATCTTATAAATTTCAATTACATTACAGTCATAATAATAATCCCTTATACAACAACTGTAATATTAATAACTTCTGTTTGTGTTGACACATTAAATGATTTATAAGACTACAAATGAAGGATTCAAACTACCTCCTTGTTCTGGCAATTATCCAGTGTGGGGTGCCACAGGGTTGTGTCTTGGGCCTGGTCTTATTCAACATCTTTATCAACGACTTGGATGATGGACTCAAGGGCATCCTGATCAAATTTGCAGATGACACCAAACTGGGAGGGGTGGCTAACACCCCAGAGGACAGGATCACACTTCAAAACGACCTTGATAGATTAGAGAACTGGGCCAAAACAAACAAGATGAATTTTAACAGGGAGAAATGTAAAGTATTGCACTTGGGCAAAAAAATGAGAGGCACAAATACAAGATGGGTGACACCTGGCTTGAGAGCAGTACATGTGAAAAGGATCTAGGAGTCGTGGTTGACCACAAACTTGACATGAGCCAACAGTGTGACGTGGCAGCTAAAAAGCCAATGCAATTCTGGGCTGCATCAATAGGAGTATAGCATCTAAATCAAGGGAAGTAATAGTGCCACTGTATTCTGCTCTGGTCAGACCTCACCTGTAGTACTGTGTCCAGTTCTGGGCACCACAGTTCAAGAAGGACACTGACAAACTGGAACGTGTCCAGAGGAGGGCAACCAAAATGGTCCAAGGCCTGGAAACGATGCCTTATGAGGAACGGCTAAGGGAGCTGGGCATGTTTAGCCTGGAGAAGAGGAGGTTAAGGGGTGATATGATAGCCATGTTCAAATATATAAAAGGATGTCACATAGAGGAGGGAGAAAGGTTGTTTTCTGCTGCTCCAGAGAAGCGGACACGGAGCAATGGATCCAAACTACAAGAAGATTCCACCTAAACATTAGGAAGAACTTCCTGACAGTAAGAGCTGTTTGGCAGTGGAATTTGCTGCCAAGGAGTGTGGTGGAGTCTCCTTCTTTGGAGGTCTTTAAGCAGAGGCTTGACAACCATATGTCAGGAGTGCTCTGATGGTGTTTCCTGCTTGGCAGGGGGTTGGACTCGATGGCCCTTGTGGTCTCTTCCAACTCTATGATTCTATGATTCTATCCTGTCCGTAGTGTTCCTTCCTGTCCTTGTAAAATGTTATGTCTATCTTTTCCCGGTTGTTGCTATTACCTAAAGTGGTTAGAGAAACCCAGCCAGATGGGCAGGATAAATCATCATCATCAAAAATACCTCATCTGTTGTGATGGACTGACGCTCCATTAACACTGAGGAGGAAAGGGAACAGAGTCACCTGCTCAAGGAATATATGCCAGACACTGACAAAAATGTCTCCGGTCAAGATCTGGTGCTCACTCCACAAGCTTACTGCTGTTCCCAACAGCCTTTGATGTATAATACACAGATAATTCTTTCTCCCTTGGGGACGCAATTCTTTGCTCCTGGCATGCACTCAGGAAATGGTTTGAAGGATCGAAGGAGAAGAGTAGCAAGAGATTTCTAGACCTAGCCTTCCCACAAAGAAAAGCCTGAATTCAACATCTTGGCCATTGACTTCCACACTGCAGATCTGGATACGTATTTGAAGAATATTGGGCACCGGGTTAGCACTCGATAGCTTTGAGAGGCAGGGCTGACTTCTCTGCTGAGCTGAAGAAGCACAAGAACACTGTTGGGAATAGAAATTAAAGTTTCCTGAAATAAAATTACTACACAGCAATTGCTATGGTTTCTCCCCACTGTGAGTTCTTTGATGGGAAGTGAATTTGTAGCTGTGACTGAAGCTCTTTCCACATTCCTGGCACTGATAGGGTTTCTCCCCTGTATGACTTCTTTGATGGGAAGTGAGAGAGTCACTCCGACTGAAGGTCTTTCCACATTCCAAGCACTGATAGCGTTTCTCCCCTGTATGAATTGTTTGATGGGAAGCAAGATTGCTACTCCGACTGAAGCTCTTTCCACATTCCAAGCACTGATAGGGTTTCTCCCCTGTATGACTTCTTTGATGGGAAGTGAGAGAGCCGTTGTGACTGAAGCTCTTTCCACATTCCTGGCACTGATAGGGTTTCTCCCCACTATGAATTCTTTGATGGGAAGTGAGAGAGTTGCTCTGACTGAAGCTCTTTCCACATTCCAAGCACTGATAGTGTTTCTCCCCTGTATGAATTGTTTGATGGGAAGCAAGATTGCTACTCCGACTGAAGCTCTTTCCACATTCCAAGCACTGATAGGGTTTCTCCCCTGTATGAACTCTTTGATGGAAAGTGAGAGAGTTGCTCTGACTGAAGCTCTTTCCACATTCCAAGCACTGATAGTGTTTCTCCCCTGTATGAATTGTTTGATGGGAAGCAAGATTGCTACTCCGACTGAAGCTCTTTCCACATTCCAAGCACTCAAAAGGCTTCTCCCCTGTATGACTTCTTTGATGGGAAGTGAGAGAGCCGTTGTGACTGAAGCTCTTTCCACATTCCAGGCACTGATAGGGTTTCTCCCTGTATGACTTCTTTGATGGGAAGTGAGAGAGTTGCTCCGACTAAAGGTCTTTCCACATTCCAAGCAGTGATATGGTTTCTCCCCTGTATGAATTATTTGATGGAAAGTGAGATGGGTGCTCTGACTGAAGCTCTTTCCACATTTGAAGCACTGATAGGGTTTCTCCCCTGTATGAACTCTTTGATGGAAAGTGAGAGAGTTGCTCCGACTGAAGCTCTTTCCACATTCCAAGCACTGATAGGGTTTCTCCCCTGTATGAATTCTTTGATGGGAAGTGAGATGGGTGCTCTGACTGAAGCTCTTTCCACATTCCAAGCACTGATAGGGTTTCTCCCCTGTATGACTTCTTTGATGGGAAGTGAGAGAGTCGCTCCGACTGAAGGTCTTTCCACATTCCAAGCACTGATAGGGTTTCTCCCCTGTATGAGTTCTTTGATGGGAAGTGAGATGGGTGCTCTGGCTGAAGCTCTTCCCACATTCGTAACATGGATAGGGTTTCTCCCCTTTATGAATTCTTTGATGGGAAGTGAGAGAGTTGCTCCGACTGAAGCTCTTTCCACATTCCAAGCACTGATAGGGTTTCTCCCCTGTATGAATTCTTTGATGGGAAGTGAGATGGGTGCTCTGACTGAAGTTCTTTCCACATTCGAAGCACTGATAGGGTTTCTCCCCTTTATGAATTCTTTGATGGGAAGTGAGAGAGTCGCTCCGACTGAAGGTCTTTCCACATTCCAAGCACTGATGGTGTTTCTCCCCATTATGGATTCTTTGATGGGAAGTAAGATTGCTACTATGACTGAAGCTCTTTCCACATTCAAAGCACTGATATGGTTTCTCCCCTGTATGACTTCTTTGATGGGAAGTGAGAGAGTCCCTCCGACTGAAGCTCTTTCCACATTCCAAGCACTGATAGGGTTTCTCCCCTGTATGAATTCTTTGATGGGAAGTGAGATGGGTGCTCTGACTGAAGTTCTTTCCACATTCGAAGCACTGATAGGGTTTCTCCCCTGTATGACTTCTTTGATGGGAAGTGAGAGAGTCGCTCCGACTGAAGGTCTTTCCACATTCCAAGCACTGATAGGGTTTCTCCCCTGTATGAGTTCTTTGATGGGAAGTGAGATGGGTGCTCTGGCTGAAGCTCTTCCCACATTCGTAACATGGATAGGGTTTATTCCCAATGGGATTTCTTTGATGAGAAGTGGACTGGGACCTCTGACTAAAGCTCTCTTCACACTTTGAGTATTTATATTGCTTCTCCACTGCGTGGATTCTGTATTGCTCCCACTTGTTATTAATTTCCATTTCATCACCACCTGCAATTATAAAACCGATTACAGTGGTACCTTGGTTCTCAAACTTAAACTGTTCTGGAATTGTATCCCAAAACCAAAGCGAGCTTTCCCATAGAAAGTACAGTGGTACCTCGAGTTACAAATGCGTCAGGTTACAAATGCTTCAGGTAACAAACTCCGCTAACCTGGAAGTAGTTACCTTGACTTTAGAACTTTGACCCAGGATGAGAATGGGAATTGTGTGCCAGCGGCGCGGCGGCAGCGGGAGGTCCCATTAGCGAAAGCATGCCTCAGGTTAAGAAAGGACCTCCGGAACAAATTAAGTTCGTAACTAGAGGTACCACTGTAATGCGAAATGGATTAATCCGTTCCAGACAATTAAAAACAACCCATAAAACAGCAGTTTAACATGAATTTTACTCTCTAATGAGACTGTTGATCCATAAAATGAAAGCAACCAGGGTGCCATCTACTACCCAGTATCACAAAACTGGCAGTGATCTACCCATTGCCATTGGAGGGACAGGGGTGGAAGAGGGGAGTTTAAGGGGGACTCAAACTGGAGGGACTGGGGTGCATGTGGGGAAGGAGGTGGCTAGCTGGATGCGGGAGGGGAGTTTAAGTGGGGGGAACGAAAAACACGCAAACTGGAGGGAAGAGGAGTGCACGTAGGATGCGTGTGGGGAAGGATGTGGCTAACTGGATGCGGGGGGGGGGGGAGGAGTTTAAGTGGGAGGAAGGAAAGGGAGGGAAAAGTTCTCTCTCCCCAAAGCAGCTCTCTCGCTTGCTTGCTCTCCCCTCTGCATGTTTTCCAGCATCTGCCCATGCTCCCCATTCACCTGGGCGAGTCCCAGGGCTTCTGTCTCCACTTTGGGCAGCATGTCAAAGCGGCAGCCTTGGGCCAGCCAGGGCGGTACTGCCTGCACATCTCTGGCGTGATGGAACAGGAATGCAGCAGCAGCACCAGAGCGCAGAGAGGAGGCGGCAGCTGCTGCTCTCCTAGCTGCCAGATGCTGAGTCAGGTGGGCTGGAGCCTGCGCACAGTGCGAGCGCCCTATCTCCTGCTCGGGAATGTAGCACCCATGCTGCTTTGCCTGGATCTTGCTTGGGGTCGGGCTTGGGAACGAGGGGAGGGAGGGAAGGCAAAGGGATGGGAAGGTCAACCTGCCCAGCATAGTTCCCCACCGCTGGGGGAGAGTCGCCAACTTCCAAGTCTCCCTACTCCGGAGTCACTTACATTCTGAGGAGTCACCCAACTCCACTTTGTAGCAAGGAAAGAGGCGCTTCCCATCAGAGGGAAGGGAAGGGAAGGGAAGGTAGTGGTGGCAGTCACTGCTGGGACAAGCTGCTCGCTCAAAACAGAAGTGTGCACTCAAATTGGAGCACGTTCGGCTTCCGAAAAGGGTTCAAAAACTGGAACACTCATTTCTGGGTTTGAAGTGTTCGGGTTCCAAGTAGTTTGAGAACTAAGCTGTTTGAAAACCGAGGTACCACTGCATTTTAAAATATTAATATCTTATTGAAATATATTTTGTTCATAAAGATGTAATACAAGAGAAAGGAATAAAAAAGGGAAAGAGTGTGTGGAAGAACGATTTTTAAAAGAGGAAAAAAATTGTGGAACAAATGCAGTGTAATAAAAATAAATTTCCCTTTTATATCATATAGATGTTAAGTGGTATTGTTACACTAATATCCAGTTGTCCCTTGGTTCTCGAACGGTTCTGTTCGACTCCCAGAACTGATCAAAAACCAAGGCGCTGCTTCCAATTGACTTAGCTTCCTGTACTCAATCGGAAGCTGCACTGACCGTTCGACTTCCGAAAATCGTTCGAAAACCGGAACACTCATTTTGAATTTTCAATCATTTGGGAGCCAAAGCATACACGTACCAAGGCATTCAAGTTCCAAGGTATGACTGTATATATAGAGAGAAACTAATTAGAGCCTCAGGAAGAACGACCGTTCACAATTGTTGATTACTGAACATCGCTAATGAACAGTTGTGAAATAAGAAGAAATGAAGGGAATTAGATGGGAATTCTTACTACAGAGTTCACTGACTTTGTTGGCTGGTATTAGCTGACATACTTACGGGAACCTGAGATTCAATTAATTTTGTTTGGCCCAATCACGAAATCTGCTCTGTCTCCATTGACTGACAGATATTCGCAGACAACACCGCCAATCACCCTCCATTCCAAATGATTTCTGGGGGCATTAGATTTCCAGGTGGTGTAGGTGGCGCTACTGAGTTCCATCCAAACCTTGGAGATTCATCGCAAGGAGAAATTTATGGAATTTCAAAACAGATATGATGATCCTCAGAGAATCTTACCCAGAGAATCCAGGAGTCCATGATTCTCCTCCATGACCTCCTTATACAGAGCTCTCTGGTCAGGATCCAGCAACGCCCACTCCTTGTCCGTGAAATTAACAGCGACATCCTCAAAGCACACCAGACCCTGAAAGAAAAAGGGAATGTCCTCCTCTTAGACAGCATAAAGATGATCTACCACACATTGCTCCGTTGTTTTCTGCCTGTTAATTGCTGTGTTGTTTAAATGGGATTGTTTTGCTCCACATGGTATGAATGCTTATTTTAACATCTTGCTGGAATTACTTTATTATTTTAATGATGGGTCCTAATCTTTGTGTAAATGGGTGGAACTCCACATTTTTTTCTTCCAAGCATTCTGGCTGCCCCACCCCTCGGCCTCTCTCCCTACAAGTCTCATGCCCCCTACCTGATCTGCTTCTATAGCCGCTGCTTCTCCTTCTCCACCATGAAAAGACACATGAGGTCTTGCTGGCATCATCCGGTCACCTGCCAGAGACAAAGGGAAGTGGGAAGCCATGAATGCCTGCTTTTCTCCGATGTTCAGGACTGCATCTCTAATTTCAGATGGACTTTTGAAGAAGTCTATCCTACTGAGACATTTGTACAACTTCATCTTTTAGTTGTGCAAAAATACATCTCTGCTCCTTTGGGCTCTTGGGCCCAACCACATCCCCATAAAAGAGGAAAAGAACCCACGGAATCGAATCCCTAGGATGTGACCAAAGAGAGAAATAACACTCTCCTTACCCAGTGGTCTCTCTCTGGTTTCCATCGGAGTCCTCCTTGCCTCTGAGGAATCGGGACCCATTTCTGCCATCAGATCCTTTCCCTGAAAGAGCAACAAAGATTCCAAAGAGATAATTGGGAGGAGGATTAGAAAAGTAACGGAAGAGGCAAATACTCTAGGGGTACCAGATCGCATTCCTAGGATCCGATCCATAAAGGGATGGGACATTAGTACCACATTTTGGGATACTCTTGCTCTGGTTTGGAGCCCCTTGGGAGTTTCCAGAGGAAAGTCTCTCTCACCTGCTGCTCTGCCTGCTTCCTCTCCTCTGCCTGACTCAAGAGGAAACCTTCGGCCAGGGCCACTGCCTGGGAACTGGTCTCCGCTCCACATTCCCTCATCCAGCTCTCTATCTCGGGTGGAAGGACAGCCAGGAACTGCTCCAAGATCACCATGTCCAGCATCTCAGCTTTTGTGTTCCTTTCTGGCTTCAGCCACTGACAGACAAGGTGGTAGAGTCGGCTGCAAACCTCTCGGGGTCCTTTGGCCTCCTGGTAGAACTGCTTGAGCTGCTGGCTCTGAACATCTGAGCGGAGGGTGTCCTCCTCACCCAGGATCTTCCGCATAGAGTTTTCCCAGAATCCCTCAGTGCTCCCATCTTCAGTGGCCGGGCCTATTCCTGCTTTAGGTCCAGCCGAGTCTTGCTCATCCATCTGTGCTCTCAGGAAGCTTCCAAGAGATGAGAAGGAGTCCCTTTTTTCTTCTGCAAAGTTCTTCCCGTCCGAATTAGAGGTTCTGGCAAACCCTACAAAGCAAATGCATTGTTCTGTTATAAAATTGGCACTCTGTCAGGAACAGAAAAATGTCCCCAGACAAACGTGGATGGCTTTTGCTAGCAATCAAGGCTGCACTTCAGACTCTGAACATATTGTGGTTGTAAGTTGTTTTAAGCTGTTTTTAAACTCCACGAGAGAAAAATAAAGACTCGGGGGGGGGGGAGAGACACCATCAGAATTTGTCTTAATCTGGCTGGTCTAAATTTAAATACAGTGGTGCCCCGCAAGACGAATGCCTCGCAAGACGGAAAAACCGCTAGACGAAAGGGTTTTCCGTTTTGAAGTTGCTTCGCAGGACGAATTCCCCTATGGGCTTGCTTCGCAAGACGAAAATACCTTGCGAGTCCTGAGATTTTTTTCGCTTTCCCCCCCCTTTATCTAATCTGCTAAGCCTTTAATAGCCTTTAATAGCCTTTTAGCAGCTAATCCCCTAAGCCTTTAAGCCTTTAATAGCCGCTAAACAGCTGATAGCGCTAGTAGCGCTAATCCGTCAATGGGCTTGCTTCGCAAGACGAAAAAACCGCTAGACGAAGACTCTTGCGGAACGGATTAATTTCGTCTTGCGAGGCACCACTGTATAAGCAGAAGTTACTATCTCTTGGGTAGGGGGGGGGACACACACCATCAGAATTTGGCTCAGTCTGGCTGGTCTAAATTTAAATTTCAGCGCAGTACTGTGGGACCTCGACTTACAAACACGTCAGGTTACAAACGATTCAGGTTACAAACTCCGCTAACCTGGAAGAATTACCTTGAGTTGAGAACTCTGCCCCAAGTTGAGAACGGAAATCGTGTGCCGGTAGCGAAAGCATGTCTCAGGTTAATAACAGTTTCAGGTTAAGAATGGACCTCCGGAACGAATTACAGTGGTACCTTGGGTTACATACGCTTCAAGTTACAGACTCCGCTAACCCAGAAATAGTAATTTGGGTTAAGAACTTTGCTTCAGCATGAGAACAGAAATCGTGCTGTGGCGGCGCAGCGTCAGCGGGAGGCCCCATTAGCTAAAGTGGTGCTTCAGGTTAAGAACAGTTTCAGGTTAAGAACAGACCTCCAGAACATATTAAGTTCTTAACCCAAAGTACCACTGTAATAGTAATACATAATTATTACTATTACTATTACTACTATTACTACTACTTCTGTTATGCCGCCCATCTGACTGGGTTGCCCCAGCTACTCTGAGCAGCTTCCAATAAGATGAACATCAAACACAGTAAGGAATCAAAGAGTAAAAATTTTTCTTCATCAATACAGCAATTATTCTCCTCGCTTTGAACCCCACCCCACCCCCAAATTCATCAACAGACCAAGATTTTCCGCTGTTTCATTGGTAGCAGAAGAGGAAAAATAACTCTTACTTACACTTAATCTAAGCACAACCAAAAGGCCTCTTGACTAGGTGTTTGGCTATACGATGTGAACTGCTAACCTGTTAATTCTTCTCTATCCTGTTTCCCTTTCTTCTGTTTAAGACAATTCACAAACCCAGAACTCAATACAATGACCACTGATAACAGAACATGTCACATATATCCCTGCACATTTACAGAGGACCCTCTGGATACGAATGTAATTTGTTCCGGGGGTCCGTACGTACCGCAAAAACTCTGCAAGTAGAGGCACTGCTTCTGTGCATGTACGTAAAGCACTTTGCGCATGCAGCAAATCCCGGGAGAATACACTTCCGGAGTTGCCATGTTCGCAACCTGAGAAAAGGAAACGTAGCCCGAGAGTCCACTGTATTACGGTATTTTGCGATATCGATGAAGAAATCTTCACCCAACTTGGGCACATACCCATGACCAAGCAACCCCCTCCCCTTTCATGGCGTTTGCTCTGGGGGACCTTCCTCCCCAAGTCTTTCTTTCCTCTCATCCCTAGGAATCCAGTTTAGTTCCTTTTAACTCTATGGAGAGCAGGAGCCCACAGAGAGAGGCTTTCTTCTGGGGAGGGTGGGACCTCCTTGGCAGGCAGAGGAGCAGCTTGTAGGGGTTAAAGGCTGTGTCAGAAGCAAGGGGAAGGGGGTTCAATGGCATGCCACTTTTTCCCTCCCCAAAGGGGCAAAGGAAGGAGGGGGGAGGATGCTCCCTGCCTTGGGTATCCTCCCCCTGCAGCCCTGGGACCCCCCTTCTCCCCCGGGCGCCCCAAGGGGAAAGAGAGAGGAGACTCACTGGATCCCAGGAGGGGCCACCGAGGCAGCCTTGGCAGAGGACGGAGGAGGAGGGGCTTCCGCTCTGGAGGACCTGAGACCCCCGCCCCCACTTCCTGGCCTCTCTAGGATTCCAGCTCGGCTCCTGTTAACCCTTGGCAAGCCGAGCGCACAGAGGGCAGAGGAGGCTCTGAGCAGCTGCGCATGCTCCCTGCCGGCGACCCGGACGCCTCAGAGCACGAAACGGGGAAAGGGAGAGGCGGAGGGAGGGCGGGGCAAGGACCAGTGACGAAACAGCCCTGGCCCCGCCCCTCCGCCGGGAAGGCGGCGGTGGCTGCTCTGAGGGAAACGGCTTTTCCCGCCTTTTCCCAACTTCCCGCCTTTCGAAACCTGACCTTCCCCTCAGTTTTAGGCGCCAAGGAGGCCGATTCCTGGCAGACCAGGTGGCAATTTTCCTGGGCTCCCTCGTTTATCGGGGGATTTCTTCTCATTCTGCGTGATTTCTGTTCATATCTCTTGCTTTTGGAGCTTCTATCTGCTTCTTTAGAAAGGCATTTTCCTTTATTAAAAAAGTCCCTTTCACCAAGTTTTGCCTGCATGCCATTAAGTATTTAAATCCATTTATTCAAATGGCTTTCGAAATAGTCCTTTATAGTGCCATCCCTTCCCCCCACTCCTCCTCCGCTGCTACTGAGGAGAAATGAAGAGGCTCATCTGCCTCAGGCGTTGCACTTGTGTCTGTCTGTCTGTCTGTGTGTGAGAGAGAAAACGGGTGCAAGAAGGGCCCAAGGATCCTGTAGTGGCCCCAGCAGAAGCCATCCACCATGGCCTTGAAGCCTTGCAGGTAGTCCTTGTCCCACTTTTGGATGTGGGGCTCCTCCTCCGGGAACATGGCCACAATCTTCCCTCGGTCGTCAGCAAAATAGAAGAGCTCCTGCCAGTCAAAGAAGTACATGTACAGGTAGCGAACCCACTGCATGCTGTTGGGAGAAGTGGCAACCCTGCTTCATCTGGTATAGGGTGTGTTGGGGGGGCAGGAGGGGCGTAAAGGGAGGTCAGGTGCGGGAGGGGAGCGGGAACAGGCAGATATCCTTGCTCCCTCCTGCCATCGTGGCAGGACCCCATCTGCCCCCCACCCCAGCTAAGGATCAACAGTCACATCATGCAGGGTTGCCACCTGCCCTGTATAATACGTTGGATGGATCAGAGTCATTTATTCCTAGAAACAACATTGTGTGAAGTTTCCAGAAGATGGGTTATTATAATGGGTTATTATAACAGGCACAAGGAAAATAGAGAAAAAAGTGAAATATTTAGGAGTGTGATGTTGTTGTTTAGTCATTTAGTTGTGTCCGACTCTTTGTGACCCCATGGACCAGAGCACGCCAGGCACTCCTATCTTCCACTGCCTCCCACAGTTTGGTCAAACTCATGCTGGTAGCTCAGAAGAACAGTGTCTAATCACCTCGTCCTCCATCGTCCCCTTCTCCTTGTGCCCTCCAATTTTCCCAACATCAGGGTCTTTTCGGCAAATAATCCTAATAACTAAAATGATAATGATGTGAAGATTTGGAAAGAAACATAAAAAGAAATAGAAATAGTGATAAGAATGAAACTATTGTGGATGGTGAGAATCTTGGCAATAAAAATGAATGTAATAGTAAATAATTCTGAGACCTGGACTTTTATATCTCACACTCATTTGTCCCCCATGTTGATTTCCCTTACTTGTCTTTGCTTCTATTGGGAAAAACCACCTTGGTGTTTTGTTTTCAGGCTCACCCAGATTCAATGAAACACGGGCACATAACCTTTCAATGACTGCAAAATTCCCTCCCTTGTCTCCCCATTGTTTGGGGGTGTGCAAGATTTACAGCCTATCATGACCACCTAATTAAAATAGTAAATTCTCCACCACTGTTGACATTTCCCATTCCCATGAATTCATCGACCTTCTCTCATACAGTGTAACCTTGGTTTCCTTTTTTTTTTTTTTAATAATTTTTATTTAAGTTTTGAACAACGAAGGAAAAAAAAAGAAAAACATACACAATACATATCTCAAAAGAAGAAAAAAAAAGATTACAAAAACACACAAAAGAGAACACAATTCAACAATAAAAAAACAAAAAACATAACAATTAAAAACAATATCTCTTTTCCATTTCCGTTTTTTAGTTTACTTATTTTCTGGACTTCCTCATACCTCCCTCTTTTGTATTCCAATCCAAATTGTTTGTCCAGCAATTTCTTTTCAACTTTTTAAATCCCAATCTTTAACTTTAATATAATATTGTAATATATATCTTCAATTTCTTTAAACCTGATCTTTAATCTTAGTATAATATAACGTTAAAATTTTCCCTCTTAATTGTCAGATTTCCATTTCTTTAAACATCTTTAGTCCTAATCTTAATCTTAGTCTATCATTAACTTTAACCTGTACAGCTGGAAACCGCTTATTTTCAGTCCAACATCACTCTATCATTCTTTAATTTTACAATGTTTCTGAAGATAGTCTTTGAATTTCTTCCAATCTTCCTCCACCGACTCTTCTCCCTGGTCGCAGATTCTGCCAGTCATTTCCGCCAGTTCCATATAGTCCATAAGTTTCATCTGCCATTCCTCCAGCGTGGGAAGTTCTTGTGTCTTCCAATATTTTGCGATGAGTATTCTTGCTGCTGTTGTTGCATACATAAAGAAAGTTCTATCCTTTTTTAACACCATTTGGCCGACTATGCCCAGGAGAAAGGCCTCTGGTTTCTTAGGGAAGGTATACTTAAATACCTTTTTAAATTCATTATATATCATTTCCCAGAAAGCCTTAATCTTTGGGCACGTCCACCAAAGGTGAAAAAATGTACCTTCAGTTTCTTTACATTTCCAACATTTGTTATCGGGCAAGTGATAAATTTTTGCAAGCTTGACTGGGGTTATGTACCACCTGTATATCATTTTCATAATATTCTCTCTTAAGGCATTACATGCCGTAAATTTCATACCTGTGGTCCACAACTGTTCCCAGTCAGCAAACATAATGTTATGTCCAATGTCCTGTGCCCATTTAATCATAGCCGATTTTACCGTTTCATCCTGAGTATTCCATTTCAGCAGCAAGTTATACATTCTTGACAAATTCTTAGTTTTGGGTTCTAACAGTTCTGTTTCTAATTTTGATCTTTCCACCTGGAAGCCAATTTTCCTGTCCAATTTAAATGCCTCCATTATCTGATAATAATGAAGCCAGTCTCGCACTTTGTTTTTAGTTTCTCAAAACTCTGCAATTTCAGTCTATCTCCGTCTTGTTCCAAAATTTCCCAATATTTCGGCCATTTGACCTCCATATTGACCTTTTCAAGGCTTTCGCTTCCATTGGTGACAGCCACCTTGGGGTTTTGTTTTCTAGCAAATCCTTATATCTTAACCAAACATTAAATAGCGCTTTCCTGACAATGTGGTTTCTAAATGCTTTATGTGCTTTGACCTTATCATACCACAAATATGCATGCCATCCAAATACATTATTAAAACCTTCCAAGTCCAAAATGTCAGTGTTTTCAAGAAGTAGCCATTCTTTCAACCAGCAAAAAGCTGCTGATTCATAGTAAAGTTTAAGGTCTGGCAGGGCAAATCCACCTCTTTCCTTTGCATCCGTTAGTATTTTAAATTTTATTCTGGGCTTCTTGCCCTGCCAGACAAATTTAGAAATATCTTTCTGCCACCTCTTGAAACAATCCATTTTGTCCACAATCTGCAAAGTTTGGAACAAAAACAACATTCTAGGCAATACATTCATTTTTATCGCAGCAATACGGCCTAGCAGTGAAAGCTTCAAATTTGACCAAATTTCTAAATCTTTTTCACTTCGGACCAACATTTTTCATAGTTATCTTTAAATAAGTTCCCATTTTTGCTGTCATGTTAATCCCCAGGTATTTAACTTTCTTAACCACTGTTAAACCTGTCTCATTCTGAAACCTCTCTCTTTCAAACGGTGTTAAATTTTTCTCTAAAACCTTGGTTTTTGACTTGTTCAATTTAAATCCTGCCACTTGACCAAATTCCTGAATCAGTTCTAAAACTCTTTTAGTACTAGATTCTGGCTCCTGTAACGTCAATACTAAGTCATCTGCAAACGCTCTCAATTTGTACTGTTTAGTTCCGACCTGTATACCTTTAACCGACTGGTCCCTTCTAATCATATTCAGCAAGACCTCCAGAACCGAAATAAAAAGAAGTGGGGAAATAGGGCAACCTTGTCGTGTCCCTTTTTCAATTTTTAGTTCTTCCGTCACAACATTATTTACAATTAGTTTAGCTTTTTGTTCTGAATAAATTGCACCTATACCATTCTCAAAACCTTGGCCTACCCCCATACCCTGGAGATTCTTCTTCATAAAATTCCAAGAAATATTGTCAAAGGCTTTCTCCGCATCTACAAATATCAAAACTGCTTTGGTGTTTATATTCACTTCTAATTTTTCCAAAATATCAATTATATTCCTCAAATTGTCAGACAAATGTCTTCCTGGGAGAAAGCCCGCTTGGTCTTTATGGATCTCTTCCATCAGCACTTTCTTGAATCTCTTAGCCAAAATATCTGCAAAAATTTTGTAATCCACATTTAATAACGATATAGGGCGGTAGTTCTTAAGCTGTGTCTTTTCAGTCTCTGTCTTTGGTACAAGTGTAATATATGCTTCTTTCCACGACTCTGGTGCTCTTTTCCCCTCCATTATTTCATTGCAGACCTCTTTCAAAGGTTGGATTAACCATTCTTTTAAGGATCTGTAGTATCTAGAGGTCAAGCCGTCTGGTCCTGGAGATTTACCCAATTGCATGTTTTGAATGGCACCTTCTATTTCTTGTTCAGTTATTCTATGATTCAAAATTAATTTATTTTCTTGAGATATTTTTGTAATCCATTTGTTTTCAAAAATTGGTCTAAGTCTGTTTCTTTCAATGGCCCTTGAGTATATAATCGTTTAAAGTACCTCTGGAAACAACTTCTAATCTCTGCAGGGTTCTGTATGTTTCTTCCTTCCACCTCTAAGTTCGTAATCGTATTTAATTTTTGTCTCTTTTTCATTTGCCATGCTAACAATTTACCACATTTATTGGCCGACTCAAAAGTCTTTTGTCTCATTTGTTTAATTTTCCATTCTATTTCCTGATTCATCATTTTCATATATTGTACTTGATATAGCTTTAACTCTCGCAGAATCTCTTGAGATTTGGGATTTACTCTCAGTCTTTTTTCACATTCCTTTATTTTGTCCATTATCTTATCCTTCTTCTCATTTTGAGTTCTTTTCTTTATTGCATTCTGTTGTATTAAGAACCCTCTCATAACTGCTTTACTAGCGTCCCAGAGTACTCTTTTCTCCACGTTGGTACTAAGGTTTATCTCAAAATAATCTCTCAAAGTTTTTTGGGCCTTCTTAAGGAGTTCCTCATCTCTAAATAAGGTGTCATTCATCTTCCATCTGAAGGAGCCAGTTGGTGTCAGTCTCATTTCCATCTTAACAGCATTATGGTCGGAGCAAATTTTCGGGCAGATTTCCACTTTTCTTGTCTTTGGTGCCATTCCTCTAGTTATCCAAATTTGGTCAATTCTTGTCCATGTCATTTTGGCTTCAGAAAAGAAAGTTCCCTCTTTAGCCATGGGATTTCTTATTCTCCAAATATCCACTAAATCCAAGTTGTCTGTCATGTCAAAAAAAGTTTTCGGTAGTCTACCATCCTTGGTAACTACCTGTCTTTGTGCCTTGTCCATATATGTAGATACCACTCCATTCATATCTCCTATCAAGATCATGTTATAATCCATATGGTCCATCAGGGTCTCATGCAACTTCTTAAAAAATTCAGATTTCCCATCATTTGGTGCATAAATTCCTACAATCAGAAATTTTTCTCCTTGTGTTTGAATTTCAATTGCCAAAATCTTCCTTGGTCATCTTTAAAAACAAATTTCGGTGATAAATTGTCTTTTGCATAAATCACAACCCCTCTTTTTTTTACTTTGTCCGACGAAATAAACTCCTGACCAAGTCTTTTATTTATCAACAATTTCCTGTGTAATCTTGTTATATGTGTTTCTTGTAAACAAATTAGATCCAATTGTTCCTTTTTTAATATATGAAATACTGACTTCCTTTTCTGAGGGGAATTCAAACCCCGACAGTTCCATGTTAAAAGTTGCAGGGCCATGATGTTATTATTTTAACTCTCCTCCTACTGCACCTAGTGCCTGTTCCTCGTCCGTCGGTGGTATCACTGTTTTCGAGCGGTCTTTTGGTTCCGGAGATAGTTCTTTTTGTAGGTCTTCTCCGTGGTCTCTCCAAAATTTATCTTTGTCGTCTTCCGATCTTATTTTCCTCTTCTTTCCTTTGTAACTGAAAGATAGGCCTTAGGGAAGTTCCCACCTAAAGTTAATACTATTCCTTCTCAGCAGGGTGACCAAGTCTTTATAGTTTGATCTGAGATCCAGAAGGTATTTCGGAATGTCTTTAAATATTTCAACCCTTGTCCGCTGGATTTCCAGTGTCTTCTTGAAATGCAAACCCAAAATCTTGTCCCTCTCTTCTTTTGTTCGAAAAGTAATCAAACAGTCTCTCACCTTCTTCTCTCCTCTTTTCCCAAGTCTGAAAGCATTTACTATTTTGAAGCTGTCCTTTACCAATTCTGGATCCCAAAAGTCCAAAAATTCCTGCATGAGAAATTCAGCTAGATTGTCCTTTTCCACTTCAGGTACCGATCTGACCCGTAAATTCACTTGTTTTTCCTTCAATTCTATCATAGACAGGGTCAATTTATGGTCTTCCAATTGTTTGTGCATTGATGGTATTGTCTCTTGAACCTCTTTAACCTCTGTAGCAGAAGTTGTAGCAATTTCTTTGGCCTCCTCGGCAATCTGACGTATTGAGGCCGATTCCTCTAATAATTTCTGAATAGTCTCTGTATTAGTGTTTACTTTCTGACCCAAATTGTTTAAGCTTGCTGTATTCTGATTAATACTTGTTGTATTTTGATCAATCTTGTCACATGCCTCTGCTACTTGTTGACTTATTCTATTTAACGATTCATTAACCTTGGCCAAAACTTGAGCAAAGGCATCATCACTTGTCATACCTTTTACTTTTGATTGTGCCGATGAGGCTGTTGTTGGGGTTCCAGAGGCACCTGAAGCCGAAAATCTCCTTTGTAATCCTTCTTCTGTTCGAAAAACCCTGCCCGACCTTGTAGCCTGTGAAGCTTCTGTTCTCTCTTTACCATCTGCCATTCCTTTAGATAAAGCTCAAGGTCAGACACGCAGTTAAATTCAAACAGTGGAAATTCCCAGCAGAGCTGTGTGAAAATTCCTCAAGCCAGCTACAGTTTCAATTATAACAGGTTGTAACAATTCCAAGTTCCACTAGGGGGACACTGTAACAGTCATAAAAGTTCTTGGATACTTTACTTTCTTTTTTAAGTCCCCCCAGTTTATTCAGAAAGATAACAGTCTATCTAAAATAATTACTTGAGACCTGGAGATATATGTCCACATAATATATCCAAATTCATATTTCCTGCGCAGGACTAGCTGTCAAAATATATTTCCAGACAGTACCTCTCATCCGTTTTTGAGTTGCCTCTGGAAATCCGTTCCCAAGGGATTGAGCGATGGTTTAGTCCCTTTTATTTCCACTTCTTTATACAGAAATCAAATCCACAATTCTCCCCCCATTTCCTTTGGTTTAAGGGGGGAAAAAAAATCCAGGTTAGATGATTGGATTAAAGTCCGCTAAAACGTCTTTTCCTGCACTTCCGCTTTCAAGTTCAAAGCTTTATTTTATCTACAATAGAAAGAGGTAGACTTCCTTTTTATACCTCTTCCCGTTTTCGGTCAGATTCAGAATTTATGCAGTCCCAATTACGTTATATCCTACTCACGGATCGTTGATTTTCAAGTCCGAATTCCAAGGAAAAAAGGCAGCGCTCTCCGGTTAACAGCTTGCGGCTTCACTCCACGAAAGAAGCAGACAGCCCACAGCACAGCGCTCCTTCCCCCGCTCCGATTCCGAGGCCGTTGCCGCGCTTTTTACCGGGGGGGGGGACCAAATGTGCCCGCTGGGTCCCAGGTACACAGGCTTCCCCCGCGTGTGGTTCTCAGGTGTCCCCCACTACGCCGAAGCGGGATCCGACCCTATTTTTCGTGGCGAGATTTCCTCCGATCGAGGAAATCCGCCATTAACCGCTGGCGCCACCTCCGGAAGTCCATAACCTTGGTTTCCAAACTCATTCCATTCCTTGAGTCTGTTAGATTCCTGAAACAGTTCAGGAACCAAGGCGCGGCTTCTGATTGGTTACAGAAGCTTCCTGCAGCCAATCAGAAGATGCGGAAGCCACGCCGCGCATTCATGGCTTCTGATTGGAAGCTCCTGCAGCCAAGCAGAAGCCATGGAAGCAGCACCAAGCATTTGGCTTCCAGAAACTGTTCAAAAACCGGAACAATTCCTTCCGGTTTTCATTCATTTGGGAGCTGAAGCGTTCGGCTCCCAAGGCATACAGAAGCTGAGGTTCCACCGTATTTGTGAATTCCCTTTTTGGGTCTTACCTCTTCAAATCTTGACATACTAGTTTTAGCAAGAAAGCCACATCCTGGCCACTTTCAAGACATTAGCTCCCTAGTTCTGTTCTTCTTGCTAACATCTTAACCACAATTTGTTCTAAAGATACAACTTCCGTGTAGTTAGCCTAGCCACAAGCTATATTAAAAATATGCTAACTGTTGCAACCTACGCCCTAGCTGTTGCAACCTTATGACCTTTATGAAAAAGCAATAAAAGCATCATTTATTCTGGAAAAGCAATCTGAAAAGCTCCAATTATCATTCCTTACATGGGATACCTACAATGATCTGCTAAGACATTTGAGGGAGAAACAAAAATGTAAAAATTTAGAAGAAATTTTTGTATTGGACTGGCCAAGCTATCATCAGATTTGTTTAATTATATTTTTTATTGGTTATCAGTTACATTGTCGCTTAATCACCCTTTAAATAGGAGAAGATAAATAATTGTACTCTATAGAACAAAAAAAAAGCCTGTCCTGTTTGTTTTTAGGTTTCGGTACCAACAAATCCTGCCTAGTTCTTTTAGCCCTTTCAAAGGCTGTTTGAATTAACTCCTGCGGATAGCCTCTATCTCTTAATGAAGAGGAATGACTATTGGAAGAACGCTATCTCGCAACTGCTCCTACGTTTATGGTTTTGTGCTTCCAGTGAATGACTATCTGCAGAACGATTTGTTTGCTCCAGCTGTGTAATGTAATACTTACCGCATACACAACCGATATAGTAAAGAGAGACATTAGTTCATTCTATGTTTATGAGTATCTCCAGGCTTGGTTATGCACATTGCACTTTAGTTTGCTTATTGTTTAGTAGGTTTATGAGTTTATATACCTATTCTAGTAAAATTGTCCTTTATATTTGTATTCATAAGCCAGCTTTGGTGCTGTTGGTTTGTTGTATAATTGATGATTTTCTTTACTTCGGCATTCCAAAATCTTATAAATTTCAATTACATTACAGTCATAATAATAATCCCTTATACAACAACTGCAATATTAATAACTTCTGTTTGTGTTGACACATTAAATGATTTATAAGACTACAAATGAAGGATTCAAACTACCTCCTTGTTCTTCTAGTGTGGCAATTATCCTGTCCGTAGTGTTCCTTCCTGTCCTTGTAAAATGTTATGTCTATCTTTTCCCGGTTGTTGCTGTTACCTAAAGTGGTTAGGGAAACCCAGCCAGATGGGCAGGATAAATCATCATCATCAAAAATACCTCATCTGTTGTGATGGACTGACGCTCCATTAACACTGAGTAGGAAAGGGAACAGAGTTACCTGCTCAAGGAATATATGCCAGACACTGACAAAAATGTCTCTGGTCAAGATCTGGTGCTCACTCCACAAGCTTACTGCTGTTCCCAACAGCCTTTGATGTATAATACACAGATAATTCTTTCTCCCTTGGGGACGCAATTCTTTGCTCCTGGCATGCACTCAGGAAATGGTTTGAAGGATCGAAGGAGAAGAGTAGCAAGAGATTTCTAGACCTAGCCTTCCCACAAAGAAAAGCCTGAATTCAACATCTTGGCCATTGACTTCCACACTGCAGATCTGGATACGTATTTGAAGAATATTGGGCACCGGGTTAGCACTCGATAGCTTTGAGAGGCAGGGCTGACTTCTCTGCTGAGCTGAAGAAGCACAAGAACACTGTTGGAATAGAAATTAAAGTTTCCTGAAATAAAATTACTACACAGCAATTGCTATGGTTTCTCCCCACTGTGAGTTCTTTGATGGGAAGTGAATTTGTAGCTGTGACTGAAGCTCTTTCCACATTCCTGGCACTGATAGGGTTTCTCCCCTGTATGACTTCTTTGATGGGAAGTGAGAAAGTCACTCCGACTGAAGGTCTTTCCACATTCCAAGCACTGATAGCGTTTCTCCCCTGTATGACTTCTTTGATGGGAAGCAAGATTGCTACTCCGACTGAAGCTCTTTCCACATTCCAAGCACTGATAGGGTTTCTCCCCTGTATGACTTCTTTGATGGGAAGTGAGAGAGCCGTTGTGACTGAAGCTCTTTCCACATTCCTGGCACTGATAGGGTTTCTCCCCACTGTGAATTCTTTGATGGGAAGTGAGAGAGTTGCTCTGACTGAAGCTCTTTCCACATTCCAAGCACTGATAGCGTTTCTCCCCTGTATGAATTGTTTGATGGGAAGCAAGATTGCTACTCCGACTGAAGCTCTTTCCACATTCCTGGCACTGATAGGGTTTCTCCCCTGTATGAATTCTTTGATGGGAAGTGAGATGGGTGCTCTGACTGAAGTTCTTTCCACATTCGAAGCACTGATAGGGTTTCTCCCCTGTATGACTTCTTTGATGGGAAGTGAGAGAGGTGCTTTGACTAAAGCTCTTTCCACATTCCAAGCACTGATAGGGTTTCTCCCCTGTATGACTTCTTTGATGGGAAGTGAGAGAGTCGCTCCGACTAAAGGTCTTTCCACATTCTAAGCACTGATAGCGTTTCTCTTCTGTATGACTTCTTTGATGGGAAGTGAGATTGCTGCTCTGACTGAAGCTCTTTCCACATTCCAAGCACTGATAGGGTTTCTCCCCTGTATGACTTCTTTGATGGGAAGTGAGAGAGTCACTCCGACTGAAGGTCTTTCCACATTCCAAGCACTGAAAGGGTTTCTCCCCTGTATGACTTCTTTGATGGGAAGTGAGAGAATCGCTCCGACTAAAGGTCTTTCCACATTCTAAGCACTGATAGCGTTTCTCTCCTGTATGACTTCTTTGATGGGAAGTGAGTTCACCACTCTGACGAAAGCTCTTTCCACATTCCAAGCACTGATAGGGTTTCTCCCCTGTATGAATTCTGTGATGGGAAGTGAGAGAGTCGCTCCGACTAAAGGTCTTTCCACATTCCAAGCACTGATAGCGTTTCTCCCCTGTATGAATTCTTTGATGGGAAGTGAGATGGGTGCTCTGACTGAAGTTCTTCCCACATTCGAAGCACCGATAGGGTTTCTCCCCTGTATGACTTCTTTGATGGGAAGTGAGAGAGTCCCTCCGACTGAAGGTCTTTCCACATTCCAAGCACTGATAGCGTTTCTCCCCTGTATGACTTCTTTGATGGGAAGTGAGATGGGTGCTCTGGCTGAAGCTCTTTCCACATTCGTAACATGGATAGGGTTTATTCTCAATGGGATTTCTTTGATGAGAAGTGGACTGGGACCTCTGACTAAAGCTCTCTTCACACTTTGAGTATTTATATTGCTTCTCCACTGTGTGGATTCTGTATTGCTCCCACTTGTTATTAATTTCCATTTCATCACCACCTGCAATTATAAAACCAATTACAGTGGTACCTTGGTTCTCAAACTTAAACTGTTCTTGAATTGCATCCCAAAACCAAAGTGCCCAAGGATTAAGGCTTTCTGGGAAACGATATATAATGAACTGAAAAAGGTATTTAAATATACCTTCTTGAAGAAACCAGAGGCCTTTCTCCTGGGCATAGTCGGCCAATTGGTGTCAAAGGATAGAACTTTTTTATGTACGCTACAACAGCAGCAAGAATACTCATTGCAAAGTATTGGAAGACACAAGATTTACCCACTTTGGAAGAATGGCAGATGAAGCTGATGGACTATATGAAATTGGGAGAAATGATTGGCAGAATCTGAGACCAGGGAGAAGAGTCGGTGGAAGAAGAGTGGAAAAAATTCAAAGATTATCTACAGAAATATTGTAAAATTAATGAATGTTAGAATGATGTTGGATAGAAATTAAGTGGTTTCCAGCTGTAATGCTTTAAGGGAATATGAAAAAAGGGTTATAAATAGGTAAAAATCTAATGCTATTATTTTTAAGATCAAGGATTAGGATAATTAAAGAGGGTAAGGATTTGCTGAACCAACAGACTGAAGTGGAATACAAAAAAGGGAGGTATGAGGAGGTCCGGGAAACAAGCTAAAGGAAAATAAGTAATGGAAAATCTGTGTGTTTTTAACGATTTTTATTTTGTATTTTTGTTTTTTTCCTTCATTTTTATTGTAATATTTTAAAAAATCTTAATAAATATCTTATAAAAAACAAAAAACAAAACAAAACCAAAGCGAGCTTTCCCATAGAAAGTACAGTGGTACCTCGAGTTACAAATGCGTCAGGTTACAAATGCTTCAGGTAACAAACTCCGCTAACCTGGAAGTAGTTACCTTGACTTGAGAACTTTGACCCAGGATGAGAATGGGAATTGTGTGCCAGCGGCGCGGCGGCAGTGGGAGGCCCCATTAGCGAAAGCATGCCTCAGGTTAAGAACGGATCTCCGGAACAAATTAAGTTCGTAACTAGAGGTACCACTGTAATGCGAAATGGATTAATCTGTTCCAGACAATTAAAAACAACCCATAAAACAGCAGTTTAACATGAATTTTACTCTCTAATGAGACCATTGATCCATAAAATGAAAGCAACGAGGGTGCCATCTACTACCCAGTATCAAAAGCTGGCAGTGATCTACCCATTGCCATTGGAGGGACAGGGGTGGAAGAGGGGAGTTTAAGGGGGGGACTCAAACTGGAGGGACTAGGGGTGCATGTGGGGAAGGAGGTGGCTAGCTGGATGCGGGAGGGGAGTTTAAGTGGGGGGAACGGAAAACACTCAAACTGGAGGGAAGAGGAGTGCACGTAGGATGCGTGTGGGGAAGGATGTGGCTAACTGGATGCGGGGGGGGGGGGAGTTTAAGTGGGAGGAAGGAAAGGGAGGGAAAATTTCTCTCTCCCCAAAGCAGCTCTCTCGCTTGCTTGCTCTCCCCTCTGCATGTTTTCCAGCATCTGCCCATGCTCCCCATTCACCTGGGCGAGTCCCAGGGCTTCTGTCTCCACTTTGGGCAGCATGTCAAAGCGGCAGCCTTGGGCCAGCCAGGGCGGTACTGCCTGCACATCCCTGGCGTGATGGAACAGGAATGCAGCAGCAGCACCAGAGCGCAGAGAGGAGGCGGCAGCTGCTGCTCTCCTAGCTGCCAGATGCTGAGTCAGGTGGGCTGGAGCCTGCGCACAGTGCGAGCGCCCCTATCTCCTGCTCGGGAATGTAGCACCCATGCTGCTTTGCCTAGATCTTGCTTGGGGTCGGGCTTGGGACGAGGGGAGGGAAGGAAGGCAAAGGGATGGGAAGGTCAACCTGCCCAGCATAGTTCCCCCACCGCTGGGGGAGAGTCGCCAACTTCCAAGTCTCCCTACTCCGGAGTCACTTACATTCTGAGGAGCCACCCAACTCCACTTTGTAGCAAGGAAAGAGGCGCTTCCCATCAGGGAAGGGAAGGGAAGGGAAGGGAAGGTAAGGTAGTGGTGGCAGTCACTGCTGGGACAAGCTGCTCGCTCAAAACAGAAGTGTGCACTCAAATTGGAGCACGTTTGGCTTCCGAAAAGGGTTCAAAAACTGGAACACTCATTTCTGGGTTTGAAGTGTTCGGGTTCCAAGTAGTTTGAGAACTAAGCTGTTTGAAAACCGAGGTACCACTGCATTTTAAAATATTAATATCTTATTGAAATATATTTTGTTCATAAAGATGTAATACAAGAGAAAGGAATAAAAAAGGGAAAGAGTGTGTGGAAGAACGATTTTTAAAAGAGGAAAAAAATTGTGGAACAAATGCAGTGTAATAAAAATAAATTTCCCTTTTATATCATATAGATGTTAAGTGGTATTGTTACACTAATATCCAGTTGTCCCTTGGTTCTCGAACGGTTCTGTTCGACTCCCAGAACTGATCAAAAACCAAGGCGCTGCTTCCAATTGACTTAGCTTCCTGTACTCAATTGGAAGCTGCGCTGACCATTTGACTTCCGAAAATCGTTCGAAAACCGGAACACTCATTTTGAATTTTCAATCATTTGGGAGCCAAAGCATACACGTACCAAGGCATTCAAGTTCCAAGGTATGACTGTATATATAGAGAGAAACTAATTAGAGCCCCAGGAAGAACGACCGTTCACAATTGTTGATTATTGAACATCGCTAATGAACAGTTGTGAAATAAGAAGAAATGAAGGGGATTAGATGGGAATTCTTACTACAGAGTTAACTGCCTTTGTTGGCTGGTATTAGCTGACATACTTACGGGAACCTGAGATTCAATTAATTTTGTTTGGCCCAATCACGAAATCTGCTCTGTCTCCATTGACTGACAGATATTCGCAGACAACACCGCCAATCACCCTCCATTCCAAATGATTTCTGGGGGCATTAGATTTCCAGGTGGTGTAGGTGGCGCTACTGAGTTCCATCCAAACCTTGGAGATTCATCGCAAGGAGAGATTTATGGAATTTCAAAACAGATATGATGATCCTCAGAGAATCTTACCCAGAGAATCCAGGAGTCCATGATTCTCCTCCATGACCTCCTTATACAGAGCTCTCTGGTCAGGATCCAGCAACGCCCACTCCTTGTCCGTGAAATTAACAGCGACATCCTCAAAGCACACCAGACCCTGAAAGAAAAAGGGAAATGTCCTCCTCTTAGACAGCATAAAGATGATCTACCACACATTGCTCCGTTGTTTTCTGCCTGTTAATTGCTGTGTTGTTTAAATGGGATTGTTTTGCTCCACATGGTATGAATGCTTATTTTAACATCTTGCTGGAATTACTTTATTATTTTAATGATGGGTCCTAATCTTTGTGTAAATGGGTGGAACTCCACATTTTTTTCTTCCAAGCATTCTGGCTGCCCCACCCCTCGGCCTCTCTCCCTACAAGTCTCATGCCCCCTACCTGATCTGCTTCTATAGCCGCTGCTTCCCCTTCTCCACCATGAAAAGACGCATGAGGTCTTGCTGGCATCATCCGGTCACCTGCCAGAGACAAAGGGAAGTGGGAAGCCATGAATGCCTGCTTTTCTCCGATGTTCAGGACTGCATCTCTAATTTCAGATGGACTTTTGAAGAAGTCTATCCTACTGAGACATTTGTACAACTTCATCTTTTAGTTGTGCAAAAATACATCTCTGCTCCTTTGGGCTCTTGGGCCCAACCACATCCCCATAAAAGAGGAAAAGAACCCACGGAATCGAATCCCTAGGATGTGACCAAAGAGAGAAATAACACTCTCCTTACCCAGTGGTCTCTCTCTGGTTTCCATCGGAGTCCTCCTTGCCTCTGAGGAATCGGGACCCATTTCTGCCATCAGATCCTTTCCCTGAAAGAGCAACAAAGATTCAAAAGAGATAATTGGCACGACTTCCGGGTTGGCGCCTCCGGCAATGGCGGAGCTCCTCCGATTGGGAGGAACTTGCTCCGTGGAAAGCAGGGTCTGACCGCCACGGCGAAGGCGGAGACCCATTGAAATCACAAGCGGGAGAAGCTTGTGAACTTGGGATTCGGCGGGTACCTTTTGTGCCTCCCCTACTCGCGGGGAAACCCTGTTTTGGGGATCCGGAGCGACGTGGGGTGAGTGGCGCGGTGCTTCGAATTGACTGCTTCTTTCACGGAGTGAAGCCGCATTGCTGTTGCCGGAGAGCGCTGACTTTTTCCTGTGGACAATTGGACTTTAAACAACTACCCGTGAGTAGAACGGAAAATTGGATCTTTAAATACCTTAATTTGGCACTGAAGCGGGAAGGTCTTAAACAGGAAGTCCGCCTTCCTCTTTTGTAAATAGATTGAAGCAAAGACGTTACAAGCTAAAGTCTTTGAAAGTTTTTGGCAAAGGATTAAATCTCCATCAGTTAAAATTACAAAACTCCCTTTGGAAGCAGGAGAAGAGGGGGGGAAATTTTGGACCTAGAGAGCCTGCAGGAGAGAGTGAAAAATCAAATTACCACTGCTCTGAACCTGGAAACGGGCTGCCAGAAAGAGTTCATTAATTGCGAACAAAACATATTTGACAGCTAGCTAAATAAGAGAAAGATACTGTTTCCATTGTCTTCTTCTGCGTTTAAAAAGGAGGAAAAGTAACTGAAAATTGAAACTATTTTTATGGTTTGAGTTGTGTTTGAAAGGATTGATACAAGTGGAAACTGTTTCCCTCTAGAGGGAGCTTTTGAAACTGTTACAGGAGTGTAACTGGTGAATCACCAGCTGCAAGATAAGGAATTGTGAGAACCAGAGATTGACCTTGGACCATTTAAAAATGTTGACAGGAGAAGCAATTGTGACTGTATTATGTAAGATAAGCTATTCGCTGGAACAGCTTCATAAGAAGACCGATGACATGACTTTTAAAATTGATAACTTGGAACAGAAAGTGATTAACTTGAGACAAAAAGTGAGCACCAACACAGAAATAATTCAGGACTTGGTACAGGAATCTATTTTGGTAGGACAAATTGTGGAGGAGAAGGAGAAAGCACCTAAAGTAATACCAGCGGGATCCTTAGTCTTACAGAAGCAAATTGAGGACTACAAGTTGAGGCCTTTTATGATTGACTCTAGAAAAAGTCAGATTTTGAGGATTGGATCCCGGCTCGGATTGAAGAAGGAAAGTTGGAAAAGATCCCTCTATGCAGGGATTAACTGACCTCTGGGACATGGACTTGGGTCTGGAGGAGATTGAAGTTTTGGGGGCTTTTGGATTTGGAGGAATCTCGAAACACGTCCTGAAATACTCTATGGATCTTAGCTTCAACTATGGAAATTTGGCTGACCAGAAGGAATAAAAGTATTGTTAGGTTGGAGTTTTCCCGAGATTTGCTCTTTAGCATTAAAGAATATGAAGAAGACCTGCAGAAGGGACCTGGAAAAGAGTTAAGGGCCTCGGACATAAGTTCTCCAGGTTGATGGACTATATGGAATTGACGGAAAGGACTGGCAGAATCCGAATCCAGGGAGAGGAGATGGTGGAAGAAGATTGGAAAATTTAAAGTTTATATATAGAAATATTGTAAAATTAATAAGTGATAGAAAAATGGTGGAATGATATTTTATGGCCTTAGCAGAAATGTTATAAGGAGTTAAGCATATATAAGTTTTTTAGTTTTAATGGAAAATAAGGTTAAAAAATATGTTATTTATAATATGATAAAAATAGAGAAAGATGGAAAGGATTTGCTGAAACAATTAACAGAAGTGGAATACAAAAAGGGAGGTGAGAGGAGGTTGAGGAAACAAGGGAATGAAAGATAGAGTATGGAAAAGATGTGATGTATGTTTTTAAATTGTTTTTGTTTTCCCCCCTTTTTTTCATTTAGGGTTAGGGATTGGATTTTGTTTAGTTTAGTTTAATGTGTTTAGTTTAATGGGTTTAGGTTGTGTTTTGTATTGTCGATATATTGTATTGTATTGTCTTTTTTTGCTCTTTTGTCTTCTTTTCTTTTCTTTTCCTCTTTTGTAATTCTTAAAAGCAATAAATATTATTTAAAAACAAAACAAAACAAAAGAGATAATTGGGAGGAGGATTAGAAAAGTAACGGAAGAGGCAAACACTCTAGGGGTACCAGATCGCATTCCTAGGATCCGATCCATAAAGGGATGGGACATTAGTACCACATTTTGGGATACTCTTGCTCTGGTTTGGAGCCCCTTGGGAGTTTCCAGAGGAAAGTCTCTCTCACCTGCTGCTCTGCCTGCTTCCTCTCCTCTGCCTGACTCAAGAGGAAACCTTCGGCCAGGGCCACTGCCTGGGAACTGGTCTCCGCTCCACATTCCCTCATCCAGCTCTCTATCTCGGGTGGAAGGACAGCCAGGAACTGCTCCAAGATCACCATGTCCAGCATCTCAGCTTTTGTGTTCCTTTCTGGCTTCAGCCACTGACAGACAAGGTGGTAGAGTCGGCTGCAAACCTCTCGGGGTCCTTTGGCCTCCTGGTAGAACTGCTTGAGCTGCTGGCTCTGAACATCTGAGCAGAGGGTGTCCTCCTCACCCAGGATCTTCCGCATAGCGTTTTCCCAGAATCCCTCAGTGCTCCCATCTTCAGTGGCCGGGCCTATTCCTGCTTTAGGTCCAGCCGAGTCTTGCTCATCCATCTGTGCTCTCAGGAAGCTTCCAAGAGATGAGAAGGAGTCCCTTTTTTCTTCTGCAAAGTTCTTCCCGTCCGAATTAGAGGTGCTGGCAAACCCTACAAAGCAAATGCATTGTTCTGTTATAAAATTGGCACTCTGTCAAGATCAGAAAAATGTCCCCAGACAAACGTGGATGGCTTTTGCTAGCAATCAAGGCTGCACTTCAGACTCTGAACATATTGTGGTTGTAAGTTGTTTTAAGCTGTTTTTAAACTCCACGAGAGAAAAATAAAGACTCGGGGGGGGGGGGGGGAGACACCATCAGAATTTGTCTTAATCTGGCTGGTCTAAATTTAAATATAAGCAGAAGTTACTATCTCTTGGGTAGGGGGGGACACACACCATCAGAATTTGGCTCAGTCTGGCTGGTCTAAATTTAAATTTCAGCGCAGTACTGTGGGACCTCGACTTACAAACACGTCAGGTTACAAACGATTCAGGTTACAAACTCCGCTAACCTGGAAGAATTACCTTGAGTTGAGAACTCTGCCCCAAGTTGAGAACGGAAATCGTGTGCCGGTAGCGAAAGCATGTCTCAGGTTAATAACAGTTTCAGGTTAAGAATGGACCTCCGGAACGAATTACAGTGGTACCTCGGGTTACATACGCTTCAAGTTACAGACTCCGCTAACCCAGAAATAGTAATTTGGGTTAAGAACTTTGCTTCAGCATGAGAACAGAAATCGTGCTCTGGCGGCGCAGCGTCAGCGGGAGGCCCCTTAGCTAAAGTGGTGCTTCAGGTTAAGAACAGTTTCAGGTTAAGAACAGACCTCCAGAACGAATTAAGTTCTTAACCCAAGGTACCACTGTAATAATTATTACTATTACTATTATTATTACTACTACTACTACTACTTCTGTTATGCCGCCCATCTGACTGGGTTGCCCCAGCTACTCTGAGCAGCTTCCAATAAGATGAACATTAAACACAGTAAGGCATCAAAGAGTAAAAACTTTTCTTCATCAATACAGGAATTATTCTCCTCGCTTTGAACCTCACCCCCACCCCCGAATTCATCCACAGACCAAGATTTTCCGCTGTTTCACTGGTAGCAGAAGAGGAAAAATAACTCTTACTTACACTTAATCTAAGCACAACCAAAAGGCCTCTTGACTAGGTGTTTGGCTATACGATGTGAACTGCTAACCTGTTAATTCTTCTCTATCCTGTTTCCCTTTCTTCTGTTTAAGACAATTCACGAACCCAGAACTCAATAGAATGACCACTAATAACAGAACATGTCACATATATCCCTGCACATTTACAGAGGACCCTCTGGATACGAATGTAATTTGTTCCGGGGGTCCGTACGTATCGCAAAAACTCTGCAAGTAGAGGCACTGCTTCTGTGCATGTACATAAAGCACTTTGCGCATGCAGCAAATCCCGGGAGAATACACTTACGGAGTTGCCATGTTCGCAAACCGAAAGAAGGAAATGTAGCCCGAGAGTCCACTGTATTACGGTATTTTGTGATATACAAACGATGGGAGAGGATTTACAATCGGAGAACTATTGAATGGGAAGGGACCCTGAGGACCATATTGTCCAGTCCCCTGCGATGAAGAAATCTTCACCCAACTCGGGCACATACCCATGACCAAGCAAACCCTCCCCTTTCAAGGACGGGGGGCTTTAGCTCTGGGGGACCTTCCCCCCCCTTTCCGTCCTCCCTTTTCTACGAATCCAGCTTAATTCCTTTTAACGCTTGGCGAACGGAAGGCACCCAGCTCTCCCCTCTATGGAGAGCAGGAGCCCACAGAGAGGCTTTCTTCTGGGGAGGGTGGGACCCCTTGGCAGAGGAGCAGCTTGTAGGGGTAAAGGCTGTGACAGAAGCAAGGGGAAGGGGGCGGCGTTTCAAGGGCATGCCACTTTTTCCCTCCCCAAAGGGGCAAAGGAAGGAGGGGGGAACGCTCCCTGCCTTGGGGGTCTTCCCCCCTTGAGTATCCTCCCCCTGCAGCCCTGGGACCCCCCTTCTCCCCCAGGCGCCCCAAGGGGAAAGAGAGAGACGACTCACTGGATCCCAGGAGGGGCCACCGAGGCAGCCTTGGCGAAGGACGAAGGAGGAGGGGCTTCCGCTCTGGAGGACCGGGGACCCCCCCCCACTTCCTGGCCTCTCTAGGATTCCAGCTCGACTCCTGTTAACCCTTGGCGAGGTGAGGGGACAGAGGGCAGAGGCGAATCTGAGGAGCTGCGCATGCTCCCTGCGGACGACACAGGGTCTTCTCTCAAAGGAGGAAGCGGGGAGGCGGAGGGAGGGCGGGGGAAGGACCCGTGACGAAACAGCCCTGGCCCCGCCCCTTCGTCTGGAAGGCGGCGCCTGCTCTGAGGGAAACGGCTTTTCCCGCCTTTTCCCAACTTCCCGCCTTTCGAAACCTGACCTTCCCCTCAGTTTTGGGCGCCAAGGAGGCCGATTCCTGGCAAACCAGGCGGCAGTTTCCTTGGGTTCCCTCGTTTATCGGGGGATTTCTTTTCATTCTGCGTAATTTCTGTTTACATCTCTTGCTTTTGGAGCTTATATCTGCTTCTTCAGAAAGGCATTTTGCTTTATTAATAAGACCCTTTCACCAATGCTTTGCCTGCATTCCATCCAGTATTTAAATTCATTTATTCAAATGGATTCCAAAATAGTCCTTTATAGTGCCACCCTCTTCCTTCTCTCTCTGCTCCTCTGGTGTCACTGAGGAGAAATGAAGAGGCTCCTCCGCCTCAGGCGTTGCACTTGTGTCTGTCTGTGTGTGAGAGAGAAAACTGGGGTGCAAGAAGGGCCCAAGGAGCCTTTAGTGGCCCCAGCAGAAGCCATCCACCATGGAGCTGAAGCCCTGCAGGTAGTCCTTATCCCACTTTTGGATGTGGGGCTCCTCCACTGCGAACATGGCTACAATCTTCCCTCGGTCATCAGCGAAATGGAAGAACTCCTGCCAGTCAAAGAAGTACCTGTACAGGTAGCGAACCTTCTGCATCCCGTTGTAGAAGTGGCAATCCTGCTTCATCTGGTACAGGACATGTTATTGCAAGGGGCAGGGTGCCATCAAGGAAGGTCAGGTGGGGGAAGGAAACTCCGGGGGGACAGGCACCCCCTGCTCCTTCATGCCAAAGGAGACTCCCCCCACTATTGTGGCAGGACCCCATTTACCCCCCACCCCAGCTAAGCAACAGTCACATCATGCAGGGTTGCCACCTGCCCTGTTTAATGTGCTGGATTAGATTCATTTATTCACAGAAACAACACTATGTGAAGTTTCCAGAAGATGGGTTATTTACAACAGGTGCAAGTTCACTCCAAAGAATGTTCTACACATGCGTTGCTTCTGGGCTGACCAGAGAGATGCTTAGTCTGACCTCTACTTTTGTAGCGTGAAGATGTAAAGATTGGGTCTGGCAGCTTTTTGGTGAGCATTATGTGCTCACCTAGGTTTAGCATTATGTGAATATTAAAAGATTTAGAAATATTGAAAAGAATGAAACTATCATTGATGGGGAGAATCTCGGCGATAAAAATGAATATAATGATAATAAATAATAATTTTTTAATTTACATCCCTCCCATCTCGCTGGGTTTCCACAGCCACTCTCTTTGGCTTAAAACACAGCACAACAACAAACATTTAAAATATAAAAACACAGCACAACAACAATATAAAAACAATATAAAAATATAAAAACACAGCACAACAACAAACATTAAAAAAAAAATTCCTATACAAGCAACAAACTAACCGATAAATCAATAGAAAACAGTAACAACAACAACCAGTTTACATTTATACCCTAATTAAAGTAACCATCAACCCCAAATAAAAACATTTATCCAACACCAACCCGACAAAATCAAAACAGGGGAACCAAAATTAGAACCATTTAAAACATTTTAGCAAGTTGCCTCAATCAGCTGTTCCGGCAATGTCCCCTTGGTCTCCCAGGAGCCTTTTACACCACATGGAAATGGGCCTTGCAGCAGGGAGCAGTCTTCCTTCCAGCACTCAGGGCAGCAGCAATGCCCCTCTGGCCTCCCAGGAGCCTTTTAGTTGTTCAGGGTGAGTGTGGGCTCCACAGTTCCAGATTTAGAATCGTCTTCTGAAGCGTTCTATCTGTGTTGGATAAAAGGCTAGATACTGCTGGAAAACATAGTTGTTAAGAGCTAGAGGGACATGGTTGGCACTCATGTATCTGGTATGGTAAAGCTGGAATACATAAAAGCTTCTCTAATCACCCCTGAGTGCTCACTGGAAGGACAGATCCTGAAGCTGAGGCTCCAAGACTTTGGCCACCTCAGGAGAAGAGAAGACTCCCTGGAAAAGACCCTGATGATGGGAAAGATGGAGGGCACAAGGAGAAGGGGACAATAGAGGACGAGATGGTTGGATAGTGTTCTTGAAGCTACCAGCATGAGTTTGACCAAACTGCGTGAGGCAGTGGAAGACAGGAGTGCCTGGCATGTTCTGGTCCATGGGGTCACGAAGAGTTGGACACGACTAAATGACTAAACAACAAAATCATGTTACCAGGACAAAATAATTAGAGTTTGGGGAAAACATAGAAACTTTCTGGAAAACAAAACACCAAGGTGGGTATCCTCAATAGAAGCAAAGACAAGGAAAAAATCAATATGGGTTACAAATGGGGTAGCTACATCTGTTAGACTTGAGGGAGAAACAAAAATGAAATTAGGAAAAAAGTGTGTCGGACTGGCTAAACTATAATCAAATTAACTCAAGATTTAAGGCAGACAAAAAACAGATTTACAGAACAAGAATCACAATTTGAAAAAGATATTAAGATGTACGGTTAAAAACCTCTGTAAAATGTATAAAATATTGTTCGAGTGGGAAACCAAAGAAGAGCTAGTGAAATCATCTTTGATAAGTTGGGGTGGGATGTGGGTCACAATAGTGATTTAAATTTATGGGTGCAATTGTAGAAAACAAATCAAATTCATTGTCAGCTATGCTCTAAAGAAGAAGTATTTAAAAATGATCCACAGGTGGTATTTGACACCAAACAGACTAGCCAAAATGTTTAGATCTAAAAGTATAATTGGAAATGTAATTGGAAATGTAAGGGAACAGTTGGTACATTTGATCACTTATGGCGTTCATGTTGTAGGTTAACAAAAAATTTGGGGAGATGGTGTACAATGAGCTTAAGAAAAGGTTTTTTTAGAAACAGTACCCAATAATCCACAAGCTTTTCTTCTGGGAATAATGACAGAAATCTAAAAAGTAAAATAAAAATTAACTTATGGATGTACGTGAGGACATTCACTCAAATTCTAATTACACAAAAATGTCCCATCAAAAGAAGAATGGCATCTCAAAATACTAGATATATATATCAAAGTAGCCAATATGACAAACAGGTTAAGAAAGAAATATAAAAGACTTGAAAGGTGACTGGATATCATATACAGATTATATAGAAACATTTTACACCAAGAATCATAACAGGTGCAGACAGGAAACCATGGAAAGAGTGGAAGGGAAGTAAAAGTAAAGATATATTGTATAGGATTTAAATAATTTAGAATAATACAAGATGGGGGACACCTGGCTTGAGAGCAGTACATGTGAAAAGGATCTAGGAGTCTTGGTTGACCACAAACTTGACATGAGCCAACAGTGTGACGCGGCAGCTAAAAAAGCCAATGCAATTCTGGGCTGCATCAATAGGAGTATAGCATCTAGATCAAGGGAAGTAATAGTGCCACTGTATTCTGCTCTGGTCAGACCTCACCTGGAGTACTGTGTCCAGTTCTGGGCACCACAGTTCAAGAAGGACATTGACAAACTGGAATGTGTCCAGAGGAGGGCAACCAAAATGGTCAAAGGCCTGGAAACGATGCCTTATGAGGAACGGCTAAGGGAGCTGGGCATGTTTAGCCTGGAGAAGAGGAGGTTAAGGGGTGATATGATAGCCATGTTCAAATATATAAAAGGATGTCACATAGAGGAGGGAGAAAGGTTGTTTTCTGCTGCTCCAGAGAAGCGGACACGGAGCAATGGATCCAAACTACAAGAAAGAAGATTCCACCTAAACATTAGGAAGAACTTCCTGACAGTAAGAGCTGTTCGACAGTGGAATTTGCTGCCAAGGAGTGTGGTGGAGTCTCCTTCTTTGGAGGTCTTTAAGCAGAGGCTTGACAACCATATGTCAGGAGTGCTCTGATGGTGTTTCCTGCTTGGCAGGGGGTTGGACTCGATGGCCCTTGTGGTCTCTTCCAACTCTATGATTCTATGATTCTATGATTCTATGAATATAGATATGCCATTATTATTATTATTAGTATTAGTAGTAGTAGTATTAGTATTTGTCTATGACGTTAACATAGTATGTTTTGTTGGTGAGATATAAGAGAAAAATAAATAAAAAATGGAAGAAAACAGTAAAAACATTAATATTAAATGTATAATATTAAAACAAATCAATACCTCTATTTCTGGAAAGGTTTGTATAACAAAATATTTTAAGCAAGGATCAAAAAGAGTACAGTCAAGGTTGCTGCCTGACCTCAACAGGCAGAGAGAAATTTCAATGAAGAAGTAACCCTAAAAATACTTCATCTGTTGTGACAGACTGACACTCCACTAACACTAAGGAGGAAGGGAAACAGGGTCGCCAGTTTAGGGAATTTATGCCACACAATGACAAAAATGTCCCCCGGCCAAGATCTGGTGCTCACTCAACAGGAATGGAAAAAGGTGTCAGACGTTGCCACTGTGGTGAATCACACTGCTCTGAATCTCTGTTCAGTCTAAGTCTCCTTCCATGTATCATATGTGTGCAGAGGAGAACTGGATTTGGCTGAAGCAAACTGCTTACTGCTGTTCACAACATGTAATATACAGAGAACTCTTTCTCCCTCATGGATGCAATTCTTTGCTCCTGGCATGCGCTAAGGACTTTTAAGGATCAAGGAGAAGAGTAGTGAGAGATTTCTAGACCTAACCTTCCCACAAAGAAAAGTCTGAAATCAACACCTTGACTTCCACCTTACAGACCTGGATACATAGTATGAATAATATGGGACACCAGGTTTGCACTCCATGGATTTGAGAGGCAAGGCTGACTTCTCTGCTGGGTTGAAGCACAAGAACACTGTTGCGATACAAATTATAGTCTACTAAAATACAATCACAACTTAGCAATTGCTATGCTTTCTCCCCAGAGTGAGTTCTTTGATGGGAAGAGAGAGTGGAGTTGTGACGGAAGCTCTTTCCACATTCCAAGCAATGATAGGGTTTCTCCCCTGTATGAATTCTTTGATGGGAAATGAGACTATCCTTCCGACTGAACCACTTTCTACATTCCAAGCAATGATATGGTTTCTGCACCATATGAATCTTTTGATGGGATGTGAGACCTGTGCTCTGTGTGAATCTCTTTCCACACTCTTGACATTTAAATGGTTTCTCCCCTGTATGAATTATTTGATGGGAAGTGAGTTTGTAGCTGTGGCTGAAGCACTTTCCACATTCGAAGCACTGAAAGGGTTTCTCTCCACTATGAATTCTCTGATGGGAAGTGAGAGAGGAATTGTGACTGAAGCTCCTTCCACATTCCTGACACTGATAGGGTTTCTCCCCTGTATGAATTCTTTGATGGGAAGTAAGATTGCTGCTACTACTGAAGTTATATCCACATTCCAAGCACTGATATGGTTTCTCGCCTTTATGTATTCTTTGATGAGAAGTGAGACTACTCTTCTGAGTGAAGCTCTTTCCACATTCCAAACATTGATATGGTTTCTCCCCTGTATGAATTCTTTGATGAGAAGTGACATTGTAGCTGTGACGGAAGCTCTTTCCACATTCCAAACATTGATAGGGTTTCTCCCCTGTATGAAATCTTTGATGGGATGTCAGATGGCTACTCTGGCTGAAGCTCTTTCCACATTCCAAGCACTGATAAGGCTTCTCCCCTGTATGAATTCTTTGATGGGAAGTGAGAGAGCCGTTGTGACTGAAGCTCTTTCCACATTCCAAGCACTGATAGGGTGTCTCCCCTGTATGAATTCTTTTATGAAAAATGAGACCACACTTCTGACTGAAGCTCTTTCCACATTCCAAGCACTGATAGGGTTTCTCTCCAGTATGAATTATTTGATGGGAAGTGAGATCTGAGCTCTTTCTGAAAGTTTTTCCACATTCAAAGCACTTATAGGGTTTTTCCCCTGTATGACTTCTTTGATGGGATGTCAGACTGTTTTTGTGACTAAAGCTCTTTCCACATTCAAAGCACTGATAAGGTTTCTCCCCTGTATGACTTCTTTGATGGGAAGTGAGATGGGCATTCTTACTGAAGCTCTTTCCACATTCCAAGCACTGATAGGGTTTCTCGCCTGTATGAATTCTTTGATGGGAAGTGAGACTGTGGCTGTGGCTGAAGCTCTTTCCACATTCAAAGCACTGATAGGGTTTCTCCCCTGTATGAATTCTTTGGTGGGAAGTGAGATTGTTCTTCCAGGTGAAGCTCTTTCCACATTCTAAGCACTGATAGGGTTTCTCTCCAGTATGAGTTCTCTGATGGGAAGTGAGAGAGGCGCTCTGACTGAAGCTCTTTCCACATTCTTGGCACTGATAGGGTTTCTCCCCAGTATGAATTCTTTGATGGGAAGTGAGATGTGTGCTCTGACTGAAGCTTTTTCCACATTCCAAGCACTGATATGGATTCTCCCCTGTATGAATTCTCTGATGAGAAATGAAACTGACCTTCCACTTGAAGCTCTTTCCACATTCCTTGCACTGGTAGGGCTTCTCCCCAGTATGAATTCTTTTATGGGAAGTGAGATGTGTGCTCTGACTGAAGCTTTTTCCACATTCCAAGCACTGATATGGATTCACCCCTGTATGAATTCTCTGATGAGAAATGAAACTGATCTTCCATCTGAAGCTTTTTCCACATTCCTTGCACTGGTAGGGTTTCTCCCCAGTATGAATTCTTTGATGAGAAGTGAGATGGGTGCTCTGATTGAAGCTCTTTCCACATTCCAAGCACTGGTACGATTTCTTTCCAATGGGATTTCTTTGATGAGAAGTGGACTGGGAACTCTGACTAAAGTTCTCTTTACTCTCCAAGTATTTATATGGCTTCTTCACTGTGTGGATTCTGTCCTGGTCCCCCTTGTTACTAATTTCCAATTCATCACCCCCTGGAATGTAAAAAACAATAATTTTTAAACATTAACATTTTATTCAAATGTTTTACATTCATGAAAATATAATATGATAAGAGGAATGAATAAAAAGAGAAAAGTGTGGAAGAATAATTTTTGAAAGAGGAAAAGAATGTTGGAAAAATACAGTATAACAGATCAAATAAAATCAATTTCACTTCTATACGTTATTATATAGATTTTAAGTGGTACTGTAACACTTATTTATATATAGAGAGAGAAACAACCGTATTTTTCGCTCTATAGGACGCACTTTTTCCCCTTCAAAAATGAAGGGGAAATGTGTGTGTGTCCTATGGAGCGAAGACGCCATAGCCCCGCTTACCCTTTCCCGGCTGGAGAGGTGATGCGCGGCTATGGCAGGAGCCTCTTTAGCCGCGTGCCACCTCTCTAGCCGGGAGAGCGCACACGGGGCTAAAGAAGCCCCCCACAACCCTCTCCCAGCTGGAGAGGCGACGCATGGCTATGACAAGAGCCTCTTTAGCCGCGCGCCACCTCTCCAGCTGGGAGAGCGCGTGCGGGGCTAAAGAAGCCATAGCCCCGCGACCCTCTCCCAGCTGGAGAGGTGACGTGCGACTATGGCAGCAGCCTCTCCGCTGCGCGCCTTTCCGCTGCTCCTCGACCTGCTCTTTGGGACTGGCGGTGGGCTTCCCCCCGCCAGCCCCAAAGAGCAGGTTGAAAGGAACCTGAAGCCTGGAGAGCGAGAGGGGTCAGTGCGCACCAACCCCCCTCTCTCTCCAGGCTTCCAAGGTAGCCGCCTGAAGGCGACTGAACGCACCCTAAACGGCACCTTGTTTTAGATGGGGAAAACAAGAGGGGGAAAATTCTTCCCCTCTCTGCGCAGCGCCTCCTGCCGCTTCGCTGAAGAGGCGCTGGGCAGAGAGGGGGAGAATTTTTTTTTCTTGTTCTCCCCCCTCTAAAACAAGGTGAGTCCTATTGTCCGGTGCGTCCTATGGTGTGAAAAATATGGTAATTAGAGCCTCAGGAAGAACAACCGTTCACAACTGTTCATTCTTCAACATTGCTAATGAACAACTGTGAAAGAGGAATAACTGAAGGGAATTAGATGGGAATTTTTACTATGGAGTTCACTGCCTTTGTTGGCTGGTATTAGCTGATATATTTATGGGAACCTGAGATTCAATTAATTTTGTTTGGCCCAATCACGGAATCTGCTCTGTATCCATTGTCAGTTATCTCTTTAGTCAACCAAAATCAACAGAAGCAAAAACACAAATCTGGCAGAAGCTACTTCAACCTCCCTACCCACTCTGATGGATATTCACAGACAACACCGCCAATCGCCCTTCATTCCAAGTGATTTCTGGGGGCGTTAGATTTCCAGGTGGTGTAGGTAGCGCTACTGAGTTCCAGCCAAACCTTGGAGATTCATCGCAAGGAGAGAGAGATGGAATTTCAAAACAGATATGATGATCCTCAGAGAGCCTTACCCAGAGAATCCAGGAGTCCATGATTCTCCTCCATGACCTCCTCATGCAGAGCTTTCTGGTCAGGATCCAGCAACGCCAACTCCTTGTCCGTGAAATGAACAGCGACATCCTCAAAGCATACCAAATCCTAAACAAATAAGGGTGATGGGGTTAGTCAGATAAATCCTGGCCCATTTTTATGGTTTGTCAACTGCTTAGAAACCTATTTAGTCTTCAATGTAAATATAGAAACGAAACAGCAACTGCTGATAAATAATATTGGCGACATTGAGAAGGCGATAAGGATGAGGTGGATGTTCCATATTCTCAGCACATAAACCATCTTGAATGGCATTTCCTCATTTTCTTCAGGGCACCGTTGACAGGAGCCAGGAGGTAGAGGGAGTCACCCTGCCAGCCCCACCCCTCAGCCTCTCTCCCTACATGTCTCCTGCCCCCTACCTGATCTGCTTCCATGGCTGCTGCTTCCCCTTCAGGCTCATGAAAAGACATATGAGGAGGTCTTGTGGGCATCATCCTGTCACCTTCCAGAGACAAAGAGAAGTGGGAAGCCATGAATGCCTGCTTTTCTCCGATGTTCAGGAGTGTATCTCTAATTACAGGTGTACCTTTGAAGAAGTCTACCCTATTGAGTGCCTTTTGACATCCGTACACCTTTCGTCTTTTAGTTATGTAAAAATATATCCCACCTCCTTTGGGCTCTTGGCCCCAACTGCCTCCCCACAAAAGACGGAAGGAACTGACAGATTAATTTCCAAATCCCCAGGATGTGACCAAGGAGAGAAATAACTCGCTCCTTACCTAGTGGTCTCTCTCTGGTGTCCATCAGAGTCCTCTCTGCCTCAGAGGAATCAGGACCCATTTCTGTCAAGAGATCCTGAACCTGAAAGAGCAACAAAGATTCAAAACAAAATGGGAAGGGGGATTAGAAAAGCAATGGTAGAGGCAAACACTTTAGGGGTAGCAGATCTCATTCCTTGGATCCGATCCATAAAGGGATGGGACATTAGTACCACATTTTGGGATACTCTTGCTCTGGTTTGGAGCCCCTTGGGAGTTTCCAGAGGAAAGTCTCTCTCACCTGCTGCTCTGCCTGCTTCCTCTCCTCTGCCTGACTCAGGAGGAAACCTTCAGTGAGAGCCACTGCCTGGGAACTGGTCTCCGCTCCACATTCCCTCACCCAGCTCTCTATCTCAGGTGGAAGTACAGCCAGGAACTGCTCCAAGATCACCATGTCCAGCATCTCAGCTTTCGTGTTCCTTTCTGGCTTCAGCCACTGACAGACAAGGTGGTAGAGTCGGCTGCAAACCTCTCGGGGTCCTTTGGCCGCCTGGTAGAACTGCTTGAACTGCTGGCTCTGAGCATCTGAGCGGAGGGTGTCCTCCTCACATAGGATCTTCCGCATAGCGTTTTCCCAGAATCCCTCAGTGCTCCCATCTTCAGTGGCATGGCCTCTTCCTGCTTTAGGTCCAGCCGAGTCTTGCTCATCCATCTGTAGTCTCAGGAAACTTCCAAGAGATGAGAAGGAGTCCCTTTTTTCTTCTGCAAAGTTCTTCCCGTCCGAATTAGAGGTGCTGGCAAACCCTACAAAGCAAATGCATTGTTCTGTTATAAAATTGGCACTGTCTCAGGATCAGAAAAATGTCCCCAGACAAACGTGGATGGTTTTTGCTAGCAATCAAGGCTGCACTGCACTAAAGCCCAGACTCTGAACATCTTGTGGTTGTAAGTTGTTTTAAGCTGTTTTTAAACTTATTCTAGCTCCGTGGGAGAAAAATAAAGACTCTAGAAAAACAACAACACACCATCAGAATTTGTCTTAATCTGGCTGGTCTAAATTTAAGTATAAGAAGAAGTTATTACAGTGGTGCCTCGCAAGACGAGATTAATCCGTTCCGCGAGTGTCTTCGTCTAGCGGTTTTTTCGTCTTGTGAAGCAACCCTATTAGAGGCTTAGCTGCTTAGCGCTATTAGCGGTTTAGCGGCTATTAAAGGCTTATCAGCTTAGCGGCTTAGCTGCTAAAAGACTATTACCGGCTTAGCGGCTTAGAAAAAGGGGGGGGGAGCGAAAAAAAAATCTCAAGACTCGCAAGACATTTTCGTCTTGCGAAGCAAGCCCATAGGGAAATTCGTCCTGCGAAGCAACTCAAAAACGGAAAACCCTTTCGTCTAGCGGGTTTTCCGTCTTGCGAGGCATTCGTCTTGCGGGGCACCACTGTATCTGCAGAAAACACACACACACAAATCATCAGAATTTGGCTCAGTCTGGCTGGTCTAAATAAAAATTTAAGCATAGTAATAGTAATACATAATTACTACTACTACTACTATAACTACTACTACTATTATGCCGCCCATCTGACTGGGTTATCTCAGCTACTCTGAGCGGCTTCCAATAAGATGAACATCAAACACAGTAAGGCATCAAACATTAAAAATGTTTCTGCATCAGTAGAGCAATTATTCTCCTAGCTGGGTCTCAGCGGCTTTTGATACCATCAACCATAACTTCCTTCTGGACCGTGAAGGTCCTGTGTGAGTGTCTGGAAGCGGTTGGAGGAGGGATGGTGGCTAACAGATTGAGGTTGAATCCTGACAAGACAGAAGTTCTGTTTTGGAGGGACAGGGGACAAGTGGGTGTGGGGGACTCCCTTGTCCTGAATGGGGTAACTGTGCCCCTGAAGAACCAGGTGTGCAGCCTGGGAGTCATTTTGGACTCACAGCTGTGCATGGAGATGCAGGTCAACTCTGTGTCCAGGGCAGCTGTTTATCAGCTCCATCTGGTATGAAGGCTGAGACCCTACCTGCCCACAGACTGTCTCGCCAGATTGGTGCATGCTCTAGTTTTATCTCCCGCTTGGACTACTGCAATGTGCTCTACATGGGGCTACCTTTGAAGGTGACTCGGAAACTGCAATTAATCCAGAATGCGGCAGCTAGACTGGTGACTGGGAGTGGCAGTACGTTTCCGAGTACATTCAAAGTGTTGGTGCTGACCTTTAAAGCCCTAAACGGCCTTGGTCCTGTATACCTGAAGGAGCGTCTTCACCCCCATTGTTCTGCCCAGACACTGAAGTCCAGCGCCAAGGGCTTTCTGACGGTTCCCTCGCTGTGAGAAGTGAGGTTCCAGGGAACCAGGCAGAGGGCCTTCTTGGTGGTGGCGCCTGCCCTGTGGAACGTCCTTCTGTCAGATGTCAAGGAAATAAACAACTACCAGACTTTTAGAAGACATCTGAAGGCAGCCCTGTTTAGTGAAGTTTTTAATGTTTAATGCTGTATTGTCTTTTTAATATTCAGTTGGGAGCTGCCCAGAGTGGCTGGGGAAACCAAGCCAGATGGGTGGGGAATGAATGAATGAACTCAGTATAGTGGTACTTCCGGTTACAGACGCTTCAGGTTACAGACTCCGCTATCCCAGAAATAGTACCTCAGGTTAAGAACAGAAATCGTGCTCCGGCGGCGCAGCAGCAGCAGGAGGCCTCATTAGCTAAAGTGGTGCTTCAGGTTAAGAACAGTTTCAGCTTAAGAATGGACCTCCGGAACGAATTAAGTACTTAACCCGAGGTACCACTGTACAGTGACCACTAATAATGAAATATATGTTGCAGATATCCCTGCACATTTATTATGATATTTTGTGATATACAAATGAAAGGAGAGGATTTACAATTGGAAAACTATTGAATGGGAAGGTACCCTGAGGACCATCTAGTCCAGCCCCCTGTGATGCAGAAATATTCACCCAACTTGAGGCACAAACCCATGACTAGGGGTTTAAGAGTCTCATGCTTTACTGACTGACTCAGTCTATTCATTTGTATCATTTACTGTTCCCATTATCCTTGTTTACATGACCCCATTAAGAGTTATTCCAAAAGAAAGGAAAAAGACAAACACAGCCCCCCCATCTACAAAGCAGGATGAGGCCACATTAAAGAGTACTGGCTTCCTCCAAAGAATCAGGGGAAAGCTCGTTGATTTGTGGGTCTCTGCCCCCCCCCATGCACCTTCATCCTACAGCCTGGGGACCCCCCTTCTATGCAAGGCACCCCAAGGGGGAAGAGAGGAGACTGCAGATCCCAGAAGGGGGACCCAGGCAGCTCTGGCAAAGGAGAGAGAGGAAAGCAACCTCCTCCCCTTTCAAGACGGGGGGGGGGGGCTTTTGCTCTGAGGGACCCCGCCCCCTTGTCCTCCCTTCTCTAGGAATCTAGCTTAGTTCCTTTTAACCCTTCGTGAGCTGAACGCACCCAGTTTCCCCCTCTATGGAGAGCAGGAGCCCACAGAGAGGGGCTTTCTTCTGGGGAGGGTGGGGACCCCTTGTAAGGCAGCAGCTTGTAGGGGGAAAGGCTGTTCCAGAAGCAAAGGACGGCCTGGTGGGGGCTCCTCCCTCAGAAGGGGGGGAATTGGCATGCCACTTTTTCCCTCCCCAAAGGGGCAAAGGAAGAAGAAAGAGGAAGGGGGAGGATGCTCCCCCCCTTGGGCATCCTCCCCCTGCCGCCCTGGGACCCCCCCTTCTCCCCCAGGCGCCCCAAGGGGAAAGAGAGAGGAGACTCACTGGATCCCAGGAGGGGCCACCGAGGCAGCCTTGGCAGAGGACGAAGGAGGAGGGGCTTCCGCTCTGGAGGACCGGGGACCCCCGCCCCCACTTCCTGGCCTCTCTAGGATTCCAGCTCGCCTCCTTTTCTTCCATGTCGCCTGCGCCTGCGCCCTAACCCCCTCGGAGGACGGCGGTCTTGCACCGCCGAGGGTCGCCGCCTCTGACGCGCGAGGGCAGCGGGAAGCCGCGCCTCCTCCGCTCCCGCAACCCAACGGCTCGTGGGTGACGTCATGCCGCAAGGGGATCTCGAAGTTCGCCGCGCCCGTGAGCTGAGGGGAACGGAAAAGGCGGGAAAGGGGAGAGGAGAAGGGAAGCGCAGCCTTGGGGCCTGTCCCCTTCACCGGCCCACCAGCAGCTTGAAAGGTCCGAGCGATATTGGGAGGGGACTTGAGGGTTGTGGGTTCGAGCCCCACCTCGGGCAAAAGAGGGCAAGGGGTTGGGCTGGATGACCCTGGTGGTCCCTTCTGACTACAAAATACAGAAGAATCAATACATTTCCCAGTTGGGAGTCCTGGAGCGAGACTTACTTCAACAGGGGCAAAATGTCTGGTTCTGCACTTAGGCAGGCAGAACCTGATCCACCAATATAGGAGGGGGGAATCCTGGCTTACTAGCAGTACATACGAAAAGGATCTAGGGGTCTTGGTAGATCACAAGCTGAGCAGGAGTCAACAGGGTGATGCAGAAGCAAAACATAAGACGGGATTATGTGCTATATTAACACGGAGCGTTGCCGCTCTGCCACCAGGCTCAGTGTGTGTCCTTGGGGAACACAGGATGGTTAGTCAAAATTCATAGACCGTGGTATCTTAAAAACATACCACAGTGGCTATAAAGCATATAGAACAATAATATCAGAAAAGTTTTAGAACTACAGTGGTACCTCGGGTTAAGAACTTAGTAAGTTCCAGAGGCCTGTTCTTTTTCTCTTTTTTAATATAATTTTTATTAAAAATTTTCATTATATCAATTCCAACATCAAACAAATTTTCACAAATTTCAGTTTTTGGACTTCCATCAGCTTCTCTGTCAAACATCCATATTTTCCCATTTTTACACATTTTCTAAGTTTAATATTGCATTTTAATATTACTTTTTCAATCCTCTTTCTGTTTAACAAATATTCCTCTACCTTTCACAAAGCCTCTTTAAATCCCACTAGCGTTGTTTGTTCATCACATGTACTTTTCAGATATTCAGTAAATTTTTCCCAGTCCTCGATGAACTTGTGTTCCTGTTGATATCTAATCTTCCCAGTTAGTTTGTCCAGTTCAGCATAGTCCATAAGTTTCATTCTCCATTCTTCAAGTGTCGGTATTTCTTCCTGTTTCCATTTTTGGGCCATTAATATTCTTGCTGCTGTTACTGCGTATTGAAAGAGTTTATTGTCCCTTCTATTTATTTCACTTCCTATTATTCCTAACAGAAATGCTTCTGGTTTTTTTACAAATGTATATTTCAACATTTTCTTCAATTCATTATATATCATTTCCCAGAAACATTTCGCTTTCTTACACTCCCACCACATATGAAAAAAGGTTCCTTCTTTTCCAGAGGCCTGTTCTTAACCTGAAACTGTTCTTAACCTGAGGTGCGCTTTTGCTAATGGGGCCTCCCGCTGCCGCCACCACACAATTTCCGTTCTCATCCTGAGGTAAAGTTCTCAACCTCAACCTGAGGTATTACTTCTGGGTTAGCGGAGTGTTTGTAACCCGAGGTACCACTGTACTTAAAAGTAAACACATTAACTTCTGGGTTAGCGGAGTGTTTGTAACCCGAGGTACCACTGTACTTAAAAGTAAACACATTAAAGAAGAGGAGGAGAAAGAAGAAGAAAGCATCCATAGACCCTTGTTCGGGAGGTCCTCCTCATGGCCTGCCTATTTGAAGGCACTTGAGTCTGAATCACTAGTCACTGGGCCCATGACCCTCAACACTGCAGATCAACAATGGTAAAAAGAAAACCATAAAAACTTTCTTGAGCAGCTTGCGGGAAAAGTGTCAGACATTGACAAAAATGTCCCCCTGGTCAAGATCTGGTGCTCTTTCCACTTGGCATGGAAAAAGGACTCAGACACTGCTACTGGGGTGACTCGTGTTGCTCTCAGTTCCATCCAAACCTACCTTATGTTGGACGTGTGCAGATGTGAACTGGATTTGGCTGAAGCAAACTCTTGCTGAAGAACAGCAGCCAGTGAATCCTAGATGTAACCTTGCCACAGAGAAAAGCCTGAATTCAACACCTTGGCCAATGACTTCCACCTCACAGATCCTGTGATTCCCTACAGACCTTCCTGGGTGTTCAGGAACCCTCTTGCGTGTTCAGGTTGGCAGAGGGGGCCCTCTTGGTAGTTTCCCCTGGCGGCGGATCCTCCGCTGGGGAATTCCCTCTCCCCACAGAGATGAACCAGGCACTTTCCCCTCTACTCCAACGCCTTGGACACAGGAACACACCCACAAGGACTCCTGACTAGCCATTTGGCTATGCAATGTGGGCTGTTCTGTAAACTCTGTTCTGTCCTGTCTCCATTTTTTCTGCTTCTGTTTAATTCACCAGCCAAGAACTCATACAGCGACCAGCAATAATGAACTATATGTCGGAGATCCTCCTGCTATTTTTGTGATACAAATGGCATGAAAAGACTCAAGTCTATTTATCTGTATCTTTCATTATTCCTACAATCCTTGTTAATAACCCCCCCCAAATGTTATTCCGAAAAGAAAGGTAAAAGACAACACATGCCCCAGACCACACCTGTGCTGCATATGCAAACAGGATTAGGCCACTTTAAAGAGTCCTGGCTTCCTCCAAAGAATCCTGGGAAGCATAGTTTGTTGAGGGTCCTGAGAGTTGCTAGGAGACGTCCCCACCTTGAGTGGTTTAGCAACCCCTCCTTCTTTCCAGGGTGGAGGGGACTGGTGAGAAAGGGTCTCCAGCAACTCTAAGCACTTGCGGTGGGGCTGTCCATAATGACCTTCTGAGGGAGACCATTCCACTGTCAAACATACCCAGCTCCTTCAACCACTCCTCATAAGGCTTGGCTTCCAGACCCTTGATCATCTTGGTAGCCCTCCTCTGCACACCTTCCAGCTTGTCAACCTCCTTCTTAAATTGTGGTGCCCAGAATTGGACACGGTATTCCAAGTGTGGTCTGACCAAGGAAGAACAGAGCAGAACTATGACTTCCCTTGATCTGGGGAGTGTAATAAGAATTTTAAGGTCCTAAATATATAATAAATGTTCATAAATGTACCAAGCAAATACGTACATAAATATATAAACCACATGTCTGAAGCAGCACAGGAAGATAGTCCTGAAACCACCTTGACTCCCAAGCTGACCAAATGTTTTCTCTGCAAGGAGGGAAGGAGGTGAAAAGAAAACCTTCCTTGTTACAGGAATTGAGTATTCACCATTTCAAAGGGTGACAGACTACCAGGAAAGGCAATCAGATAAGGCATTATCAGATAACCTGCCAGACAGGAGATAAGGCACCCAGATTTCTATTGTAGACCTAGGGAACCTAGGATGCTATACAGGGTTTTGGATACCCCATAAGGGAAAAAGGGCAGGTTTTGTTTACAACAGGTGTATACAGCTTTTTCTGCGGACGAGCCCCTCTTTTCCGTAGGCCTGAGTGTGGACAGCTTCTGCTTGTGTTTACTCTAATGGTGACAAAGCAAGCTGGTCCTGGTGTAAACCGCCCTCCCCCATGTAAAGGTAAAGGAACCCCTGACCATTAGGTCCAGTCGTGGCCAACTCTGGGGTTGTGGCACTCATCTCACTTTATTGGCCGTGGGAGCCGGCGTACAGCTTCCGAGTCATGTGGCCAGCATGACTAAGCCGCTTCTGGCAAACCAGAGCAGCGCACGGAAACGCCGTTTACCTTCCCGCTGGAGCGGTACCTATTTATCTACTTGCACTTTGACGTGCTTTCGAACTGCTAGGTTGGCAGGAGCAGGGACGAGCAACGGGAGCTCACCCCGTCGCGGGGAATCGAACTGCCGACCTTCTGATCGGCAAGTCTTAGGCTCTGTGGTTTAACCCACAACGCCTCCCCCATGAGGGAATCATTAATCACTGAGGAGATCATGGGCATAGCCAGGATTTTTGTTATGAGGTGCAGGGAGGGTTTGAACCCTGATCGCCAGGGAGACCACTCTAACCACTAAGCCATCCCAGCTCTTCGGTCCTGTTAGCTCTTCCCTCCCCTCAACAAGCAGCCATTCAGAAGCAGCCTTCCTGCTAGGACCTGATCCTGGATGAGATGCCTCTCCTCCTGGCAGGAGTCCGATACCTTGAGGCTGCGAGTTCCGCAGGTCAGCCCATGCAGCCCCTCCCCTCTCACCTGTTGTAGCCAGTGGTGTAATGCTGGCCGGCCTGCAGGGGGCGCCCGTGTGCGCTCAGCTGCCGGTCCAGGTCATAGCTGAACCTTCCCTTTTTTTGCGGGAAATTCCCTTATTCCAGCGCCCTTTCCTGCTGCTATCCCGGATTGTTAGATATCCCGTAGACTGTCCCTGGGACAGGTGAGGCTGCTGATCCCTTATTTTCAAATCTGAAAGTTGACAGCTATGGTCCGGGTAGCTACGCCAAGCGGTTGGCATCCATCATTCAGCCACCGAAGACATGCGCAGAGATGGAGATTTGGGCTCCTTGGGCAGAGGGGGGAGGGAGGGAGGAAGGGGAGCCCATAAGTGAAGGCGCAGAGACAGGAAAACTGGAGGGAGGGGTGGTGTCTGTGCCCTCGGCTTGCCAAGGGTTAAAAGGAGCCGAGCTGGATTCCTAGAGAGGACAGGAAGTGAAGCGGAGGTCAAGTTCCTCCATGGCTAAATTCCCTCCCTCCCACATCCCTTCCTGCAAGCAGAGAGGAGGTTGCTTTCTTCTCTCTCCTTTGCAAAAGCTTCCTCGGTGAGTCCCCTCTCTCTTTCCCCTCAGGGGTCCCAGGGGTGCAGGGAGGGGGCATGGGGGTCCCTATTCAGATCATTCCTGATGGGGGGAGACCCCCAAGTCAGAGAGCAGAGGGTCCTCCCTTGTCCTCTCTGCCAATCCTGGGAGGGGGCAAGTTCGCAGGAGGTCTGCAGCTCTGTTCTTCCTTGGGATAAAGATGCTGCCTTCATTTTTGGGGAGGGGGCTTTGAGCACAGGGAGAAGTAAAGCCCTTCTGCATCTGCAGCAGCAAAACCAGACCACTTCCTCTGTCCCAGATGCAACAACACATGTCCCTCTCCTGTCGCTCTCCACACCCACGGCTGGCGCTGTTACCTTCCAACAGCTGGATCTCACTCCCAAAGGCACTCTCTTCCATGGTCTCCCAAGACAGATGGAGGCCAACGAACCAACCAACCATTCCCCCTCCCCTCACAATGCACATTGGGACTTTGCACATTGGCTGACTGACCGAACCCAAAGGGTGCTCATCAATGGTTCCTCTTCATCCTGGAGAAGAGTGACTAGTGGGGTGCCACAGGGTTCTGTCTTGGGTCCGGTCTTATTCAACATCTTTATCAACGACTTGGATGATGGACTCAAGGGCATCCTGATCAAATTTGCAGATGACACCAAACTGGGAGGGGTGGCTAACACCCAGAGGACAGGATCACACTTCAAAACGACCTTGACAGATTAGAGAACTGGGCCAAAACAAACAAGATGAATTTTAACAGGGAGAAATGTAAAGTATTGCACTTGGGCAAAAAAAATGAGAGGCACAAAGACAAGATGGGGGACACCTGGCTTGAGAGCAGTACATGTGAAAAGGATCTAGGAGTCTTGGTTGACCACAAACTTGACATGAGCCAACAGTGTGACGCGGCAGCTAAAAAGCCAATGCAATTCTGGGCTGCATCAATAGGAGTATAGCATCTAGATCAAGGGAAGTAATAGTGCCACTGTATTCTGCTCTGGTCAGACCTCACCTGGAGTACTGTGTCCAGTTCTGGGCACCACAGTTCAAGAAGGACATTGACAAACTGGAACGTGTCCAGAGGAGGGCAACCAAAATGGTCAAAGGCCTGGAAACGATGCCTTATGAGGAACGGCTAAGAGAGCTGGGCATGTTTAGCCTGGAGAAGAGGAGGTTAAGGGGTGATATGATAGCCATGTTCCAATATATAAAAGGATGTCACATAGAGGAGGGAGAAAGGTTGTTTTCTGCTGCTCCGGAGAAGCGGACACGGAGCAATGGATCCAAACTACAAGAAAGAAGATTCCACCTAAACATTAGGAAGAACTTCCTGACAGTAAGAGCTGTTCGACAGTGGAATTTGCTGCCAAGGAGTGTGGTGGAGTCTCCTTCTTTGGAGGTCTTTAAGCAGAGGCTTGACAACCATATGTCAGGAGTGCTCTGATGGTGTTTCCTGCTTGGCAGGGGGTTGGACTCGATGGCCCTTGTGGTCTCTTCCAACTCTATGATTCTATGATTCTATGATTCTATGACTTTCCCTCCCCTCTCCTCCCCCTCCTGGTGCCCCTTTAAGTTGGCTTGAAGACATTGGGAGGGCCCACCCCACCAGATGAGAGAGGAGGTCCTTCCATCTGGAAAATGGGAATGCTTGCGAAGAATTATGTGAAGATGAGTGCCGTATAATCATAATCATAAAATTATTACAATGTGGAATTCCCCCATTCACACAAAGATTAATTGTTGTTTAGTCGTGCCTGACTCTTTGTGACTCCCTGGACCAGAGCACGCCAGGCACTCCTGTCTTCCACTGCCTCCCGCAGTTTGGTCAGATTCATGTTGGTAGCTTCGAGAACACTGTCCCACCATCTCGTCCTCTGCCGCCCCCTTCTCCTTGTGCCCTCCATCTTTCCCAACATCAGGGTCTTTTCCAGGGAGTCTTCTCTTCTCATGAGGTGGCCAAAGTCTTGGAGCCTCAGCTTCAGGATCTGTCCTTCCAATGAGCACTCAGGGCTGATTTCCTTAAGAATGGATAGGTTGGATCTTCTTGCAGTCCATGGGACTCTCAAGAGTCTCCTCCAGCACCATAACTCAAAAGCATCAATTCTTTGGCGATCAGCCTTTTTTATGGTCCAGCTCTCACAAAGATTAATACCCATCATTAAAATTGTTCCATTACAATGTTGAAATAAGCATGCAGGAAAAGAATAGAATTAAAACAGTGCAGCTATTAAAAGGCAGAAAAGAACGGAGCAATGTGTAGAAGATGGTCTTCATTCTCCCTTTCTCTCTTAGGGTCCAGTGTGTTTGGAAGACGTAGCTTTTCGTTTCACACACAAGGACTGGGCGTTGCTGGATCCTGACCAGAGAGCTCTGCAGAAGGAAGTCAAGGAGGAGAATTGTGGGATCCTGGACACTCTGGTAAGTCTCCCTGCTGGATCATCAGATCAGTTTTGAAATTCCATACAGATCTCTGTAGGACAAACCTCTGCAATTTTGAGGGAGCCTAATAGCGCCAGCTACAGCGTCTGAGATTTTAACACACCCACAACTCTTCTTGAATGGAAAACTATCGATGTGTATGTGTGTGTGTGGGGTATCTCCTGTTTTATCTGGGAATATTCTTCCACCAAAAGTTTGCAAACGCATTGCAGGAGATCCTGGGGTCCCTACCAGGCCCCGATAACTCAGACACCCCAGGGTCCTTGTACTTGAGGAATCTGGGAAATGACCTTATTGACAGAACTGAAAAGAATTTATTACAATCCTTCTGTGCTCTGCCACAAGACGCCCAGAATGAAATACTCTCCAGATTTGACCTCTTAAGTTCCTGACTGATAAGTTTGGAGAAGGAGCAGAAGGCCTCATGCAAGCAAAGCTTGACCCTTTGTGCTCCAGATCCAGCCCACTAGATATAACACCGTGAGTTAGATTTATGGGCTGAAAAGCCACCCCCCTCCACTAACAGCAGGTTACTGAACCTTCTTTCCTACCAATTGGAGATGAAAAACTTCCCCAAAGATTTGGTCCCCATGCAACCCCTGACAGAGGCGGGATATAAATAATAAATTATTATTATTATTATTATTAAATATGGCCACAACATCTGCCTGGCTTGTGATGAGAGAGCTCAAAGATTGTGAACAGGGCTCTCCATACAAAGCACCTAGCATGGGGGCACCTACATGTAATATCTATTCTGCTGTTTTCTGCCCATGCTCTGGGGCTGGTTTTCAGGCTTGGGGACAGGATGGTGACTGGTTTTTGTACCAAGTTCTGTCAATTATCCCCACTGAGTTCAATGGGATCTAATCTCACGTCACTACTGTGCAGACCATGCCAGGCTTGCAAGTGGGGTGAGGAGCATACAGAAGAAATTGGAATCACTGGAGATCTTTAGAAATGGGGCTTCTCTTGAGAAGGGGCTGCCCCATTTGTGCTTCTCCAGGGGCAGGAGATTATCTAGGGCAAGAAAATCCCTGCAGGGCCTCTGAAACTCCCTTTGCTTCTTCCTCTCTCCCAGGACCCTGCAGCTTGTTGTGGCTTCTTGACTGCTCAGGAAGGATTAAAGAGACGGATCCTGCAAAGCTAGCGAGGATGGAAGGGGGAAGATGGACGGTTGACCTGGTCAGGTTGTCTCCTGCATCCCTCCCCACAACCTCTGAGCGTTCCCTCCCAGGGACCTCCGAGAGATCTGGTGAGTTCTTCTTTTTATATAAGATTTTTTATTAGGAATTACAACATAACATTTTATCAATAAAGCATATCATCCTCATTCCCCCCTCCATTTTCCCCTCCCCCTCCCCAAAATAGAACCCCCCCCCACCACTCCCAGACTTCCCTCAGCTCCTCTCTCTGGTTTTTCCATACTTATAATTCTCTGCATATTATAAAATTGTAAAAATCCTTAACCTATCTGACTATATGTTCTTAATAATAAAAATGTGAATGTTGATTCAAAACCTGCCAAGGAGTCCAGTTCATTTTGTTGTCTCTTTAAATGCTTTGTAAAGGGTTCCAATTCTTCTTATCAGTTGTTCTTATCACGTAGTTTGTATGTGAATTTCGCCAATTCCGCTTAGTCCATCTATTTCTCTTGCCATAGTTCTTTAGTTGGGGTTTCTTCATTCTTCCATCCTTGTGCTATTAAGACTCTTGCTGCCATTGTTGCATACATAAAGATATTCTTAAATTTCCTTGGCAGGTCTTTCCCTAAAATTCCTAACAAAAATACTTCAGGTTTTTTAACAAATGTTAATTGGAACATTTTCTTCAACTCATTATATATTGTTTCCCAAAAATTTCTAATCTTACTGCAATCCCACCACATATGGGAAAAAGTCCCTTCTTTTTCCTTACATTTCCAACACATGTTTGAACTGGATTTATGCATTCTTCCTATCTGTACTGGTGTTATATACCATCTGTACATAATTTTCATATAATTTTCTTTCAACAGAGAGCAATCTGTAAATTTTAAATCAGTTTTCCACAATCTTTCCCAGTCTTCAAACATTATATTGTGACCTATATCCTGTGCCCATTTAATCATTACTGTTTTCACCTCTTCATCTTTTGTTTCCCATTCTAACAGAATACTATATGCAGCTTTCAGCAGCTTCACCTTCCCTTGTACGACTTCCTTTTGGAATCTGGATGTCGTATAGCTAAATCCTTTCTTATTATCTTCTTTGTATATTTCATGTAGTTGCCAATAATGTAACCAACTCTGAAAATGGTATTTTATTTCCTCATAGTCTCTTAATTTCCATTTTCCTTCTCGGTCTTTTAACAGATCAGCATACATAAGCCACTTTCCTTTCTTTCCGAGTGGTTTGAGCATAAAGCTTTGTGTGGTGAAAGCCACCAAGGAGTCTTTTGTTCTAACAGATCTTTATCTCTCTCCCATACTCTCATTAATGATTTCCTAATTATGTGATTGTAGAAACTTTTATGTACCTTCCCTTTCCCATACCATAAGTATGCGTGCCAGCCAAATCTGTTGTCATGCCCTTCCAATTCTAATGCTTCTTGCTTTTCCAACTTCATCCAGTCCCTAATCCAAACCAGGCAGGCAGTTTCATAGTATAATTTAAGGTCTGGGAGAGCATAACTGCCTCTATCTTTTATGTCTGTAAGTATCTTATATTTTATCCTTGGCCTTTTGCCCCCCCAGATAAACTTAGAAATTTCTTTCTGCCAGTTTTTAAAACATTCGTCTTTCACAATTATTGGGACTGATTGGAAGAGGAATAGCATTTTTGGCAGCACATTCATTTTGGCCGCTGCTATTTTCCCTAACAGTGAGAGATTCATTCTGCTCTATATTTATAAATTTCTTTTTACCTCAAGCCATTTTTCCCCATAATTATCTTTGTATAAATTTATATTTCTTGATGTTAGCCATGTCCCTAAATACTTAACCTTTTTATGGACTTCTATCTCAGTGTTTTGCTCCAATTCCTTTTTTTTTCATCCTTCAAATTTTTAAGTAGTAATTTTGTTTTATTCCTGTTTAATTTAAATCCTGCCACTTCCCCAAAATTCTGGATCTTTTCTATGACTTTAGGGAGTGAAGTTTTTGGGTCTTCCACAGTTATCACTAAATCATCAGAATATCCTTTTAATTTAAATTTGCTTTTCCCAGTTTTTACACCTATAATCTCTTTATCTCCTCTAATATTTCTGGCAAGTACTTCCAGTACCAGAATGAACAACAGTGGTGATAATGGACATCCTTGTCTGGTTCCTTTTTGTATCTTACATTCATCCATTATCACCTGATTTATAATTAATTTTCTTTTTGCTCTGAGTAAATTGCTGATATTCCTTTTAAAAATTTAGGGCCACATTTAATTTCTTTTCGTTTTTAACCTCCAGGTATTCTATTAAATTCAGAATATTCCTTATATTCTCCTTCATTTGTCTACGTCCTTCGGAGGACAACCAAATTTAAGCACAAATTCGACCCACAGCTGTGAGGCATTCACGAGCTTTTTTGTGGAGAAAGTCCTGTTGCTCCGCTGAGACCTCCCTGCCAATTTAGATACAGTGACTGAACTGGAGGCCCCTCGACTGACTTAAGGTCCAGTGTTGGACCACTTTGATCGGATACTCCCTGCTGATGTGGATAGATTCCTCTAAGTTAGTAGGCCCACCACCTGCCTCCTTGATCCGTGCCCATCTTGGCTGATAAGGGCATGTCCAGATGTCGCGCGGACCCCCCTGGTTGAAATTATCAATTTGTCCCTTGGCATGGGGACATTCCCAGGGGAACTGAAGGAAGCAGTGGTGTGTCCACTCTTAAAGAAAACTTCACTAGATCCCTTGTTGTTGTTTAGTCGTTTAGTCGTGTCCGACTCTTCGTGACCCCATGGACCAGAGAACGCCAGGCACCTCTGTCCTCCACTGCCTCCCGCAGTTTGGTCAAACTCATGCTGGTAACCTCGAAAACACTATCCAACCATCTCGTCCTCTGTCGCCCCCTTCTCCTTGTGCCCTCCATCTTTCCCAACATCAGGGTCTTCTCCAGGGAGTCTTCTCTTCTCATGAGGTGGCCAAAGTACTGGAGCCTCAGCTTCACGATCTGTCCTTCCAGTGAGCACTCAGGGCTGATTTCCTTAGGAATGGATAGGCTTCTTGCAGTCCATGGGACTCTCAAGAGTCTCCTCCAGCACCATAATTCAACAGCATCAATTCTTCGGCAATCAGCCTTCTTTATGGTCCAGCTCTCACTTCCATACATCACTACTGGGAAAACCATAGCTTTTACTATACAAACCTTTGTTGGCAAGGTGATGTCTCTACTTCTCAAAATGCTGTCTAGGCCTGTCATTGCCCTTCTCCCAAGAAGCAGGCGTCTTTTAATTTCGTGGCTGCTGTCACCATCTGCAGTGATCATGGAGCCCAAGAAAGTAAAATCTCTCACTGCCTCCATTTCTTCCCCTTCTATTTGCCAGGAGGTGATGGGACCAGTGGCCGTGATCTTCGTTTTTTTGATGTTGAGCTTCAGACCATATTTTGCGCTCTCCTCTTTCACCCTCATTAAAAGGTTCTTTAATTCCTCCTCACTTTCTGCCATCAAGGTTGTGTCGTCTGCATATCTGAGGTTGTTGATATTTCTTCCGGCAATCTTAATTCCGGCTAGGGATTCATCCAGCCCAGCCTTTCGCATGATGAATTCTGCATATAAGTTAAATAAGCAGGGAGACAATATACAGCCTTGTCGTACTCCTTTCCCAATTTTGAACCAATCAGTTATTCCATATCCAGTTCTAACTGTCGCTTCTTGTCCTACATAGAGATTTCTCAGGAGACAGATGAGGTGATCAGGCACTCCCATTTCTTTAAGGACTTGCCATAGTTTGCCGTGGTCGACACAGTCAAAGTCTTTTGCATAGTCAGTGAAGCAGAAGTAGATGTCTTTCTGGAACTCTCTAGCTTTTTCCATAATCCAGCGCATGTTTGCAATTTGGTCTCTGGTTCCTCTGCCTCTTCTAAATCCAGCTTGCACTTCTGGGAGTTCTTGGTCCACATACTGCTTGAGACTTCCTTGTAGAATTTTAAGCATAACACTGCTAGTGTGTGAAATGAGTGCCATTGTGCGGTAGTTGGAGCATTCTTTGGCACTGCCCTTCTTTGGGATTGGGATGTAGACTGATCTTCTCCAATCTTCTGGCCACTGCTGAGTTTTCCAAACTTGCTGGCATATTGAGTGTAGCACCTTAACAGCATCATCTTTTAAAATTTTAAATAGTTCAGCTGGAATACCATCACTTCCACTGGCCTTGTTATTAGCAGTGCTTTCTAAGGCCCATTTGACTTCACTCTCCAGGATGTCTGGCTCAAGGTCAGCAACCACACTACCTGGGGTGTACGAGACATCTATATCTTTCTGGTATAATTCCTCTGTGTATTCTTGCCACCTCTTCTTGATGCCTTCTTCTGTTAGGTCCTTTCCACTTTTGTCCTTTATTATGGTAATCTTTGTATGAAATGTTCCTTTCATATCTCCAATTTTCTTGAACAGATCTCTGGTTCTTCCCATTCTATTGCTTTCCTCTATTTCTTTGCATTGCTCATTTAAGAAGGTCTTCTTGTCTCTCCTTGCTATTCTTTGGAAATCTGCATTCAATTTCCTGTATCTTTCACTATCTCCCTCGCATTTTGCTTGCCTTCTCTCCCCCGCTATTTGTAAGGCCTCATTGGACAGCCACTTTGCTTTCTTGCATTTCCTTTTCATTGGGATGGTTTTCGTTGCTGCCTCCTGTATAATGTTGCGAGCCTCCATCCATAGTTCTTCAGGCACTCTGTCCACCAAATCTAAATTCTTAAACCTGTTCCTCACTTCCACTGTGTATTCATAAGGGATTTGATTTAGATTGTATCTTACCGGCCCAGTGGTTTTTCCTACTTTCTTCAGTTTAAGCTTGAATTTTGTTATAAGAAGCTGATGATCTGAGCCACAGTCAGCTCCAGGTCTTGTTTTTGCTGACTGTATAGAGCTTCTCCATCTTTGGCTGCAGAGAATATAATCAATCTGATTTTGATGCTGCCCATCTGGTGATGTCCATGTGTAGAGTCGTCTCTTGTGTTGTTGGAAAAGAGTGTTTGTGATGACCAGCTTGTTCTCTTGACAGAACTCTATTAGCCTTTGCCCTGCTTCGTTTTGATCTCCAAGGCCAAACTTGCCAGTTGTTCCTTTTATCTCTTGACTCCCTACTTTAGCATTCCAATCCCCTATAATGAGAAGAACATCCTTCTTTGGTGTCACTTCTATAAGGTGTTGTAAGTCTTCATAGAATTGGTCAATTTCAGTTTCTTCAGCACCAGTAGTTGGTGCATAAACTTGGATTACTGTGATGTTAAAAGGTCTGCCTTGGATTCGTATCTGGATCATTCTGTCATTTTTGAGATTGCATCCCAGTACAGCTTTCGCCACTCTTTTGTTGACTATGAGGGCCACTCCATTTCTTTTACGGGTTTCTTGCCCACAGTAGTAGATATGATAGTCATCCGAACTGAATTCACCCATTCCCGTCCATTTTAGTTCACTGATGCCCAGGATGTCAATATTTATTCTTGCCATCTCATTTTTGACCACATCCAACTTACCCAGGTTCATGGTTCTTACATTCCAGGTTCCTATGCAATATTTTTCTTTATGGCATTGGACTTTCCTTTCGCTTCCAGGCATATCCGCAACTGAGCGTCCTTTCGGCTTTGGCCCAGCCGCTTCATCAGCTCTGGATCTACTTGTACTTGTCCTCCGCTCTTCCCCAGTAGCATGTTGGACACCTGAGGGGCTCATCTTCCAGCGTCATAACTTTTATATGCCTGTTGTCTTTGTCCATGGAGTTTTCTTGGCAGGGATACTGGAGTGGCTTGCCGGTTCCTCCTCCAGGTGGATCACGTTTGGTCAAAACTCTCCACTATGACCTGTTCATCTTGGGTGCCCTGCTTGGCATAGTTCATAGCTTCTCTGAGTTCTTCAAGCCCCTTCGCCACGGCAAGGCAGTGATCCATGAAGGGGATCCTAGATCCCTTAGATCTATCCAATTACCGCGCAGTTTCAAATCTTCCATATCTGGGTAAGGTAATTGAGAGAGTGGTTGCTGAACAGCTTGGTAGGTTTCAGGAGGAAACATCGGCTTTAGATCTATTTCAGACCGGTTTCCGTCCTGGTTTTGGGACCGAGACAGCTCTGGTTGCCCTAACAGATGATCTCCGTAGACAACTGGATTGAGGCGGGTCAGGAGTGCTGATCCTTTTAGATTTCTCAGCAGCCTTTGACATGGTCGATCATGATCTTCTGGACCACCGCCTCACCTACGTGGGGATACAGGGCATAGCCCATAAATGGCTGTGCTCTTTTATCTCTGGTCGGGGACAGAGGGTGGCACTAGGGAGGGAAATGTCGTCGCACCACTCCTTGGTGTGTGGAGTGCCGCAGGGCGCAATCCTCTCCCCGATGCTTTTTAACATCTTTATGCGTCCCCTTGCCCGGATTGTCCAGAGCTTTGGGCTGGGCTGTCACCAATATGCTGATGACACTCAGCTCTATCTGCTGATGGATGGCCACACTGACTCGGCCCCGGACACACTGACCAGATGCTTGGAAGCTGTGGCTGGATGGTTTCGTGGGAGCTGATTGAAACTAAATCCTTCGAAGACAGATGTCCTATGGCTTTGATTTGATGTTTAAATCACAGATATGCTGGAGTTCCAGTCGGCAGGCCTTTCTTGGCAGCCGCTGATAATGAGGCAATGAGGTTGCTTTGAGAGCTAATCCAGGCTCTTTCCACTTCCTGAGGTATCCCCTCAATAGTGCCAAGAGTTCCCTGCTAGCTCCCTCTTATACCTCCAAACCCCCAAATTTGGAGTTTTTCCTTTCCCCTTCTTCTGTACCGCCAGTTTCCAAAAGACTGTTCAGATTCCTCAAGCTAACATCTTTTAATCCCAAAGGACAGCTGGATACAGTAGTTTTTAACTGGTATCCAAAAGAAGGGAACAGTTCCCAAAGTCAGAGCCAATTTGTAACTACGTCTCCATGGCTGTAAGCAGTTCCTTATCTCCCACTGTTTTGGCTCCTCAGGAAGGATGAAAGAGACGGATCCTGCAAAGCTAGTGAGGATGGAAGGAGGAAGATGGACAGTTGACCTGGTCAGGTTGTCTCCTGCATCCCTCCCCACAACCTCTGAGCGTTCCCTCCCAGGGACCTCCGAGAGATCTGGTGAGTCCCAGGGGAGTGGAGATGGGGACCTGGATGGACGGAGCCAGAGAGGTATCAGGGCTTGCTCAGTTTGGGGGTGGGAGGAGGCAGGCAGGCGGATGGAGATGGAGAAGGGGAGCACCTTTTCGGGCTCCCCCACCTGCCTGCCTGCGCCTTTGTAATCTGCAGGCATTTTGAGCTAGGAATACAGTCGTATAGTTCTTGAAGTCTCTTCGACTTCCGAGGCGCAACTTTTAATTGGCTCTTGCAATGGGAAGAGCTGATCTGAAGCTGACGCCACATCACTTTCTCTCCCTGGCACCGCTGGACCAGCCCTCTGCTTCCCTTTCCCTCAGGTGAAATCCCCAATGGAGTAGGAATCACAAGCGACCGTGGGTTTTCTTTGGGAAAACAGAGTAGGACTGTCAGAAGCTTTGTAAGATTAAAATATCACTTATTTATGCCGAACAATGTTATGAGATAGGTATTGATGTAACTGAAAAAAGAAACAAAACAGAATGCAATTAATTGGTAAACTATTAGACGTGATAGAAGGAAGTCACAAAGCTCAATTGAGCAGAAGATGTTAAGATAAAAGATATGATGAGATGTGTCTATATGTTAAAAAAAATCTTTGGGAAAACAGGTTGCAAACAAACCTTATTATAACAGATGTAAACAAGGAGTTTTGGTTCTTCTTCCACAGAAATGGAACAAACAGTGCTGTTTATTATTTTCTGTTAACATGAATACGGATTCAAGTTATAGGCTGTATGCTGTTTAGGCTTAAGGTTACTTCTTTTACACATTTTCCATGGATCAGGCTTATCCACACACATTTCTGGAACCGAATCCTGAAATCCTGATCCTGCGTCCTCCGTGTGTTGCCTTTTTCTTTTCTTTTTGGAATAACTTTTATTTGCTTTTAAAAACAAGGATCATAGGACCACTAAATGGTGCAAATATGTAGACCACGGGTCGGCAATCTATGTCCTACGGGCCGCAAGCGGCTCATAGGGGTCATTTAACTGAGCTGCCCCCAAACCGAGCCGTCCGCTCGGTGAGTCCTGTGTGTACACACTTGATCCTGCCCACGGAGTGATCTCCATGAGAGTGAACCAGGCCAGGCGAGGTAAAGCTTGCCGACCCCTGATGTAGACCCAGTCTTCTCATGTCATTTGTATATCTCAAAACTAGCAGAATCTATTTGCAGGAATATCTGTAACGTACGATTCATCATTAGTGGTCAGTGTGTGAGTTCTGGGTTCATGAAATGTTTTAAACTGGAACAAAAAATAGGGAAACAGGAGAGAACAGAGAGCATTCAACATTGCATAGCTGAATGCCTAGTCAGGAGCTCTTGCGGCTGTTGTGTTTAGATTAAGTGTGAGTTATAGTCATTTTTCCTCTTCTGTTACCAATGAAATAATACGGAGTTGGTCTCCTCATGAACACGGGAGGGGGGGTTCAAACTGAAGAAAGTGATTTATGTATAAATTTAAATTTAGACCAATCAGATTGAGGCAACTGCTGATGGGGTGTAGGTTTCACAGACAAGGCATGGATGTTAATGGATCCTGACCCAAGAGTTCTGCATAAGGAAGTAAAGGAGGAGAATCCTGGGATCATGGACAGTCTGACCCCTTCTCTCCTTCTGTAATCTTCATAGAACTCTAAACCGATGGTTGCCATTAATTTCATTCTGAATTGATTCTAGAATGTATTTTAATTACCGTATTTTTTGCTCCATAAGACACTTTTTTCTTCCTAAAAAGCAAGGGGAAATGTCTGTGTGTCTTATGGGGTGAATGCATGGTCCTTGGAGACGAATTGCCCAGGGGCAAAAAGCAGATCATGTTTTTCTTTTTCTTTTTTGAAAGAGGGAAGTGGGTGTTGAAACAAAGCCACTGATCAGCAAGCGATCCGGAGCGAGATAAGGGATGCTAGCAATAAAGAAGGCTGCCTGGGAGGGGGGAGGTAAAGACAGCAAACTTGCAAGGAGAGGAGACAGGAAGACTAAAGCAATGAGGAGAGTAATTAGAAGAAAGGGAGGAGCAAAGAACTGCTGCAGCTAAGGAAAAGAATTTTTTAATTCATTAACATCGTTCAGTAATCTGGTGCTTCCTTTCTTCCTGAGGCTCTAATTAGCTTCTCTCTGTTGGCTATTTGCAGTATGGTAGCGCTGCAGAGAGCTTGCTGGGGAGACCATGCATTAAAAAGGGACTCAAAAATAACTTAAACAAGGTTTTAATAAGAAAAAGAAAAACTCCATTTACACTAAATACATCAACAAACAAACATGACCCAACCACCAACCCATCCCCCAGGGTGATGGGAGAGTTAGGTGCTGCTCCTTATATACTACACCCAATTGCTGACACAGCTTAATCAATACAACTCAGCAGCACCTGCTATGTTTCACAGCTGTAAAGCTGGGTCTCGTTATTTTGCTCTGGCCCTTGCTCTGGCCCCTTAAAGACATACACATCGGGTGGAACAATGATGAACCTTTACATTTAAAGTAACCATTCAACACTCTCTTCATTGCAGATGGTGATGAATTGGAAGGGAAGAACAAAGGGGATCACAACAGAATCCACATAGTGGAGAAGTCAAATAAATATTCAGGGTGTGGAGAGAACATCCGTCAGAGCTCCCAGTGCACCTCCCATCAAGGACACAGCTTCATTCGGAGGCATAGCCTTACTTCACACGAAAGAACTCACAGTGGAGAGAAATTGCATCAGTGCTTGGAATGTGGAAAGGGCTTCCGTCGGAAGGATTCTCTCATTTCCCATCAAAGAATTCATACAGGAGAGAAACCCTATCCGTGCTTGGAATGCGGAAAGAACTTCAGTCAGAGGAGCAATCTGACAACCCATCAAAGGATTCATACAGGGGAGACACCCTATAAGTGCTTGGAATGTGGAAAGAGATTCAGACAGAGCTCAGAGCTCACTTCCCATCATAGAATTCATACAGGGGAGAAACCCTATCAGTGCTTGGAATGTGGAAAGAGATTCAGATTGAGGTCAGAGCTCACTTCCCATCACAGAATTCATACCGGGGAGAAACCCTATCAGTGCTTGGAATGTGGAAAGAGATTCAGACTGAGGTCAGAGCTCACTTCCCATCACAGAATTCATACAGGGGAGAAGCCCTATCAGTGCTTGGAATGTGGAGAGAGCTTCAGACAGAGTAGGAATCTGACAACCCATCAAAGATTTCATACAGGGGAGAAACCCTATCAGTGCTTGGAATGTGGAGAGAGCTTTCGTGAGAGTCGATTACTCGCTTCCCATCGAAGAATTCATACAGGGGAGAAACCCTATGAGTGCTTGGAATGTGGAAAGGGCTTTAGTGAGAGTCGATTACTCGCTTCCCATCGAAGAATTCATACAGGGGAGAAACCTTTTCAGTGCTATGAATGTGGAAAGAGCTTCGCTCATAGGAACAATCTCACTTCCCATCAAAGCATTCATACAGGGGAGAAACCTTTTCAGTGCCTTGAATGTGGAAAGAGCTTCACTAACAGGGCCAATCTCATTTCCCATCAAAGCATTCATACAGGTCAGAAACCATATAAATGCTTCGAATGTGGAAAGAGCTTCAGTCACAACTACAGTTTCAATATTCATCAAAGAATTCATACAGGTGAGAAACCCTATCAGTGCCAGGAATGTGGAAAGAGCTTTCGTGAGAGGGGAAAACTCACTGCTCATCGAAGAATTCATACAGGGGAGAAACCCTATCAATGCTTGGAATGTAGAAAGAGCTTCACCCAAAGGGCCCATCTCCTGATCCATCAAAAAACTCATACAGGTCAGAAACCCTATCAGTGCCAGGAATGTGGAAATAGCTTTCGTGAGAGGGGAAAACTTGCTGTTCATCAAAGAATTCATACAGGGGAGAAACCCTATCAATGCTTGGAATGTAGAAAGAGCTTCAGTCGGAAGGATGCTCTCACTTCCCATCAAAGAATTCATACAAGGGAGAAACCCTATCAATGCTTGAAATGTGGAAAGAGCTTCAGTCAGAGGCACAGTCTCACTTCCCATCAAAGAATTCATAAAGGGGAGAAACCCTAACCATGCTTGGAATGTTTAAAGAACTAATAATAATAACAACAGATACTGGTAGGTAGCCGTGTTGGTCTGCCATAATCAAAACAAAATTTAAAAAATTCTTAACGCTGGGCAGCTCCCAACAGACTATTGAAAACATGATAAAAAATCAAGTATTGTTGTTGTTTAGTCGTGTCCGACTCTTCATGACCCCAAACTCATGTTGGTAGCTTCAAGAACACTGTCCAACCATCTCGTCCTCTGTCGTGCCCTTCTCCTTGTGCCTGCAATCTTTCCCAACATCAGGGCCTTTTCCAGGGAGTCTTCTCATAAGGTGGCCAAAGTCTTGGAGCCTCAGCTTCAGGATGTGTCCTTCCAGTGAGCACTCAGGGCTGATTTCCTTCAGAATGGATAGGTTTGATCTTCTTGCAGTCCATGGGACTCTCAAGAGTCTCCTCCAGCACCAGAATTCAAAAGCATCAATTCTTTGGCGATCAGTCTTCTTTATGGTCCAGCTCTCACTTCCATACTTCACTACTGGGAAAACCACAGCTTTAACTATACGGACCTTTGTTGGCAAGGTGATGTCTCTGCTTTTTAAGATGCTGTCTAGGTTTGTCATTGCTTTTCTCCCAAGAAGCAGGCGTCTTTTAATTTCGTGACTACTGTCGTCACCATCTGCAGTGATCATGGAACCCAAGGAAGTAAAATCTCTCACTGCCTCCATTTCTTCCCCTTCTATTTGCCAGGAGGTGATGGGACCAGTGGCCATGATCTTCGTTTTTTTGATGTTGAGCTTCAGACCATATTTTGCGCTCTCCTCTTTCACCCTCATTAAAAGGTTCTTTAATTCCTCCTCACTTTCTGCCATCAAGGTTGTGTCGTCTGCATATCTGAGGTTGTTGATATTTCTTCCGGCAATCTTAATTCCGGCTAGGGATTCATCCAGCCCAGCCTTTCGCATGATGAATTCTGCGTATCAGTTAACTAAGCAGGGAGACAATATACAGCCTTGTCGTATTCCTTTCCCAAATTTGAACCAATCAGTTGTTTCATATCCAGTTCTAACTGTAGCTTCTTGTCCCACGTAGAGATTTCTCAGGAGACAGATGAGGTGATCAGGCACTCCCATTTCTTTAAGAACTTGCCATAGTTTGCTGTGGTCGACACAGTCAAAGTCTTTTGCGTAGTCAATGAAGCAGAAGTAGATGTCTTTCTGGAACTCTCTAGCTTTCTCCATAATCCAGCACATTTTTGCAATTTGGTCTCTGGTTCCTCTGCCTCTTCTAAATCCAGCTTGCACTTCTGGGAGTTTTCGGTCCACATACTGCTTGAGCCTTCCTTGTAGAATTTTAAGCATAACCTTGCTAGCATGTGAAATGAGCGCAATTGTGCGGTAGTTGGAGCATTCTTTGGCACTGCCCTTCTTTGGGATTGGGATGTAGACTGATCTTCTCTAATCCTCTGGCCACTGCTGAGTTTTCCAAACTTGCTGGCATATTGAGTGTAGCACCTTAACAGCATCATCTTTTAAAATTTTAAATAGTTCAACTGGAATACCATCACTTCCACTGGCCTTGTTATTAGCAGTGCTTTCTAAGGCCCATTTGACTTCACTCTCCAGGATGTCTGGCTGAAGGTCAGCAACCACACTACTCCGGGGTGTATGAGACATCCATATCTTTCTGGAATATTTCCTCTGTGTATTCTTTCCATCTCTTCTTGATGTCTTCTGCTTCTGTTAGGTCCTTACCACTTTTGTCCTTTACCTTCCCCATTTCCCTAACTCAGGGGATGGGATTTCTTCCTCCCAGTTCCCTCCATGGAAACTTAGGGAATGGGATCCGTTCCTGCTCAGTCTCTGCCCCAGAGATTAAACGGAGCCAAGAACACTCAGAAGCAGTCATAAATCAAAGCTTCTCTGTTCAAGCTACTTGGCAGCTGCACAAACGTTCCAGGCAGCCTACTTTCACTTTTCGGCAGCCGCTGTACTCACAGTCTATCTGCTTTTTCTCTTCCGTCTCTGAAGAGGCTTGCTTCACGGTGCCAGTTCCAGGAAACTCCAACCGGGACAAAAACAGCCCCCAGTTTTTTCCAGCTGGGATTCTTTTATGGGATTCTTGCCCACATTAGTAGATACGATGGTCATTCGAACTGAATTTGCCCGTTCCCATCCATTTTAGTTCAGTGATGCCCAGGATGTCAATATTTATTATTCCTATCTCATTTTTGACCACATCCAGCTTACCAAGGTTGGTGGTTCTTACATTTCAGGTTCCTAGCTCATAGTTTCTCTGAGTTATTTAAGCCCCTTCGCCACGATAAGGCACTGATCCGTGAAGAAGCATCAAGCACCACTAAGAAGGCCCTCTGCCTGGTTCCATGTAACCGCACTTCTCGCAGTGAGGGAAATGTACTAGGAGCCAATGTAGGTCTTTCAGGACCGGTCTTATATGGCGGCAACTCCCAGTCACCAGTCCACCTGCCACATTTTGGATTAGTTGTATTTTCCAGGTTGCCTTCAAAGGTAGCCCCACACAGAGCGCATTGCAGTAGTCCAAGAGGGAGATAACCAGAGCATGCAGCAATCTGGCGAGACAGTCTACGGGCAGGGAGGGTCTCAGCCTGCATACCAGGTGGAGCTGGTAAACAGCTGCCCTGGGCACAGAATTGACCTGCATCCGCATGGACAGCTGTGAGTCCAAAATGAATCCCAGGCTGTACACCTGGTCCTTGAGGGGCAATTACCCCATTTAGGACTAGGGAGTCCCCCACACCTGCCTGCTCCCTGTCCCCCCAAAACAGTACTTCTGTCTTGACAGGATTTAGCCTCAATCTGTTAAGTGCCATCCATCCTCCAACCGCCTCCAGGCACTGCCGCTGCTTGTCCACCAGGTTTCTCTTACGCACAGCAACCCAGGCCTTGTGGGCGGGGAGGGGGGGTTGCAGTGAGTTTTAGGAAGTCACTAGTTTGCACCAGGCGTCCTATTGGGAAGACCCAGTTCTCTGAGTGCATGTTCTGGAAGTTGGGCAATAGGGGCAGTACAGGATTCCTTTTGGTGTATTGACCTCCATGCTGCACCAAGGATTCTCTGCCTGAGCTACTTCAGGTCATGGCGGATGTTCTCCTGGAGACACCTAGTTTGGTTGTCCAAGGGGATTTTAACATCCATGCCAACACGACCTTACAAGGGGCCGCTCAGGACTTCGTGGAAAGCATGGCCTCCATGGGGCTGTCCCTGAATACATCTGGCCCAACCCATAGCCGCGGACATGCCTTGGACCTGGTGTTTACCTCTATGGATGTTGGTGATCTGACACTAAGTAAAAGCGAAATGAAAGAAGTGCCATGGTCAGATCACTTCCTGGTGCAACTGGACTTCTCCACGACCCTTCCCCTCTGCAGAGAAGGGTCGCATTGTACTTTTGTCTTGTCAGGATTCAACCTCAATCTGTTAGCCGCCATCCATCCTCCAACTGCCTCCAGACACTCACACAGACCATTCACTGCCTTCATTGGTTCTGATGTAAAAGAGAGGTAGAGCTGGGTATTATCTGCATACTGATGAACACCCTGCCCTAATCCCCTATGATCTCTCCCAGTGGCTTCATATAGATGTTGAAAAGCATGGGGGAGAGGATGGAACCCTGAGGCACCCCACAAGTGAGAACCAAGGATCCCAACACCACTTTCTGGACACGGCCCAGGAGGACGGAGCGGAACTACTGTATAACATTGCTCCCAGTTCCTCTAGGTGGTTGAGAAGCATGTGATGGTCGATGGTATCAAAGGCCGCTGATAGATCCAGCAGAACTAGGAAGCAGCTTTCACCTTTGTCCCTAGTATGTCGGACATCATCGACCAACACGACCAAGGTAGTTTCAGTTCCATGATGAGGCCTGAATCCCTGGTTGGGAGGGATCCAAATGGTTCACATCCTCTATGCGTGCCTGGAGTTGTCCAGCAAACACCTGCTCTATCACTTTGCCCAAGAATAGAAGATCTGAGACTGGGCGATAGTTGGCCATATTAGCCGGGTCTAAAGATGTTTTTTAAGAAGTGATTTAATAGCTGCCTCTTTCAGTGGGTCTGGGAAGGCTCCCTCGCAGAGGGAAGCATTCACCACCCCACAGAGCCCATCGCCCAGCCCTTCCTGGCTCGCTTTTATGATGAAGGAGACATGTGGTTATATGATGAAGGAGACAGGATGAAGGAGACATGTGGTTGCTTTCACTTGTCCAATCAGCCTGTCTGCATCCTCAGAGGTAACAGGTTGGAATCAATCTCATGCAGCTTGACTAGACAGGACTCTAGCACTCTCACCCTGTCCCTGCTCCCACAGTGGAGTCTACCTCCTGAATCTGAGTGAATCTGCAAAAAAACTTTGCAAAATAATAACAGGAGATCTTGGGGGCCTTTTCAGGTCCCGATGGCGCAGGTGGTTCTGTTAAATTACGAACCACCTGAAAGAGTCTCCTGCTGCTGTTTTCTGCAGATGCAATAGAGGCGGTCCCTTTTACCGTCACTATTGCCACTTGGTAGGCTTGACATTGAGCTGTAAACCGTGTCTATTCTGATTCAGAATGAGTTTTCCGCCACTTGTGCTCTAGAGGTCTCAGCCATTCTTTCATTGCCCTCAGCTCTAAGGAAAACCACAGGGCTGTCCGCGCGCCATTCAATCAAATAGGGCGCTTTAGAGCCAGACAGTCGATAGCCCTGGTTAACTCCACATTCCAGCAGGCCACCAGGGAATCAGCTGAAAGGGTTGCTGTGCATAAGAGAAACCCGATGGACAAGTAGCGGCAAGGACAGGTCCATCTGCTTCAACCAACCAAGTCTCTGTCACGCTACCGGCACACGGATATCCCGCTTTATCAATACCTGAAGGAGTCTCAAAGCAACTAACATTCTCCCTTCCCTTCCTCCCCCACAACAAACACTCTGTGAGGTGAGCGGGGCTAAGAGACTTCAAAGAAGTGTGACTAGCCCAAGGTCACCCAGCAGCTGCATGTGGAAGAGCGGATACGCAAACCCGGCTCCCCGGATTACGAGTCTATCGCTCTTAACCAGTACACCACAGTAGCTCTTGTAGTAAACAACAGTATTTTTCTTTCCAAATTTAATGAGTAGGAAATCTCCAACATTTATATTTTCAGGATTGGGAACATCAAAAATTGTACACTAGCAGGGCACTTCTATACGTATCAATGTGCCCCATGTCTAAAAGTGCCCCAACAGACATTTTCAAAAAATTAACATTTATTAATAAAACCACTGAATTTATTTAAAAATCACGTGTAATCTTGATTACTGAGTGGAATAACTTACTTGGTCTTAATAAATCTTAAGGATTTAAAACAGCGTTGGAACACTTTTACATTTCTCATAATTGTTCATTTGGCTGCACTAAAAACACACCTACTCTTGTCAAACGCCAGCAGCTAACTGGTGGGCAGCGTGGTCACAACTGTTGTACTCACACATGTATAGACGTGTTTCTCGAAACTGAAATATTGTTGGTGTATCAATGTGTCCCTTGCATCAATGTGCCCCATCTCCCCCTACATGCCAGAGAGGCTGCTTCCCTGGGAAAGGAAGGAGCAGGAATCCCTAAAGGGGAGGATCTGTATGTGATCCCATCTCTAGAGCTCACATAAACACCAGAGGGAAGGTGGCCGGGGCGTAAAAGGAAAAGCATTGGCCTCGAACGCAGGCCTCAGGGACGCTTCTCCCCGTTCCCCCCATAGAGACCTGGGACCCCTTCTCCAGGAGGGACCTCCAAGGAGGAGGAAGCCAGGGCGGATCAGTCCCTGGACCTTGGAGGCAATGCCTGGACTCCTCTGGAAAGATGCAATATAATGTTCCTTTCCCCATTGGCCAGGAACCTAAGCTCCTTTTGGGGTTATCATTCCGCACCCCAAGGTTCCTCCAAAGCCTTGGGGAAGGAAACTGAGGCAGGCCTGGCCATGGCAAGAGGAAGAGCTCTGGCTGCCCCCCAGGGTGGGGGGCCTGCCTCTTTCTCTGGCCATAGCAACCCCCAGGAAGCCTTGAAGAAAGGCAGGAGACCCTCAGCAGAGAGCAGCCAAGTTTGGTTCTTCTCCGCAATGGCTTCCTCTTCTGAGAGCTCCCTCTCTTTATTCTCTGGGCTGGACTGGGAGGACCCCAGTTCAGCCAGTTCCCCTTAGTCTCCCCGCTGGGTTCCAGTGGCCCCATGAGACCTGCAGGAATCTGGAGTGGAAGCGACTTCTCCTGTTGAACTACCGCCTGAGGGGGAAGAATAATCGAGGTCCGTCCAGAAAGGGCTCCTGGGATCCTGAGGAGCAAGAAGGCGTCTGGCGAGGAGCAGGGCTGCTCTGCGGAGGCAAAGCCATAATGGCAGGAAGGCGGCTGAGGACGCCCCATGAGCGCTGGCCCCCGAAGCTGCCACCCTCCTTCGCTGGGAGAAGAGACCCCTGAGAGCGTGGGACCCCCGAGGTCCACAGGGAGCCATGACGTCTCTGGGAGCGGCTGGGGCCTCCGGGAAAAAACAAAATGGCGTTCCCGCCTTTTTTGGAAAAGGGCGGGAAACCCCTTCTCCTGGCCCTGCCGCCTCCGTGGGCTCCTCCTGGGCCTGCCTGGCCATGGGGGGGGGGATGCAGCTGTTGGGATACTGCCAGGGAGACAAAGTCCATCATGGCCCCCAAGCCGGCTGCCGGACGATCCATCGATCTCCCGTAGTCACGCAGTATCAGCAATTAGCGACACGAGTTTCCAGAAATTAGCTTGCCACATTCCAGAGCTCATGCACATTCTATCAGCAGATAATGCACAGCCAAAGTAGCACTCAAGACAGCATTATTTACAAGTTTATTCAGCGTTGATCAGAACACAGAAAAACATGACTGCCTGCGTCAGTGTCTCCAAACACACAGAGAGAGAAAACGAAAGCAACAGAAAACATAAACATCCTGTGAACAGGAAATACGCAGACTCTGTGACTCATAGCCTGCTCCCTTTTAAGGTGGAACGGAAACATCCTAACAGCAGCTGCCCAAAAACTCTTCCCTTCCCCAGACATTGGGGGGGGGGGGCATTAAGAGAAGGAGAAATGAAGGAGAAGCTGGGACGGGAGCAGCCAAGAGGGAAACTCAGGAGGGAAACTCCCTCAGGAAACCTGGCAAAGGAGAGGATGAGGCCCAGGGGAATCTGAAAGGGGATTGGCCAGCTCTCAAATGGAGAGGCTTCTGATTGGTCCTGCTCTGGGGTGAGAAATGGGGTCAAATGGTTCTGAGAGCCCAGTATAAACTGGTTTTCTTACAGGAAACGCAGGGAAGGGATGGAGTTGGGAGGGGGGGAAAGTCCCAGAGTGGGGGGGCTGCCCCCTGAGCAGCATGGGTCCCTCTCCCTCCCTCCCCAATAGTGGGCTTCGCCTTTCCTGCCTGTGGTGCTTTTACGGGGTGGGGGGCTTCCACACCTCCCCCCCCCATCGCGTGTGCGTTTCATTCCTCGCATGGGACACTTCCTCATCTGTCTCTCTTCCTGGGCTGCAGAAGCAGGAAAGTCCGCTTGGCGGGGGGGGGGGGTGAGATTATTTTCGGAGGGGGAGGGATCTCCTGGCTGGGGAGCCCCCTCCATTCTTCCCCCCACTCGCTGATCGGGAGGGTGTTTTGTTTTTTTGAGGGGTGTCTTGATGGAGCCATTTCTTAGCCTCTTCTCCATCCCAGCCTTTCTTTGGGATTCAGGAGCCTCTATGTTGGAGGAGGGGGAGAGCCAAGGTAACCCCCCCATGGCCACCCCCGTCTCTCTTTCGGTTAGTCTGGATCATATGTGGGCTCCTTGGGGCAGAGTCCTTGGCACAGACGGGGGCAGCCCCTTGAGCGCAGGCGCAGAAGCAGGAAAACTGCAGAGAGGGAGGGGTGCCCTCGGCTTTGCAAGAGTTAAAAGGAGCAAAGCTGGATTCCTAGAGAGGACAGGAAGTGAAGGGGGGTCAAGGTCCTCCATGGCTAAATTCCCTCCCTCCCACCTCCCTTCCTACAAGCAGAGAGGAGGTTGCTTTGTTTTCTCTCCTTTACCAAAGCTTCCTTGGGGCCCCTCCTGGAATCCGTGAGTCTCCTCTCTCTTCCCCCCGAGAGTGCAATGGGGAGATTGGGGTCCCTGTTCAGATCATGCACGGTGGGGGGAGAAGAGAGAAGAAGAGGAGGAGTTTGGATTTGATATCCCGCCTTTCACTCCCCTTCAGGAGTCTCAAAGTGGCTAACATTCTCCTTTCCCTTCTTCCCCCACAACAAACACTCTGTGAGGTGAGTGGGGCTGAGAGACTTCAGAGAAGTTTGACTAATCCAAGGTCACCCAGCAGCTGCAGGTGGAAGAGCGGAGACGCGAACCCGGTTCCCCAGATTACGAGTCCACCGCTCTTAACCACTACACCACACTGGTCCTCCCTTTCCTCTCTGCCAAGCCAGGGAGGGGGCCAGTTCGCAGGAGGTCTGCAGCTCTGTTCTTCCTTGGGATCCAGATGCTGCCTTCCTTTTTGGGGAGGGGGCTTTGGGTCAAGAAAAACTGGGCATGCAGATAAACCCCCTTCAGACTGAGGAGTAAGTCACTTTTGTGAACAGAGGCTGCAGCCAGATGGGAAGATTTGCACATGGAGGAAGCACAGGGAGAAGAAAAGCCCGCCTGCATCTGTAGCAGCACAACTGGACCACTTCCTCTGTCCCAGATGCAACAAAACATGCCTCTCCCCTGTTCAGGCTAAATAAGTAGACGAACTAATGTCAAAGCAAATTTCAGATGTATTTTCAGGAAATGCTAAAGCAAGGATGAAAGACTCCTTATCCCACCATTCTGGGACAAATGCGGAGCGATTATCAATAACTGGGTGGCTTGTACTACTAACAGAGGACATGGAACACATAAAATCCTTTTCCCCCCTGACTGTGATAAAATCCATCCTATCCTGATAGGTACTTGCAAAACCTTCTGGGAGAAAATCTAGCAGAGGGTCTGTGGGTTTTGATAAACAAGAAATGGAAATTGGTGTTATCTCAAAATAGACTAGTTCTATCAAGCTACCCTAAGGCGTTGGGAATCTTGTCACAAGAGGAGTGTAAAGCTCACCTCAGGAGTTTTTTTAAAGGGTCTACATGCCTGGTGTCTGAAGAACAGAAGAGATTTAGGACATGTGGAAGATCTAATTTTGATGGCTTCCATGCCGGGGTGGAGACTGGAGACTTGTGAAGATGGTGTATAAACACAGATAATGTCTAAGGAGGAGTGGTGTATTCGTCAACCCCAGACAGAGGCAAATATGGCCACAACATCTGGCTTGTGATGAGAGAGCTCAAAGATTGTGAACAGGGCTCTCCATACAAAGCACCTAGCATGGGGGCACCTACATGTAATATCTACTCTGCTCTTTTCTGCCCATGCTCTGGGGCTGGTTTTCAGGCTTGGGGACAGGATGGTGACTGGTTTTTGCACCAAGTTCTGTCAATTATCCCCACTGAGTTCAAAGGGATCTACTCTGAGGTCACTACTGTGCAGACCATGCCAGCCTTACGAAGTGGGGTGAGGAGTATACAGAGGAAATTGGAATCACTGGAGATGTTTAGAAATGGGGCTTCTCTTGGGAAGGGGCTGCCCCATTTGCGCTTCTCTAGGGGCAGGAGAATATCTAGGGCAAGAGAATCCCTGCAGGGCCTCTGAGGCTGCCTTTGCTTCTTCCTCTCTCCCAGGACCCTGCAGCTCGTTTTGGCTCCTTGACTCCTCAGGAAGGATGAAAGAGACGGATCCTGCAAACCTAAGGAAGATGGAAGGGGGAAGATGGACGGTTGACCTGGTCAGGTTGTCTCCTGCATCCCTCCCCACAACCTCTGAGCGTTCCCTCCCAGGGACCTCCGAGAGATCTGGTGAGTCCCAGGGGAGTGGAGATGGGGACATGGATGGATGAAGCCAGAGAGGTATCAGGGCTTGCTCAGCTTGGGGGGGTGGGAGGAGGCAGGCAGGCGGATGGAGATGGAGAAGGGGAGCACTTTTTTGGGCTCCTCCACCTGCTTCCTGCCTGCACCTTTGTAATCTGCAGGCATTTTGAGCTAGGAATACAGCTGAACCTCAGAAGTCGAACAGAATCCATTCTGGAAGTCGGTTCAACGTCCGAGGCGTGACTTTTGATTGGCTCTTGCAATGGGAAGAGCCGATCGGAAGCTGCAATGACGCCACGTCACTTTCTTTCCCTGGCACTGCTGGGCCAGCCCTCTGCTTCCCTTTCCCTCAGGCGAAATCCCAATGGAGTATGAATCACGAGCGACAGTGGGTTTTCTTTGGGAAAACAGGTTGCAAACAAACTTTATTATAACAGATGTAAACAAGGAGTTTTGGTTCTTCTTCCACTGAAATAGAACAAACAGTGCTGTTGTTCTTTTCTATTAACATGAATATGGATTCAAGTTATAGGCTGTATGTTGTTTAGGCTTAAGGTTACTTCCTTTTACACATTTTCCATGGATCAGACTTCTGCACACAAATTTCTGGAACTGAATCCTGATCCTGCGTCCTGTGTGTGTTGCCTTTTTCTTTTCTTTTTGGAATAACTTTGCTTTTAAAAACAAGGATCATAGGACCACTAAATGATGAAATATGTAGACCAGGGGTCAGCAATCTACCATCCTTGGGCTGCAAGCGACTCACGGGGGTCATTTAACCGGCCCCTGAGCTGCCCCCAAGCCGTCCGCTTGGTGAGTCCTGTGTCTACACACGTGATCCTGCCCACGGAGTGATCTCCGTGAGAGTGAGCCAGGCCAGGCGAGGTAAAGCTTGCCGACCCCTGATGTAGACCCAGTCTTCTCATGTCATTTGTATATCTCAAAACTAGCAGAATCTATTTGCAGGAATATCTGTAACATACGATTCATCATTAGCGGTCAGTGTGTGAGTTCTGGGTTCATGAAATGTTTTAAACTGGAACAAAAAATAGGGAAACAGGAGAGAACAGAGAGCATTCAACACTGCATAGCTGAATGCCTAGTCAGGAGCTCTTGCGGCTGTTGTGTTTAGATTAAGTGTGAGTTATAGTCACTTTTCCTCTTATGTTTCCAATGAAACAATACGGAGTTGGTCTCCTCATGAACACGGGAGGGGGGGTTCAAACTGAAGAAAGTGATTTATGTATAAATTTAAATTTAGACCAATCAGTGAGGCAACTGCTGATGGGGTGTAGGTTTCATAGACAAGGCATGGACGTTGCTGGATCCTGACCACAGAGCTCTGCAGAAGGAAGTAAAGGAGGAGAATCCTGGGATCATGGACCCTCTCAGTAAAACTCCCTGTTGGATCATAAAATCAGTTTTGAAATTTCATACATACCTCTATGTCAGGGGTCAGCAACCTGCAGCCCATGGGGGGTTTAAACGGGCCACAAGACACCCCCGAACCAAGCCACCTGCTCAGCGAGTCCCCGCGTGCTGCGCTAAGCCAGTCCAGGGCGGGGACTCGCTTCCATGGTGCTGGAAATCAGATGCAGACGCATGAGCGATCCAGACCATGGCGGGATCTTCGCAGGGCTGAACTGACCCAGGCAAGGTGACCCCTGCTCTGTGTGATGAACCTTCACTATTTTGATGGAGATGAAAAGCTAAGCAGTTGGCTCCTTACTTCTCTCACCCTGACCTAGCCACTGTGATCCACATGACAGACACCTCCAGGCTTGATTATTGTAACTCACTCTACGTGGGGATGCCCTTGAGAGTGACCCAGAAACTCCAGCAGATACAGAATGCTAAGGCAGGACTCTGGTGGGTCTGGAAGCGTTTCGCAAGAAATACCTCTGCTCACTCAGATAGATATTTACAGTCTTTATTTACATACATATTCACAAGGTACAGGACATAGCTTTCATGCATCTGAATCCTCGGTAGCAGATCCAGGAAGTGGGAGCTTTTGGCTCCTCCTCCAGCAGAGGAGCTTGGGAAGCCCCAAGCGCCTCCTTTGTTCCCTACATTTTAACCCCCTTCTGTCCTGTGCTGAAGGAGTGGGCACTCTGAACTGGTCGAGTGGTGTTGATGGTCTCCAGCATTTGGGAGCATCCGCGCCGCTTGAGTTCCTTCCGCTTACTTGTCCTCCTCTCCCTCTCCTGTCTTTTCTAACGGCTCCTGTTCTTCCCCCTCCCTCAGCTCCGGGGCATTCCCTGGCAGCCCCGTGACAGACTCCTTACGGGGTCCTCACTGCAGGATCACATTCACCCAGTTCTGTACCAGCTGCACTGGCTCCTGGTGGAGTACAGGGTCAGGTTTAAGGTGCTGGTTTTAACCTTTAAAGCCCTAAACAGCCTAGGACCCTCATACCTACGGGAGCGCCTCTCCTGGTCTGCCCCACGGAAGACCTTACGGTCTTCAAGCAAAAACATGTTCGAGGTCCTGGGCCACAGGGAGGTTAGGCTGGCCTCAACCAGAGCCAGGGCCTTTTCGGCCTTGGCCCCGATCTGGTGGAACACTGTCACAAGAGATTAGGGCCCTGCGGGACTTGACACCTTTCCTCAGGGCCTGCAAGACAGAGCTGTTCCACCAGGCCTTTGGCCAAGGCACAGTCTGACCCCCTCTCTCCTTCTGTAATCATCCTAGAATTCTAACCTGGTGGTTGCTATTAATATGATTCTGAATTAATTCTAAAATGTATTTTAATTGACTGTGTGATTTTATGTACACTGTGCTTTTTTTACCTGTTGTTAGCTGCTCCGAGCCCGGCTTTGGCCGGGAAGGGCGGAATACAAATAATTTATTATTATTATTATCATCATCATCATCATCATCATCATCATCATCATCATCTGGGATTCCAACATCCTCACCGTGAATCCTGAATGGAGGGATATCAACTGTTTTCTCTGTGAATATTCTTCATTTCGTCAAGCTTTTTTAAGCAATGGCCAGGCTTCTTTGAACTACCCAGGCTTTTTTAAATGTCATCTTCAGATTTTTTAGGGTCACGACTGGACAAACAGGCCAAACCCTATGCCAAAGGATAAGAGGTAAAGGTAAAGGGACCCCTGACCCTTAGGTCCAGTCGTGACCGACTCTGGGGTTGTGGCGCTCATCTTGCTTTATTGGCCAAGGGAGCCGGTGTACAGCTTCCGGGTCAAGTGGCCAGCGTGACGAAGCTGTTTCTGGCGAACCAGAGCAGCGCATGGAAACGCCGATTACCTTCCCGCCGGAGCGGTACCTATTTATCTACTTGCACTTTTTGTGCTTTCATACTGCTAGGTTGGCAGGAGCAGGGATCGAGCAATGGGAGCTCACCCTGTGGCGGGGATTCGAACCTCCGACATTCTAATCAGCAAGTCCTAGGCTCTGTGGCTTAAGCCACAGCGCCTCCCACACCAAAGGATAAATGGACATAAATCTGATATCAGGAATCACAAGACAGAGAAACCAGTAGGAGAACACTTCAGTCTCCCGGGACATTCTAAACAAGATCTCAAAGCAGCTGTCTTATTACAAAAGAATTTCAGAAATAGACTGGAAAGAGCAGTTGCTGAATTGCAACTTCTTACCAAACGTAAAACCATGGAGAGACCTGGTCTGAATAGAGACATTGGATTCTTATCTCATTATACATGGTATATGTAGCTATTTTTAGCCATCTCACCCCTTGCTTTTCCTGGAAGACTAATTGCAGTCGTTAATAGTCATCAACAGATTTACCACACCTATCAGCCAATCACCCATTCCCACCACCCTTCTGAGTAATACCCCTCCCCACCCTCTCACTATATATAAGGGTCTGGTGACTTCTGTTTCAGTGTATCTGGAAAAGTGTGCATGCACACAAAAGCGCATACCAATAACAAACTTAGTTGGTCTCTAAGGTGCTACTGGAAGGAATTTTTAAATTCATTAACATCTTTCAATAATCTGGGGAATAATCTTCCTGAGGCTCTAATTAGCTTCTCCATTTCAGATGGTGATGAATTGGAAGGGAAGAACAAAGGGGATCAAAACAGAATCCACACAGCGGAGAAGTCAAATAAATATTCAGGGTGTGGAGAGAACATCCGTCAGAGCTCCCAGTGCACCTCCCATCAAGGACACAGCTTCATTCGGAGGCATAGCCTTACTTCACACGAAAGAACTCACAGTGGAGAGAAATTGCATCAGTGCTTGGAATGTGGAAAGGGCTTTCGTCGGAAGCATTCTCTCATTTCCCATCAAAGAATTCATACAGGAGAGAAACCTTATCAGTGTTTGCAGTGTGGAAAGTGCTTCAGTCAGAGGAGCAATCTGACAACCCATCAAAGGATTCATACAGGGGAGACACCCTATAAGTGCTTGGAATGTGGAAAGAGATTCAGACAGAGCTCAGAGCTCACTTCCCATCACAGAATTCATACAGGGGAGAAACCCTATGAGTGCTTGGAATGTGGAAAGAGATTCAGACTGAGCTCAGAGCTCACTTCCCATCAAAGAATTCATACAGGGGAGAAGCCTTATCAGTGCTTGGAATGTGGAAAGAGCTTCAGTCAGAGCAACAGTCTCACTTCCCATCAAATAAATCATACAGGGGAGAAACCCTATCAGTGCCTGGAATGTGGAAAGAGCTTCAGACAGAGGCACGGTCTCACTTACCATCAAAGAATTCATACAGGGGAGAAACCCTATCAGTGCTTGGAATGCGGAAAGAGCTTCAGTAACCGCCAAATTCTCACTTCCCATCAAAGAATTCATACAGGGGAGAAACCCTATCAGTGCTTGGAATGCGGAAAGAGCTTCAATTGGAGGACTAGTCTTACTTCCCATCAAAGAATTCATACAGGGGAGAAACCTTTTCAGTGCCATGAATGTGGAAAGAGCTTCATTCAGAAGTATACTCTCACTTCCCATCAAAGAATTCATACAGGTCAGAAACCATATAAATGCTTCCAATGTGGAAAGAGCTTCATTCACAGCCACGAACTCACCACCCATCAAAGGATGCATACAGGTGAGAAACCCTATCAGTGCCAGGAATGTGGAAAGAGTTTTCATGAGAGGGGAAAACTTGCTAAGCATCGAAGAATTCATACAGGGGAGAAACCATATCAGTGCTTGGAATGTGGAAAGAGCTTCACCCAAAGGGCCCATCTCCTGACCCATCAAAAAATTCATACAGGTCAGAAACCCTATCAATGCTTGGAATGTGGAAAGAGCTTTCGTGATAGGGATAAACTCACTTCCCATCAAAGAATTCATACTGGGGAGAAACCCTATCAATGCTTGGAATGTAGAAAGAGCTTCAGTCGGAGGGATAGTCTTACTTCCCATCAAAGAGTTCATACAGGGGAGAAACCCTATCAGTGCTTGGAATGTGGAAAGAGCTTCAGATGGAAGGTTAGTTTCACCTCCCATCAAAGATTTCATACAGGAGAGAAACCATAAGTGTTAGAGGGGGTTTTTCCTCTGATGGCAGATGACAGAAGACTGACACCACGAGACCGGTGTAAAACCAAATCAAATGAAGATTTATGAGAAAGCAACAAACAGCAAAGCTTGTGGGTGTTTTTCCTGCAGGCAAAGTTCAAACTGCAACTTTTCCTTCTTTTATAGGCATGACCAGCTGTAACCAATCTGCTCAAAGCTCACAGAAACAGTTCTTAAAGGTACAAACATCCTTACTGTTTCTTTGAAGAATGACTCCCAACACTAACAGTGCTTGGAATGTTTAAAGAACTAATAATAATAACAGATACAGGTAGGTAGCTGTGTTAGTCTGCCATGATCAAAATAAAATAAATTCTTCCAGTAGCACCTTAAAGGCCAACTAAGTTTGTTATTGGTATGAGCTTTCGTGTGCATGTACACTACTTCAGATACCATGCATGAATAAACTTAGTTGGTCTTTAAGGTGCTACTGGAAGAATTTTTTTAAAAAATAATAATTTATTACTTGTACCCTGCCCATCTGGCTGGTGTCCCACAGCCACGCTGGGCAGCTCCCAACAGAATATTGAAAACATGATAAAACATCAAGTGGCGTTGTTCTTTAGTCGTGTCTGACTCTTCGTGACCCCCTGGACCAGAGCACGCCAGGCACTCCTGTCTTCCAGTGTCTCCCGCACTTTGGTCAGACTCATGTTGGTAGCTTTGAGAACACTGTCCAACCATCTCATCCTCTGTTGTCTCCTTCTCCTTGTGCCCTCCATCTTTCCCAACATCAGGGTCTTTTCTAGGGAGTCTTTTCTTCTCATGAGGTGGCCAAAGTATTGGAGCCTCAGCTTCAGGATCTGTCCTTCCAGTCAGCACTCAGGGCTGATTTCCTTCAGAATGGATGTTTGATCTTCTTGCAGTCCATGGGACTCTCAAGAGTCTCCTCCAGCACCATAACTCAAAAGCATCTATTCTTAGGCAATCAGCCTTCTTGATGGCCCAGCTCTCACTTCCATACATCACTATTGGGAAAACCATAGCTTTAAGTATATGGACCTTTGTCAGCAAGGTGATGTCCCTGCTTTTTAAGATGCTGTCTAGGTGTCACGGTCCAGTCTACGGGCAATTGAAGTCCCAGCTGAGGACGTCGAGACTGGGGGTAAGATGGCAGGGTGGGAGCAGGAACGAGAGTCTAGAAGCCAGGGGTCCAAGGGTCAGGAAGCAGGGAGTCAAGAAGTCGAGGGTCCGAGGGTCAAGAAGCAAGGAATTTTGAAGTCAAGGGGCCAAGGGTTGGGAAGCAAGAAGCCAAATGCAGCAAGGCAGGAAACGTGTTGCTGTGGCAAAGAGCGGAAGGGAAATGCTGACATTATATCCCTTCCTGGCTCTTGCCACCAGGTGCTGTGAGTTACCAAGCGGCCTCACCTATGTGGCTGCACCTTGCCTCTTCAGAACAAACTTAGGAAGGCCCCAGTCCTGCAAACTGGTCACAGGGCCTGGCTCCTGCACACACTTCTGACACTAGGTTTGTCATTGCTTTTCTCCCAAGACGCAGGTGTCATTTAATTTCGTGACTGCCGTCACCATCTGCAGTGATCATGGAACCCAAGGAAGTAAAATCTCTCACTGCCTCCATTTCTTTCCCTTCTATTTGCCAGGAGGTGATGGGCCCAGTGGCCATGGTCTTCATTTTGTTGTTGTTGAGCTTCAGACCATATTTTGCACCCTCCTCTTTCTGCCATCAAGGTTGTGTCATCTGCATATCTGAGCTTGTTGATATTTCTTCCGGCAATCTTAATTCCGGCTTTGGATTCATCCAGTCCAGCCTTTCGCATGATGAATTCTGCATATAAATTAAATAAGCAGGGAGACAGTATACAGCCTTGTCGTACTCCTTTCCCAATTTTGAACCAATCAGTTATTCCATATCCAGTTCTAACTGTAGCTTCTTGTCCCACATAGAGATTTTTCAGGAGACAGGTGAGGTGATCAGGCACTCCCATTTCTTTAAGAACTTGCCATAGTTTGCTGTGGTCAACACAGTCAAATCCTTTTGCTTAGTCAATGAAGCAGAAGTCGATGTTTTTCTGGAACTCTAGCTTTCTCCGTAATCCAGTGCATGTTTGCAAGTTGGTCTCTGGTTCCTCTGCCCCTTCGAAATCCAGCTTGCACTTCTGGGAGTTCTTGGTCCACATACTGCTTAAGCCTTCCTTGTAGAATTTGAAGCATAACCTTGCTAGCATGTGAAATGAGCACAATTGTGCGGTAGTTGGAGCATTATTTGGCACATCCCTTCTTTGGAATTGGGATGTAGACTGACATTCTCCAATCCTCTGGCCACTGCTGAGTTTTCCACACTTGCTGGCATATTGAGTGTAGCACCTTAACACTATAATATTTTAAAGTTTTAAATAGTTCAGCTGGAATATCATTACTTCCACTGGCCTTGTTATTAGCAGTGCTTTCTAAGGCCCATTTGACTTCACTCTCCAGGATGTCTGGCTCAAGGTCAGCAACCACACTATCCATATCTTTATGGAGTAATTCCTCTGTGTATTCTTGCCACCTCTTCTTGGTGTCTTCTGCTTCTGTTAGGTCCTAACCATTTTGGTCCTTTAGCCCCCATTTCCCTAACTCAGGGGATGGGACTTCTTCCTCCCAGTTCCCTCCATGCAAACTTAGGGAATGGGATCCGTTCCTGCTCAGTCTCTGCCCCAGAGATTAAACGGAGCCAAGAACACTCAGAAGCAGTCATAAATCAAAGCTTCTCTGTTCAAGCTACTTGGCAGCTGCACAAACGTTCCAGGCAGCCTACTTTCACTTTTAGAAGAAGAAGAAGAATTTGGATTTGATATCCCGCTTTATCTCTACCCTGAGGAGTCTCAAAGCGGCTAACAATCTCCTTTCCCTTCCTCCCCCACAACAAACACTCTGTGAGGTGAGTGGGGGTGAGAGACTTCAGCGAAGTGTGATCCAGAGGTACTTTAAACAATTATATACACAAGGACCACAGAAAGAAATTGATTTAGATCGATTTTTGAAAACAAATGGATTACAAAAAATCTCCCAGGAAAATAAATTAATGCTGAACTATAAAAGAACTGAACAGGAGATAGAAGGTGCCATTCAGAATATGCAACTAGGTAAATCTCCAGGACCGGATGGACTGACCTCTAAATATTACAGATCCTTAAAATAATGGTTAGTACAACCTTTGAAGGAAGTCTGTAACGAAATAATGGGTGGGAAAAGGGACCAGAGTCGTGGAAAGAAGCGTATATTACACTTGTACCGAAAACAGAGACTGAAAAGATGCAGCTTAAGAACTACTGCCCCATATCATTGCTCAATGTGGATTACAAAATCTTTGCAGACATTTTGGCTAAAAGACTAAAAAAAGTGTTAATGGAAGAGATCCATAAAGACCAAGCAGGCTTTCTCCCGGGTAGACATTTGTCTGATAATGTGAGAAATATAGAAGGGACCAGTTGGTTAAAGGTATACAGGTCGGAACTAAACAGTACAAATTGAGAGCATTTGCATATGACTTAGTACTGACGTTACAGGAGCCAGAATCTAGTACTAAAAGGGTTTTAGAACTGATTCAAGAATTTGGTCAAGTGGCAGGATTTAAATTGAATAAGTTAAAAACCAAGGTTTTAGAGAAAAATTTAACACCGATTGAAAGAGAGAGGTTTCAGAATGAGACAGGTTTAACAGTGGTTAAGAAAGTTAAATATTTGGGGATTAACATGACAGCAGAAAATGGGAACTTATTTAAGGATAACTATGAAAAATGCTGGTCTGAAGTGAAAAAAGATTTAGAAATTTGGTCAAATTTGAAGCTTTCACTGCTGGGCTGTATTGCGGCGATAAAAATGAATGTATTGCCTAGAATGTTGTTTTTGTTCCAAACTTTGCAGATTGTGGACAAAATGGATTGTTTCAAGAGGTGGCAGAAAGATATTTCTAAATTTGTCTGGCAGGGCAAGAAGCCCAGAATAAAATTTAAAATACTAACAGATGCAAAGGAAAGAGGTGGATTTGCCCTGCCAGACCTCAAACTTTACTATGAATCAGCAGCTTTTTGCTGGTTGAAAGAATGGCTACTTCTTGAAAACACTGACATTTTGGACTTGGAAGGTTTTAATAATGTTTTTGGAAGGCATGCCTATTTATGGTATGATAAGGTCAAAGCACATAAAGCATTTAAAAACCATATTGTCAGGAAAGCGCTATTCAATGTTTGGTTAAGATATAAGGATTTGTTAGAAAACAAAACCCCAAGGTGGCTGTCACCAATGGAAGCGAAAGCCTTGAAAAAGGTCAATATGGAGGTCAAATGGCCGAAATATTGGGAAATTCTGGAACAAGACGGAGATAGACTGAAATTGCAGAGTTTTGAAAAACTAAAAAACAAAGTGCGAGACTGGCTTCATTATTATCAGATAATGGAGGCATTTAAATTGGAGAGGAAAATTGGCTTCCAGGTGGAAAGATCCAAATTAGAAACAGAATTGTTAGAACCCAAAACTAAGAATTTGTCAAGAATGTACAACTTGCTGCTGAAATGGAATACTCAGGATGAAACGGTAAAATCGGCTATGATTAAATGGGCACAGGACGTTGGACATAATATTATGTTTGCTGACTGGGAACAGTTATGGACCACAGGTATGAAATTTACGGCATGTAATGCCTTAAGAGAGAATATTATGAAAATGATATACAGGTGGTACATAACTCCAGTCAAGCTTGCAAAAATCTATCACTTGCCCAATAACAAATGTTGGAAATGTAAAGAAACTGAAGGTACATTTTTTCACCTTTGGTGGACGTGCCCAAAGATTAAGGCTTTCTGGGAAATGATATATAATGAATTAAAAAAGGTATTTAAGTATACCTTCCTTAAGAAACCAGAGGCCTTTCTCCTGGGCATAGTCGGCCAAATGGTGTTAAAAAAGGATAGAACTTTCTTTATGTATGCAACAACAGCAGCAAGAATACTCATTGCAAAGTACAGTGGTGCCTCGCAAGACGAAAAGAATCCGTTCCGCGAGTCTCTTCGTCTTGCGGGTTTTTTCGTCTTGCGAAGCAAGCCCATTAGAAGTTTAGGCTTAGCGCTACAGTATTAGCAGCTTAGCCGGCTTAAAGATCAGCTGATAAGCGGCTTAACGATCAGCTGATAAGCGGCTTAAAGATCAGCTGATAAGCGGCTTAGCATCAGCTGTTAAGCGGCTTAAAGATCAGCTGATAAGCGGCTTAACGATCAGCTGATAAGCGGCTTAGCATCAGCTGTTAAGCGGCTTAAAGATCAGCTGATAAGCGGTTTAACGGCTTGGGAAAAAGGGGGGGGGGGAAAGGAAAAAAACCCAGCAGGAACTCGCAAGACATTTTCGTCTTGCGAAGCAAGCACATAGGAAATTCGTTTTGCGAAGCACCTCCAAAACGGAAAACCCTTTCGTCTAGCGGGTTTTCCGTCTTGCGAGGCATTTGTCTTGCGGGGCACCACTGTATTGGAAGACACAAGAACTTCCCACCCTGGAGGAATGGCAGATGAAATTTATGGACTATATGGATTTGGCGGAAATGACTGGCAGAATCCGTGACCAGGGAGAAGAGTCGACGGAGGAAGATTGGAAGAAATTTAAAGACTATCTTCAGAAACATTGCAAAATTAAGGAATGTTAGAGTGATGTTGGACTGAAAATAAGCGGTTTCCAGCCGTACAGGTTAAGCTAATGATAGACTAAGATTAAAGATTAGGATTAAAGATGTTTAAAGAAATGGAAATTTGATATTAAGAGGAAAAAATTTAACGTTATATGATACTAAGATCAAAGATCAGGTTTAAAGAAGTTGAAGTTATATATTTTAATATTTTATTAAACTAAAGATTGGGATTAAAAAAGTGGAAAAGAAACTGCTGGACAAACAATTTGGATTGGAATACAAAAGAGGGAGGTATGAGGAAGTCCAGAAAATAAGTAATTTAAAAATGGAAATGGAAAAGAGATATTGTTTTTAATTGTTATGTTTTTTGTTATTTTTTTATTGTTGAATTTTGTTGTTTTTTCTTTTGTGTTTTTGTTATATGTATTCTGTATGTTTTTCTTTTCTTTTTTTTGTTGTTTAAAATTTTAATAAAAATTATTTAAAAAAAAAAAGATAATGTGAGAAATATAATCAACATTTTAGAAAAATTACAAGTGAATATTAATACCAAGGCAGTTTTGATATTTGTGGATGCGGAGAAAGCTTTTGACAATATTTCCTGGAGTTTTATGAAGAAGAACCTACAGGGGATGGGGGTTGGTCAAGGTTTTGGAAATGGTATAAGTGCAATTTATTCCGAACAAAAGGCCAAATTAATTGTAAATAATGTGGTGACGGAGGAATTTAAGATAGAAAAAGGGACACGACAAGGTTGCCCAATCTCCCCATTGCTTTTTATATCGGTCCTGGAGGTCCTTTTAAATATGATTAGAAGGGACCAATTGGTTAAGGGTACACAGGTCGGAGCTAAACAGTACAAATTGAGAGCATTTGCAGATGACTTAGTATTGACATTACAGGAGCCAGAATCTAGTACTAAAAGAGCTTTGGAACTGATTCAAGAATTTGGTCAGGTTGCAGGATTTAAGCTGAATAAGTTAAAAACAAAGGTTCTAGAGAAAAATTTAACAGCGATTGAGAGAGAGAGGTTTCAGAAGGAGACAGGCTTAACAGTGGCTAAGAAAGTGAAATACCTGGGGATTAATATGACAGCTAAAAATGGGAATTTATTTAAAGATAACTATGAAAAATGCTGGACGGAAATGAAAAAAGATTTAGAAATTTGGTCAAATTTGAAGCTTTCATTGCTAGGCCGTATTGCTGTGATAAAAATGAATGTATTGCCTAGAATGTTGTTTTTGTTTCAAACATTGCAAATTTTGGATAAAATGGATTGTTTCAAGAAGTGGCAGAGAGACATTTCTAGATTTGTCTGGCAGGGCAAGAAGCCTAGAATAAAATTTAAAATACTAATGGATGCAAAGGAAAGAGGTGGATTTGCCCTGCCAGACCTTAAACTTTACTATGAATCAGCAGCTTTTTGCTGGCTGAAAAAATGGCTTCTTCTTGAAAACACAGACATTTTGGATTTAGAAGGTTTCAACAATGTATTTGGGTGGCATGCATATTTGTGGTATGATAAGGTCAAAGCACATAAAGCATTTAAAAATCATATTGTTAGGAAAGCATTGTTTAATGTTTTGATAAGATATAAGGATCTACTTGAAAATAAAACCCCAAGGTGGTTGTCACCGATGGAAGCGAAGGCTCAGAAAAAGCTCAATATGGAGGCCAAATGGCCGAAATATTGGGAAATTTTGGAACAAGAGGGAGATAGATTGAAATTGCAGAGTTTTGAGAAATTAAAAAACAAAGTGCGAGACTGGCTTCATTATTATCAGATAATGGAGGCGTATAATTTGGACAAGAAAATTGGCTTCCAGGTGGAAAAATCAAAATTAGAAACAGAATTGTTAGAACCCAAAACTAAGATTTTGTCAAAGATGTATAACTTGCTGTTGAAATGGAATACACAGGATGAAACGGTGAAATCTGCTATGATTAAATGGGCACAAGATGTTGGACATAACATAATGATGGCTGACTGGGAACAGTTATGGACCACAGGTATGAAGTTTACGGCATGCAATGCCTTAAGAGAGAATATTATGAAAATGATATACAGGTGGTACATGACACCAGTCAAGCTTGCAAAAATCTATCATCTGCCCGATAATAAATGTTGGAAATGTAAGGAAACTGAAGGTACATTCTTTCACCTTTGGTGGATGTGCCCAAGGATTAAGGCTTTCTGGGAGATGATTTATAATGAACTGAAAAGGGTATTTAAATATACCTTTTTGAAGAAACCAGAGGCCTTTCTCCTGGGCATGGTCGGCCAAATGGTGCCAAAGAAGGACAGAACTTTCTTTATGTATGCCACAACAGCAGCAAGAATACTTATTGCAAAGTATTGGAAGACGCAAGATCTACCCACCCTGGAAGAATGGCAGATGAAGGTGATGGACTACATGGAACTGGCGGAAATGACTGGCAGAATCCGAGACCAGGGAGAAGAGTCGGTGGAAGAAGATTGGAAGAAATTTAAAGACTATTTACAGAAATATTGCAAAATTAATGAATGTTAGAATGATGTCAGAATGAAGTTAAGTGGTTTAAGCAGCAATGTTATAAAGGTGTATGAAAAATGGATTATTAACAGGTGAGAACTCAAAGTTATATTATATTAAGTTAAAGGATTAAGATAAAAACAAAAAGGGAAAGAAATTGCTGAATTAACTAACTGAATTGGAATACAAAAAAGGGAGGTGTGAGGAGGTCAGGGAAGTAAGGATATGAATATATGACATGGAAAGATTGATGTGTTTTCTTTTTAAATGTTTTTTATCTTTTTTCTGTATTTTGTATTTTTCTTTTTTTCCTTTTTTTTGTCTTTTCTTCTATTCTTTTTATCTATGTAATTTTTTTTCTTTGAAAACTTAATAAATATCATTTAACAACAACAACAAAAAAGAGACTTCAGAGAAGTGTGACTAGCCCTAGGTCACCCAGCAGCAGCATGTGGAGGAGCGGGGAATCGAACCCGGTTCACCAGATTACCAGTTGACTGCTCTTAACCACTACACCATACTGGCACTACACAACACAGGCAGCCGCTATACTCACAGTCTATCTGCTTTTTCTCTTCTGTCTCTGAAGAGGCTTGCTTCACGGTGCCAGTTCCAGGAAACTCCAACCGGGACAAAAACAGCCCCCAGTCTTTCCTCTACTGGCACTGGGTCTGTGGCCCTGATCCCTGGGCCCATAACCAATGTTAGGCGCATCCTACATGAGTAGGACCTTGATAAAGACACATGCCCGCTTGGCTAAACAGCAACGGCAAAGGTAGTGCCCCATAAGTTCCTCCCCATGTCAATCATAAACCAACAGCCGCCTCCACTGGAGGCAACAAATGCTGCAATGCACTGAAGCGGAGGAAGATAGAGGAGGGTGGAATCTCGTCCCCCCATCTGTAAACTGAAATTCATGGTAAGAAAAAATTATGTTTTTACTAGATGGAGGGGGGCGCCATTCCTGATAGGGATCTACCAGAACAGTATCCCAGCATTGGGGAGGGCTTCCTCTGCCTCCAGATCACTGTGGAACTCCTCTCTGCAGCATCCGAAGAAGTTTGTACCTACAGGACCGCCTCTCCCGGTATGCCCCACGGAGAGCCTCAAGGTCCATAAATAACAACACCCTAGTGGTCCCAGGCCCTAAGGAAGTTAGATTAGCTTCAACCAGAGCCAGGGTCTTTTCAACTCTGGCTCCGGCCTGGTGGAACGCTCTGCCTCATAAGACCAGGGCCCTGCAGAATCTGATTTCTTTCCGCAGGGCCTGCAAGACAGAGTTGTTCCGCCTGGCCTTTGGCTTGGAGCCAATTTGATTCCCTCCCTCCCTCTCTTTCTTTTTTTCCTTTTCTTTCTCCTCCTGTGATGAGGCTCCATTTTAATATTTTAATGTTTCAATATTTTAATGTATTTTAATCTTGTTTTTAAGTTGTATTCATTCAACTTGTTTTTATTGTTGCTTGTTAGCCGCCCTGAGTCCGGCCTTGGCTGGGGAAGGCGGGGTATAAATTATTATTATTATTATTATTATTATTATTATTATTAGAAAACCTTCCTTAGGGGGAAGCGGGGCAGACTGATGCAGAAAAATTCAATCTCATATTTTATGTAACAAAAACGAGTCAAATAATAATTTTTTTTGCTTTATGCATGGCATAACTAATCAATATTATAATAGCAATCAAAAGAACAATTATAGTTAGAAGATAATGAGAATACGACGACGAGTAAAAAATGGGTTTTGTATCATTCTGCCCCACCTACAGAGAACTTTGATACATTGGATGTGGCACTTTGATACAAAGTGTAAATTTTATGAGAACGTTAAGTATTTACAAAAATTTAATGAAAAAACTTTTTATTGTGAGAGATCATAATCAGCCTTACAATTGGTTACTTAAAATCTAAATAACGTATCAAAACTAACAGTGTTTCACATATATCATAGACTTTACGGCAGGTTTTCTTAACAAAGCATCAAAACATATTAATCTTTCCTCAAACACATCCATTTAAGAAAGAACTTTGGAGAAACTTTAGAAAGTATAAGAACTCACATTAGGTAGTCAAAAATAGTAATTTAAACAAAAGGCTTATAACAAATAAGATACAGTGGTGCCTCGCAAGACGAAATTAATCCGTTCCGCGAGAGTCTTCGTCTAGCGGTTTTTTCGTCTTGCGAAGCAAGCCCATTGACGGATTAGCGCTATTAGCGCTATAGCGGCTATTAAAGGCTTAAAGGCTTAGGGGATTAGCTGCTAAAAGGCTATTAAAGGCTATTAAAGGCTTAGCAGATTAGATAAAGGGGGGGGAAAGCGAAAAAAAAATCTCTAGACTCGCAAGGTATTTTCGTCTTGCGAAGCAAGCCCATAGGGGAATTCGTCCTGCGAAGCAACTTCAAAACGGAAAACCCTTTCGTCTAGCGGTTTTTCCGTCTTGCGAGGCATTCGTCTTGCGGGGCACCACTGTAATTACTGAACGTTTAGCTTCTATTGTACATTATATCCACTGAAGTCAATAGAAAAAGTATACAGTGGTACCTCGGGTTACATACGCTTCAGGTTACAGACGCTTCAGATTACAGAATCCGCTAACCCATAAATAGTACCTCAGATTAAGAACTTTGCTTCAGGATGAGAACAGAAATCGCGCAGCAGCTGCGTGGCGGCATCGGGAGGCCCCATTAGCTAAAGTGGTGCTTCAGGTTAAGAACAGTTTCAGGTTAAGAACGGACCTCCAGAACGAATTAAGTTCTTAACCCGATGTACCACTGTAAAGAGATGAGCCCTTTGATAAATTTGGTTTTGGCAACTGCAAAACAACATACAAGATCCTGGTTTTCCCCTGAGATATGACACTTGAAAATCGGTTGTATTATATTTAGAAATGATTTTGGCCACGTAGTAAACAACAGTATTTTTCTTTTCAAATATAATGAGTAGGAAATCTCCAACAATTTTATTTTCAGGATTGGGAACATCAAAAATTGTACACCAGCAGGGCACTTCTATACGTATCAATGTGCCTCATGTCTTAGTGTATCAAAGTGCCCCAACAGACATTTTCAAAAACCTTAACTCTTATTAATAAAACCACTGAATTTATTTAAAAATCATGTGTAATCCTGATAACTAGGTGGAATAACTTACCTTTGGTCTTTTTAAATCTTAACAATTTAAAACAGCGTTGGAACACTTTTACATTTCTCATAATTGTTCATTTGGCTGCACTAAAAACACACCTACTCTTGTCAAACGCCAACAGCTAACTGGTGGGCGGCGTGGTCACAGCTGTTGTACTCACACATGTATAGACGTGTTTCTCGAAACTGAAATATTGTTGGTGTATCAATGTGTCCCTTGCATCAATGTGCCCCACCTCCCCCTACATGCCAGAGAGGCTGCTTCCCTGGGAAAGGAAGGAGCAGGAATCCCTAAAGGGGAGGATCTGTATGTGATCCCATCTCTAGAGCTCACATAAACACCAGAGGGAAGGTGGCCGGGGCGTAAAAGGAAAAGCATTGGCCTCGAACGCAGGCCTCAGGGCGCTTCTCCCGTTCCCCATAGAGACCTGGGACCCCTTCTCCAGGAGGGACCTCCAAGGAGGAGGAAGCCAGGGCGGATCAGTCCCTGGACCTTGGAGGCAATGCCTGGACTCCTCTGGAAAGATGCAATATAATGTTCCTTTCCCCATTGGCCAGGAACCTAAACTCCATTTGGGGTTGTCATTCCGCACCCCAAGGTTCCTCCAAAGCCTTGGGGAAGGAAACTGAGACAGGCTTTGCCATGGCAAGAGGAAGAGCTCTGGCTGCCTCCCAGGGTGGGGGGCCTGCCTCTTTCTCTGGCCATAGCAACCCCCAGGAAACCTAGGAAGAAAGGCAGGAGACCCTCAGCAGAGAACAGCCATGTCTGGTTCTTCTCCACAATGGCTTCCTCTTTTGAGAGCTCCCTCTCTTTCTTGTCTGGACTGGACTGGGAGGACTCCAGTTCAACCAGTTCCCCCAGAGTCCCCCGCACTGGGCTGCAGTGGCCCCATGAGACCTGCAGGGATCTGGAGTGGGGGCAACTTCTCCTGTTGAACTACTGCCTGAGGGAGAGGAACAGACGTCTTAGCCCGTTTTGGGGGCAAGTGAGGGCCATCCAGAAAGGGCTCCTGGGACCCCGAGGGGCCAGAAAGGGATTCTTCAGCCTTGTCTGGGAAGAGCCTCCCTTTCCCGTAGGCCGGCAGGTGGAGCCCTTCTGCTTGCGCTGACTCTTGGGGTGACGAAGGAAGCTGGTCTGGGGGTCAAACTCCCCTGAGGGAACCCTCCACCTCTGAGGAGATAAAGCCCTTCTCCTTATTCTTCTTGTTGGGCCTCCAAGACAGAGAGGGGCTTTCCCTCGTTGCTGCCTGTCCTGGCGCAGAACCTGGCGGATCCCCCTAGGCCGCTTGCCTGGCATCTCCCAATGGGGAGGCCTCCTCCGTGGGGCCCACATGGCGAGGAGAGAGGCTGCCCTGTGGAGGCCAAGCCATCATGGCAGGAAGGCAGCTGAGGACCAAAGGTGCCGCCCTCCTTCATCCGGGAGGAGAGACCCCGAGAGCGTGGGACCCCCAAGGCCCACAGGGGAGCCATGGCGTCTCTGGGAGTGGCTGGGGCCTCCGGGAAAAAACAAAATGGCGTTCCCGCCTTTTTCAGAAAAGGGCGGGAAATGGCGTCTCCTGGCCCTGCCGCCTCCTGGGCTCCTCTTGGGCCTGCCTGGTCGAGCGGGGGGGGGGGGGAATCCAGCTGGCCCCAAACAATGGGGGGGGGGGGGGAGAGAGAAACATGGAGAGAAGGCAGGAGAAATGAAGGATAAGCTGGGAGGGGGAGCAGCCAAGAGGGAAACTCAGGGGTAAAACTCCCTCAGGAAACAGGGCAAAGGAGAGGACAAGGGAAAATCCGCACAAAATTGGCCCTCCAGCAAGCATCTCTCTCTCTCTCTCTCTCTCTCTCTCTCTCTCTCTCTCACACACACACACACACACACACACACACACACACACCAGACCCAGCCATCCCTGCCTCCCTTCCCTCTGGAAATGACTTTGCAAGTGGAAGGCCCTGCCTCCTCCAGGAGGGGAGTCGTTCCTGTCAGCAATGGCTTCCCCCTCCACCTGGCAAACATTTCCATCCTCCAAGAAATTCTTTCATTCTCATGGCATCTCAGCATATTCTTCCGCCATCTTCATAAGCCTTTCCCCCCTTTCGTTAGGGCAAGGGCTCCTTTCCATTTTTGCGCGCGGACCCTCGTGGAGAAAGGCTGGCTTCTGCCCCTCTCTCTGGCCAGGGGCCCATGGGGTTTCAGGTGCCCCCACAGGGCCTGCGTCTCTGGAGAACAGAAACCCAAAGCATTGCAGGCAGCCTTCCCTTCTCCCTTGCCAAGATGGCTCTCTGCCCTTCTCCCCCTTTTCCTTCCCCCAAACTCCTTGCCCTCCCCTGGAGCAGTTACCCTGCAACCTCCCAAATCCCCGCCCCCCCCCTGGTCACACCTGGGGCAAGAAGTCTTGCTGAGGACCTTCAATGGCTCTCCATGGGTCTCTGCTGTCCGCTTAACAGCCCTAGTTTGGCCAGGCTGCCCACGAATCCCTTTGCATTTTATATTTCTCCCTCTCCAAACCACAAATAATCCCAATCCTAGCATTTCTTAATTCCACGTTTCTCCCAAATCTTATATCCCTCTTGCCGCCGCTGCCCTAGGATACATAAACAAATGAAACAATTCCTTCAGAAGCTCTGGTCCGGTTGCACCGAACATGCTTTTTTAAAATAAAGGATGGCCCAGATGGCCTGGGAGGCATTACTGGAACCTGGTGGGATGAGACTCAGGACAGAAAGGAGTTTTGGTGACTTTAAAGTCGGCCGTGCAGGTCGAAGTTCAAGAGGGGAAGCTTCAGCCTGGTCCAGAGTCCTGTTCTCACAAGCAGGGCCCGGGTGCAAGAGGACTTCCCCCTGGGGGTTTCCAGCAACTGGGGTCCAGAACCTCCAACCTTGGACTCCCATCTCCTCCTCCATGGATTTGTCTGATCCTCTTCCAAAGCCATCCCTGCCTCCTGCTCCAGCGAATTCCGCAAGTTAGCTGCGTGAAGAAGCAGAATGATGCCAGCAGGAACTATACCAGTGGGACTCCTGCCTGTCATGCAGGTCTCAGCCAGCGGGGCATGCTGGCCATCCCTATTAATGTGGGCCAGAGCTTTTCAAACGTTTCCTGTTAGCGACACACTTTTTGGACGTGCATCATTTTGCAACACAGTAATTCAGTTTTACAACAACAACAACAACAACAACAACAACAACAATAATAATTTGTACCCAGCCACTCTGGGCGGCTTCCAACAAGGATTAAAAATGAGCATTCACAGGACACACCTACACACTGCAGCCAACACACAGTTTGGAAAGCTCTGGTCTAGGGAAAGGTGCACTTTGATACTGGGATCGAAGGTGTTAAATCAGCAAGGGAGGGGAGGGAGAGGCTGAAGGAAGTCCCTCCCTGCTTGGGTGACGCAACCCCTTCCTGGAGACAGGAAACTGGGTTTCCAGACCCCCATTGTGCTCCTTCCTGCTCTGGGGGAGAAGGAAGGAGTCCTGGGGGAGAGGGAGAGGCCAAATCCTGCTGTGGGGCAAAGGGAAAACACAGATGCAGAACACAACAGAATCTCTCTCCCCAGGACTGGATTCCCAGGGGAATATATTTTCGAAGCTGCAGCCAAAGGCTGGGCAATGGAGACTGGATTTCTCCTGTGTCCTCGCAACCAGAATCCTTGGCCTCAGTTCCCTTTGTAGATTTGCAAAGGGGGCTCCCAAGGCTCATCTAGTCCAACCCCGTCTTGGCAGGCCATTTCTCCATTGTTAAGAGAAAGGGCCAGGCTGGTGTTCCACAGAAGTTGTGGACTACTGTATTTATTTATTAGATGTGTGTACTGCAACTCCCATCAGGCCTGGCCAGCCAGTGGGCATACTGTTCCACAACCGCTAGAGGGCACCAGGTTGGCAAACGCTGGATCTGCACATTACTGGGGTCTGCATGGACCCCAATGCACCCGCTTTGCGACTTTGATCGGTAGAACTGGCAGTGCTGCTGGTGCCACGTAATTCCATTTCTGCCTCTGTAAGGAAATGGAGCTTTGGAACTCCCTGCCTATTGACACCCAGGCAGGCTCCTTCACAGCTTTTGGCACTTGCTTGGCCGAGATGCGTAGGGTGTTGACATATTCTTCCCTTGTTTAAAATAGCTCTCAACAGCGTCCATCGTTGTATTTCTGAATTCCACAGCCTCAGTTCAAGGGATGTGTCTGCACCATCTGTGGAGTCACACACACAGGCGGCAGTCTCAGCCTGTTCCAGCAATTTGCACACCTCTCCAGCTTCCCTGCACGAGCCGGTTCCACGTTTTCCACCCGCCCTCTCCTGTCAAGTCAGAGGACCAATCCCTCTCTCAATACTGGGGCTCCACACTCAGAATCCAGTTCTGCGTTTGGCATAACTCACACCAGCCCAATCCTCCTTGCGCTCCACCCCAGGCTTTCGCTGAAGCTGGCCTCGTTTGCATCGACTTCCCCTCTGGGCTCTGCACCTGCCACCCTCAGTCCGTGAAGGCCGGTTCCAGGTTTTCCTTCTGCTTCCTGACTCCGATTCCAGATCTCCCCTAGCCATTCCTGGGCAAACTCCAGTTCCGTGGTTTGGGGCTGCTCAGGGCTTCCTCTACTCGGCGCTCCGGCTCCGCCAGCCTCTCCCGCTCCCTTCCCGAGGCGGAATCCAGTCCCGGGCTTTCCCCAGTCTCCTGGCTCCGCTCCCAGGGAGTCCGGCTCCGGTTTCCCCTGCCTTCACTTTGTCCCTGGCTCCGCTCCCAGCTGGCTCCGCTTCCGGACTTTCCATCCTGCCCCCTCCCTTGGCCGGCGCCTGGGAAAGCAACGGGGCACTCCTGGGTCCCTGCCCTGCAGCCCAGCAGCACCCCATGGGGTCCTGCCCTCCAGCACCCAGGTGAGACCCAGCAGGGAGAGGGCTGGCCCCCATGGGAGGGGGGGGCGAGGCATCATCAGCAGGAGCTGGAGTGGAGTTGGAGGGCGGGGACCCCAGGGGTCATCCATTCCAACCCCGTGCAAGTTTTCGGAAGGAAGGAGGCAAGAGTTTCTTGCAAGCGGTTTAGGGGCTGAGGGTGTTTAAAAAACAAAGTTTTGGGGTGGGATTTTTGCCTGTGGGACCCTCGTCGCAAGCACCCTTAAGAGGAGGCGGGTTTGGGGTGAAAACGGGCAATACGGTGGGAGACCCCCCCCCAAAAAAAACAACCATGGGGAAAAACACCCCCTTCCCTGCTTCTCTCCTTCCCTCAGCTGCCCTCGGGCGTGAGGGGAGGGGGTCCGGATGTTCCCCCGCTCTCTTCGCCACCTGCTGGACGGGGGAGGCGACGCCGGTGTGACCCTCAGCGCTTTCCGGAGCAGGACCCCCGAGTCGCAGCGCGGAGGACTCCCAACTCCTGAGCAGGTCAGTAGCAGCAGGGAGGTGTTTGTTGAGGGGGGGACGCATGCAGGAGTTACTCTCTGCGGGTATGCTTGGCAGGTGCTGGGTTCAAGAGTTCCCTCGCCCGTGCCCACGAGCCATAGAAGGGACCCCCGGGGTCATCCAGCTCAGCCCTAGCCACGGTCCCTTACAAAGCCCTGTTTAAAAACCTCTGGCCAATCCCAGCATTGCCCAGGGTCATCTAGTCCAACCCCCACCGGCTGCTTCCAGAGGTGACCCCCCTTTGCAGACAGGAGTCCCGACCGCCCGCCTCATTGTGTGGGGCTGGTCCGCTTGGGGGTCGTGATCGCGCTGCCTCCCCCCCCGCCGGCCTTCACTGCAGGGTTGGCGCAGTGCGTCTGTTTGCATTGCCGGTGTGCAGGCTGGGACAGGTGCGTGCGCGTGTTTGTGTGTGTGTGTGTGTGTGTGTGTGTTTGCGTGTCTGCCTGCTGCTCTCTATTGACCCACGGTGTGGCTCCGTTGCCCGGGTGACAATGCTCCGTCTCTGGAGGCGAGCACCTTTGATCCGGTGTTGTGGGCACGCCTTCCCAGCTGGCAGCTGCACCTGTTGGACTCCGGCCTGCCTGCCTGCTGCCTAGGTGTGCATGTGTATCGTGGGGCTTCCAGGCAAAGGGCCTGTTGTTGTTGTTGGGGGGGTTGGCTGAGAGAGAGAAGTGGAATCTGGTTCGGCCTGTTTTTGGGGAAGTCCTCTGCAGGGCGGGGAAGGGGCCGGGCCCAATCCTGCGAAGCGGAAGGAGAGGAACCGACACCGAAAGGGAGGCAGGAGAGAAACACACACGAGGCCTGGGTGGGGGGCCGGGAGTTCAGCCTGGGCCCCCCCATCCCAACCCTCTTTCTGCCCATCTTCTGCAGCAAAGAGGACACCCCCCACTTTCTCCAGCTGGGGGCAGGAGGGGTGCAAAGGGAGGGGGTGATCTGCCACCCCCATGAAGGTCTTCCTCCGCCTGGGGGGCTGCCTGGAGCCGGGAGGGGGCTCCGCAGAGGGGGGGATCCTCACCCGCACCCGTTGGTACTGCCTGCCTGTGAAGGTAAGGCTCGGAGGGTTTTATGGGGGGGGGTGTCAGAAGCCAAGGTGGTGCCGTGGCTTGAGGACTTGGGTTCAAATCCTGGCAGGCTGCCTTCTCCCAGCCTGGCCTCCCTCTCAGGGTTGTTGAGGGGGAGGCTTGAGGGACGGAAATGCCGCAGACCCACAAATAAATAGACATAAATGAAGGAGCACTCTGGTGGCAACTTGGGGGGTGGGCAGGAATTGCACCTGGGCTAAAATGCCTTTTTTTCTCCCCCCACCGCAGCCCCCAGTGACCTTGTGGGAGGAGAAGGAGGAAGGCGCCATCTACACCGTCAGCTCTCGTCTGCCAGGGGGCGCCAACAAAGCCAGCCTGTTTTCTGGGGTAAGTCGTGCCCCATGCCTGGGGGGTGGGTGGGGGTGTATATTGCCAAAGGAAGAGAAGCTAGGTTAAAAGGCGTATCACTTACATTGCTGAGTTTTCGTGGTATTTGGTGAAGCGTCACCTGTTGAATTTCTGCCTGCTGTGCAACAGTTAGAGGCCCTGATGGTGCGCAAGCCAGGCAAGGGAATGGCGTGCCCTGCCCTCCACAGGCCAGATTAGGATGAGGAGGCAGCGGCTGCCTCTGTTTACATAAAATTGAAAAATTGGTTGGGACTCCCCAGAGGTCATCCAGCTCAACCCGCCGGCTGTGCAGGGAACCACTGCTAAGAAATCCACAACTTGCAGCTCACAAACCGAGCCTCCTTCCTTGTCATTGGAGCCCACCCCTTTCTTTTTCTGCCCCCCCCCACAGGGCGAGGACCTGCCAAGCGCCTCTGGTCCCCCGGGGGCTGCTGATGCCTCGGCGCTGGGGGTGTTGGGGTCCCCGGCCGGCCGCTCTCGGGTGCTGAAGGCTGGATCGCTGCCCCGCCTGGTCAGGCACCTTCTGGAAGCCCCTTCGCTCGGGGACACCTGCTACGTGCCGGCCTTCCTGGCCACCTACCGGACGTTCGCCACGACCGGCCTGGTCCTGGGGTTCCTGCTTGAGAGGTTTGCAATGGAGGGGAGATGGTCTGGGGGGGGGGAACGTTGGCAGTGCTGCTTGTTTGGTCCGCAGGCGGAAACCCAGCAGGTGCAGCTTGTGCGGCATCTTTAACATTGCTGAGTTTTCATGGTAAGAACAGAACATCACCGGTTGGGTTTCTGCCTGCTGGGCAGCTGCCTGAGGCTGTGGAGAGGTGGCGGGTCGCTGGCAGGGTAAGAGAGTAGAAGGATTACTTAATTTATTGAGTCCCTTGGTTTTTCTCAACACCCCCCCCACAGGCTGCAGGCGGTTGTGGGTTCAAGTTCAGACGCTACCCCGGAAACAGCAGACCTTCAGCGGTGAGTGGGTGCCTGCTTCCTTTTCCCTGCTCCCCTGAGCACTTAATAACAGCCCCCTCCGCAAAAGAAATATCCCCCTCCGCAGCCCAAATCCCATTTTCCGAGCTAATTCCTAAGCTGCTTCTGGACTCTCTCCTCTCTCTACCAGAAGGATGGCTGCCTGTGTTCGTGTTATGATTATGAACTGGGTAAGGTCTTTGAATCGTAGCACTGGAAGGCCCCCTGGCGGTCATCTAGCCCAACCCCTTGCCGTGCGGGAACCTCAGAGGTCCCTGAACTCGGCAAATGCTCAGAGGCACAGTGGTCGTCGCAAGCCTTTGGGTTCCGGGTTTGAGCTCCGTCTCCAGCCTTGCTTCTGAACGGCCTCACATACTTAGAAACAGAGAAGGGTAGAGTTGGAAGGGGTTCCCCCTGTGGTCATCTAGTCCAGCCCCTGACAGGCAGGGATCTCAGCGAAAGCATCTAGGACAGGTGGCCCTGCAACCTCCCGAAGTGGCTCTCGCATGTCTACTCAGGAGTAAATCCCGCTTGTTTACGCCTTGGTGAAAATATTTGTACAGCTTTGTATCATACAAAAAGGATAATCCAATACGTTTATAGCAATAAAACCTTCTTCTCACAAGACCATGTTAAAAAGTTACCTTGTTATCTTGTTGTAAACCTCTTTTTTTAAATGATAGGTTGGTATATACATATTTTTAATAAATAAATAAAAAACCATCCATCAGTTCACCACTGATGAAGGATTTACATCTATTCCATTATTAGGATTAGGATTTACCGTATTTTTTGCACCATAACACTCACTTTTTTCCTCCTAGAAAGTAAGGGGAAATGTCCGTGCGTGTTATGGAGGGAATGCCTACGGATGGCGGGGGGGATCTGCTGCAGTCGTGAGCAGAGGATCCATGGTTCCCCTTCCTTCCCTCCTCCGTGGCTCGCTTTGAAACAGCAAAGCGGGAGAAGAGCCGCTGAGTGGGGAGGAGAGAGGGACAGAGAGCCTGCTTGCTTTAAAGGAGCAAAGCGGGAGAGGAGAGGAGCCGCTTACACGAGTGTAAGCGGCTCCTGTCCGGTTGGCTCCTTTAAAGCAAGCAGGCTCTCTGTCCCTCTCTCCTCCCCACTCAGCTCGCTAAATAGCAGCAAAGTTTTTCAGCTTGCTAAGCCGGGGATGAGCGGGGAGGAGGGAGAAAAGCAGAGCCTGCTTGCTTTAAAGGAGCAAAATGGGAGAGGAGAGGAGCCTTCTCCCCTTATACCCCTCTTCTTCATTATTAGTAGCATCCTTCTCCACCCACCCCACGCGTGCTCCTTCTCCCCTTATACCCCTCTTCTTCATTATTAGTAGCATCCTTCTCCACCCACCCCACGCGTGCTCCTTCTCCCCTTAAACCCCTCTTCTTCGTTATTAGTAGCATCCTTCTCCACCCACCCCACGCGTGTTCCTTCTCCCCTTATACCCCTCTTCTTCGTTATTAGCAGCATCCTTCTCCACCCACCCCACGCATGCTTCTTCTCCCCTTAAACCCCTCTTCTGCATTATTAGCAGCATCCTTCTCCTTGTCCCTTGAGTGCTTTTCCTTCCCTCCCCACTTAAAACGTGGTTACAAAGCACGGATCCACATGGATCCTCAGGATTTTTGCACTGGGACACCCCAAATTCACCATCAGATCACATAATATGTCCATGGCTACATCTTGCACCAAAAAAATCACGCACCCACTGTTGCCTGGGGCCGCAGTGGTGCAAAAACGTGGTTACAAAGCATGGATCCACATGGATCCTCAGGATTTTTGCATTGGGCTACTCCAAACTCACTGTCAGATCACATGTCTGTGGCCACAGCATGAACCACAAAAATCATACATCCACTGTTTCGTTTAGAATATTTTTTTTCTTGTTTTCCTCCTCTAAAAACTACATGCGTGTTATGGTCGGGTGTGTATAGAGCGAAAAATACGGTATATATCATCCATCAAAAGCTTTCAGGGCAATTCACTAGATAAAAATACAAGATTAAAACACAAATAAGTAGTTTAAGCAAAAAAAAGCCAAATGAACACAAAAATAGCCAGTCATTGCCCCCGTTGCCCCCGGCTTGCAGAATATAGATATTTTCTGCTGGCCTGGGAGACTGTCCTCCTGGGCTGTCCCCTTTCGGAGACAGGACATTAGGTCAGGAGAGGGTCAAGCAGGGCTGCTCCTTTGAGCCTTCAGTGGGAAGCGGGTGCGGGAGACGACACCCTCCCTGAAACGCCCTCCGGAGAGACGAGGCACTTGCCGGCTGCGTCTGGTCTTGCCGTGGGCTCCCGGGAGGGATTGGCGGTGAGCCACGTGGACTGGGGTGGGGGCCGGGGGCGAGGCCAGGGCACGTGGGCTTGGCTCCCTCGCACGAGTGAGTCACCAGAGACTCCCTGATCTGGGAGGCTGCACCTGCTGTCTGGGGTAGGGTGTCTCTGAGACGGGTTCAGAACAGGGCAACTGGAAAGGTCATAGAGCCATAGAATGGGAGAGTTTGGAGGGACACCAGAGGGATCCAGTCAAATAATAATAATAATAGTAATTATTATTATTATTATTATTATTATTATTTATACCCCGCCCACTCTGGGCGGCTTTCAAAAGAGCATTAAAAACAGAATAAAACATCAAAACTTCCCTGAACAAGGCTGCCTTCAGATGTCTTCTGAAAGTCAGATAGTTGTTTATTTCCTTGACATCTGATGGGAGGGCGTTCCACAGGACAGGCGCCACCACCGAGAAGGCCCTCTGCCTGGTTCCCTGCAACCTCACTTCTTGCAGGGAGAGAACCGCCAGAAGGCCCTTGGAGCTGGACCCAGGTGTCAGGGGTGGAGATGCTCCTTCAGGTTTACTGGGCTGTTTAGGGCTTTAAAGGTCAGCACCAACACTCTGAATTGTGCTCGGAAACGTCCTGGGAGCCAATGTAGGTCTTTCAAGACCGATGCTATGTGGTTCTGGCGGCCGCTCCCAGTCACCAGTCTGGCTGCCGCATTCTGGATTAGTTGCAGTTTCCGGCTCACCTTCAATGGTAGCCCCACGGAGAGTGTGTTGCAGTAATCCAAGCGGGAGATAACTAGAGCATGCACCACTCTGGCGAGACAGTCTGTGGGCAGGTAGGGTCTCATCCTGCGTACCAGATGGAGCTGGTAAACAGCCACCCTGGACACAGAATTAACCTGCACCTCTCTGCAATGTAGTCAAACGCCCCCTGCAATGCAGGAATCTTTTCCCCATCATGGGAACTCACATCCCTGAGAGCTACTGACTGAGCCATCCATTTGGGGCTTTTTCATTTGGAGGGAAGGCGAAGAGGCCGGTACACCTGGAGGAAAACGGGGTTGGACTAGATGACCAGCAGGGCCCTTCCAACGATTCTATGATTCTATGCTGGAAACCACAGAAAGGGAGAGAGGGCCCTTGGGGGTTCGAATCCCACTTGCCCATTTCCCATAATGGGCCTCTCTGACTGGCTGCTGTGCGGGGGGGGGGGGGCTTCCTGGGATCCCAGCAGTCACAGACTCTCCCCTTTCCCCTCCCCACAGGGCCCTGGGGTCTCTGCTGTGCTCCTGGCTGGACGGGTACCCGGAGGACTTTGTGGGGTTGGACGCTGGCCTGAAGGAGCAGCTGGGAGCCTGGCTACGCTGGGCACTGGGTAGCGGATCGGACCCTGAGAAGACCCTCCTGGCGGCCGGCCAAGAGGGAGCCCCCAAGGGCCAGGAGGACCCCCGGGAGGACGAGGGCATCACGGACGAAGGGCCCCCAGACCCCCACTACATCCTGGGGCTCCAGGCGGAAGACGTGGCCGCTCATCTCACCGCGCAGGATGCTGTGAGTGTGACCGGGGGGGGGGGCAAGGGAGAGGGCCTGGGGGGATCCTGCAGGGGGTCTGGATGAGCTCCACAACCCTCGTTCTGCCTCTGTCACAGCCCACCCTCCACCTCTTCGGGCATGAGGACTGGAGATTTAGGAGATTTTGCTTTCCGTCAATGAAAGCTGTTCTTGGTCAGTAGAAATAGGAGGACTGGTCTGAAAAGATATTGAATTATTGGGGTAATTAAAAAGTTAAATAAACCTTGTGGAGGGAGGAGTGTTAAGGCATATAGAAGTGTACATATGGTTGATTTGAATATGTATATTATTTAAAATGTCTATTATTGAATATTGTATACTCACTGTATCAGCCGCCTGGGGGGTTTCACTGTTTGTGTTTGGGTGGTTGGTAAAAAATTAATAATAATAATAATAATAATAATAATAAAAGAACAGAAACTGTTCTTCCTGATCAGAGAATCCCTCGCCATTTGCCCAGCCTGCCTTTGAGGGGCACAGGTTTCGGGTTCCTTTTAAGCCAGCCTGCCAGGGATTGGGGGCTTTTGGGGGGGTTCTCCTCTCTTCCTCCCCCCCCCTTCAGTTTCTTCTCTCCCCGCAGGAGCTCTTCCTGCGCCTGGTGCCCCACGAGTGCCAGGGCCAGCTGTGGTCGCAGCGGGACAAGAGGGGCCACGAGGGGGCCTGCCCCTCCGTGCGCGCCACCGTGGCCCAGTTCAACCGCGTGGCCAATGCCGTCGTCTCCTCCTGCCTGGGCGACACGGAGCTGCGGGCGGCACAGAGGGCGCGGCTGCTGGAGAAGTGGATCCGCGTGGCAGAGGTGGGTCCTCCTCACAAGGAGGGAGTCTCGGTTCCTTCTGCCCCTTTCCGGCTTCGTGCTGGATTAAGCTGAAATCGTAACAGAATGATGGAATTCATAGAACCATCGGACGGTTAGGGTTGGAATGGGCCACCCAAGGGTCATCCAGCCCAGCCCTCTGCTGTAGCTTTCCCAAAGCAAGCAAGGATTGGATTCTGATTAATAAAATACACCCGAGGCTTGACCAGCAAGACTCTGTGAGGAGGTGCCAATAATAATAATCCTCTGTCCACCCCTTGGCCCAGGTCGTTTTATTCACAAAAGAACTTTTTACGCAGTGTTCGTAAGAATCGATCAGATTTCCTCTGAGCATTTCAAAAACCCCCACGTGGGGGGTTAAAAGAAATTCTTTTAACTACAAAGACTACTTTGAGCATGCATACATATCTGAGAGTAAATTAAACAGGACTAGAGGAATGCATTCAGCAAAACCCTGGAGGTCATAAACAGGAGTTAGGATGGCAGTATTTGCCATCTCCTTGTGAACTCTCTTCCTGGCCCTTAAGATCTATCTAAAGATTAAACTACATCAAAGTAACCTACTAACTTTATGTACTGAGGATTCCTGATGAAGCAACTGGCCTGTGGTTCAGAATGCTTGTACGTGCCTGTCAGGCGTAGAGAAAGCAAATGGCCGAGGTGGAGAGGCCTGGGGGATTCGATCAGAAACTGTTGTCAATGAATCAAACCCAGTCAACGCATCGCGTACACAATGGCTTACTTCATTTTTCATAATTCCTCATAGCAATCCCACCTGACCCCCCCACTCTGGATATTTGCACCCCTACACTCTGCAATGCAGGAATCTTTTGCCTAACGCAGCACTCGAACCCATGACCCTCAGATTCTCAGAGTCTTGTGCTCTACCGACTGAGCAATCCAGAATGCAGTCGTGGAGTTGGAATGGGAAGGCAGGAATAATAATAACAATAAACAAACAACAGCAACGTTTCTGGGTCCATGGAGCAATGTTTGCCAACTCCTGCTTTATCTATTTGTTTGGAATGTTTATAAGCTGCATTTGTCGTTGTTGTTTAGATTTAAACACGTGGCCTTTGCATAAAAACCTCCCAGGAAGGCGGTTGACAGACCCTTTCCTTATTTTCTCTTTCCCATCCCAGGAGTGTTTTCTCCTCCGCAACTTCTCCTCTCTCTATGCCGTCGTCTCTGCGCTGAAGTCCACCCCTTTGCATCGCCTCAAGAGGACCTGGGAGGAGACATCCAGGTGGGCCCCGATCCTCTGCTTCAGAGCTCCTTCCCCTCGCAGAAACACACACACACACACACACACACACACACACACACACACAAACACCCATCTCTGAGACCCTGAGCTTCTTCCTGGCAGCGACAAAAACCAGGCAGCCATCTGCCCTGGCCATTCCCCTCTTCTTGCCCAGGTCCTTAGGTCCTCCTCCCAAAGCGCTTCTCTTCCCTGCCAGACACCTTCTGGAATTGTAGGGTTGGTTGAGACACCTCTGGGTCATCTAGTCCAACCCCAGAATCACAGCTAACCAATGCAGCAGAGGTGTCTAGGGAGGTCCCTACAAACACACAAGCCTGATCCCTCTTAGGTGGGGTGCAGCCCATTAAACTTCTTCTTTTTATATAATTTTTTATTAATTTCCAGCATATTTAAACATATATTGACATCTTATACAATTTCTTTTTACTTCCATCAACCTTCTCTGAAAATTTTCCAATCTAATCTCTAAATGCACATTTCCCACTTCTTCCATTACATTTAATTCATAACGAATATCACTGTTCTTTCTCTAATTTGCAACGCTTCACAGATTTCTCCTTACACAGCTTCTTGTAGTCCTACTAGCGTAATTTGTTGGTAATACAGTTGCTCTTCAAATAGTTTGTATATTTCTTCCAATCTTCTGTAAATCTCTGGTCCCGCAGGTTTTGAATCCTTCCTGTCATTTTATCCAGTTCTGCACAGTTCATTAATTTTGTTTGCCATTCTTCTTCTGTCGGAATCTCCTCTTGTTTCCATTCCTGGGCGCAGCCCATTAAAGGTGGCCTGGCTGACCTGTTGTCTCTGTCGTATTTTAGTGCTGGGGTGGGTTGAGGGAGGGGGTTCCCTTTTGAGACTGCCCTACTCTTCTTCTCTCCCCCCCCTCCAGGGACTCCCTCCGCTGCTATGAGGAGCTGAGCGCCGTCTGCTCGGAGGAGGACAACTACAGCCAGAGCAGGAGGCTCCTCTTCCAGGTATTTATTCCACGTTCTCCGCAGAATCGGGATCCAAAATGACTGTAACAGATTGGAGAACTGGGCCCAGGCTAACAAAATGAATTTCAACAGGGACAAATGTCAGATCCTGCACTTAGGCAGGAAGAACCGGATGCACAAATAGAGGATGGGGAACACCTGGCTTAATAGTAATACATGTGAGAAGGATCTAGGGGTCTTGGTGAATCACAAGCTGAACATGAATCCACAGAGTGATGCAGCAGCAAAAAAAGCTAATGCGATTCTAGGCTGCATCAAGTCTAGTGTCCAGATCAAGGGAAGTGAGAGTCCCACTATTCTGATTTAGTCAGACCAAACTTGGAGTACAGTGTCCAGTTCTGGGCACCACAATTTAAGGCTGTTGGCGAGCTGGAAGGTGTGCAGAGGAGGGCGACCAAGATGATCAAGGGTCTGGAAGCCAGGCCTTATGAGGAACAGTTGAAGGAGCTGGGTATGTTTAGCCTGGGAAAGAGAAGACTTGAGGGGAAACTATATCTTAAGGGCTGTCCCATGGAGGAGGGAGCATGCTTGTTTTCTCCTGCTGTGGAGGGTAGGACTCGAACCCATGGCTTCAGGTTACAAGAAAGGAGATTCCAATATACGAAAAAACTTTCTGACAGTAAGAGCTGATTGACAGTGGAACAGACTGCCATGAGAGGTGGTGGACTCTCTTTCCTTGGAGATTTTAAAGCAGAGGTTGGGTGGCCATCTGTCATGGATGCTTTAGCTGAGATTCCCGCATTGCAGGGGGTTGGACTAGATGACCCATGGATCCCTTCCAGCTTTAAGATTCTATGATTCTCTCCCAGGTCGCATTCTGCCACTCTAACCACTGCACTACCCTGGCTCTCGATGTCTAGTGGACTTTTAAACACACACACACCACACCGGCTTTCCACTGGCATAAAAATGTTCAGGGCTTTGACTTTTTGCGAATTGCAGTTCCTTATCTATTGCATATCCTATCCTGAGGCAATCCCTTGCATCTCTGAGCCAACCTTCTCACTCGGCTTGTTTGTTTTTGCACCATCGGTGCTTACAGTCCTCACTTTCCGGGCAACAAACTCTTCCGAGGCGGCTCCTCACGAGCGGAAAGGGAACACAGGAAAGAAAACGGCCCGTGAAAACAAACATTGAAGTTCAGGTGCCGAAGCAAAACCGGATGGGGTGTGTCAAGTGTTCCTCTGCTTGTCTCCGAAATCCGGGACATGGTCTGAGACTCAGGGCTTTGTAGGAATTGCAGCGAAAGAGTCCCTGGCAGACGGCCATCCAGCCTCTATAATAATAATAATCATTTTTATTTATACCCCTCCCTCTGCAGCAAAGACTGGGCTCAGGGCGGCTAACACCAGGTATAAAAACAATTGATTAAAATACAACTTAAAAACAAGATTAAAATACAACATTAAAATGCAGCCTCATTTCAGTAGGAACTCAAATCAAAGACTTTTGGGGGGATGAAAACGTCAAGTCTTCACCAAGGCCAACTATCCAAACTGGTCCTACGTGGGCCAGAAAAAAGCCAGGGAAGTCCCCGAATAGGAGTTGCATCACAGAAGGAGAAAGGAAAGAGGGGAAGGGGATCAAGTTGATTCCAAGCCAAAGGCCAGGCGGAACAACTCTGTCTTACAGGCCCTGTGGGAAGAAACCAGATCCTGCAGGGCCCGGGTCTCATGAGACAGAGCGTTCCACCAGGCTAAAAAGGCTCTGGCTCTGGCTGAGGCTAATCTGACTTCCTTAGGGCCCGGGACCTCTAGGGTGTTGTTGTTTATGGACCTTAAGGTCCTCTGTGGGGCAGACCAGGAGAGGCAGTCCCGTAGGTATGAGGGTCCTAGGCCTCTGCTTGAAAACCTCCAATGGGGGAGAGACGTTCGCCTTTCGAGGGAGTCTCCTGCTACCCTACTACTGAACACGTTTTTGAATGCAATTTGGACCGATTTGCACATTTCGCCATGCAATTTATCCTAAAATAATGCAGTTCTGAATTCTCTTCTCTTCTCCTGCTCCCCACAGGATGGCTACCCTCGAGGAGCTGGGGCAGACCCGATCCAGCGCAGGCAGCAGCGGAGATCTTTGGAGCATCGCCCTGTGGTACCCAGACTTCAAGAGGAGGGGAGGCGGGCTAGGGCTGAGGGGTGGAGTGCAGGCGGGGCCAGGAATGTGGGGGTCCCCGTCTCTGACCTCCTCCCTCCCTCGATCTCTTCCCCGCAGGGCGTGGTCCCCTACATGGGCACTTTCCTCAAGGACTTGGTGATGCTGGACGCAGCGACGCGGAACAGGCTGCAGGTGAGGACCAGGTGGCAGGCAGGAGACACCAACCCCGGGCAGGCCGTTCGGCAGGGGAGCAGACTCGTGGAACTACAGAATTTTGGGTTTTGAAGGGACCCCCGGGGGTCATCCAGTCCAACCCCCTGCAATGCAGGAATCTCAACTCTCTCGGAAGGCGGTGGGCTCTCCTTCCTTGGAGGTTTCATCAGACGTTGGATGGCCATCTGTCAGAGAGGCTTTGGGGGAGATTGCTGCCTTGTAGGGTGGGCTGGATGACCTTGGAAGGTCCCTTCTGTGATTCTACGGCGAAGTGACCCAGCTGCCTCCAAATGCAGAGGTGGGTTGGCAGGAGGATGACGGAACGGCAACTCGCACAGAGATACAACCAGGGAGTCCCTTCCCTGGGAGAGAACTTTGGGGTGGGAATCGCAGCAGGCATGAATGAATGAATGAGCGAATAATTTACATCTCTCGTCCCCCCCAAGTTGCTCGGGGTCCGACTAAATCTACAATTCTGTGACTCTGTCTCTTTGCAGAATGGTTACATCAACTTTGAGAAGCACCGCAAGGTACGTGCCGCATTGGGAGAGGGTAGGAGCATGCAACGGGCACCCCCTTAAAAACGGGGGGTGCGCCTTCTATTATTAATGCCCATTTTTCTTTGTGACTCCCCCCTCCAAAAAATAGGAATTCGAGATCCTCACCCAGCTGCGACTCCTGCAGGCCAACTGCCGCAACTACGCCCTGAGCCCTGACCGGCACCTCCAGCGATGGCTGCAGCGCCTGCCCCGACTCAGCGAGGGCCAGAGGTGGGTCTCAGGATCCCACCCGAAACCCAGTCTGCTCTTTGGCCCTAGAATCCTAAATCGGTTGGAAGGGGGTTCCCGGAGGTCACGCGGCCCACCCCCCTGACATGCCCTGAGCCCCTCCGTTTCTGCAAATGTTTAGCTGGAATTTGTGGAGGGGGCGCCCCAGATATCATGCAGACTGACCCCTCAAAAGCCCATCAAAGTTTGTATACTGCTCTTTATTTGTAAACCTCAGAGCGGTTCACATTGCAGTGAAGTAATAATAATAATAATAATAATAATAATAATAATAATAATAAATAATTTATTATTTATACCCCGCCCATCTGGCTGGGTTTCCCCAGCCACTCTGGGCGGCTTCCAACAAAGTATTAAAATACAGTGGTCTGTTAAACATTAAAAGCTTCCCTAAACAGGGCTGCCTTCAGATGTCTTCTAAAAGTCTGGTGGTTGTTCTTCTCTTTGACATCTGGTGGGAGGGCGTTCCACAGGGCAGGTGCCACTACCAAGAAGGCCCTCTGCCTGGTTCCCTGTAACTTGGCTTCTCACAGCGAGGGATCCGCCAGAAGGCCCTTGGCGCTGGACCTCAGTGTCTGGGCAGAACGACGCTCCTTCAGGTCTACTGAGCCAAGCTTAGGGCTTGAAAGGTCAGCACCAACACTTTGAATTGTGCTCGGAAACGTACTGGGAGCCAATGTAGGTCTTTCAAGACCGGTGTTATGTGGTCTCGGTGGCCGCTCCCAGTCACCAGTCTAGCTGCCGCATTCTGGATTAGTTGCAGTTTGGTCACCTTCAGTAGTCCAGACGGGAGATAACTGCAGACAGTGGAGCGGTCTCCCCCGAGAGGCGGTGGGCTCTCCTTCCTTGCCTCTGTCGTGGAGGCTAGAGCCGAGATTCCTGCAAGGCAGGGGTTGGACTGGATGACCCCTGGGTCCCTTCTGACTCAGAAGATTCTATGATTTTATGACCCTGTCCTTCAGAAACTCCTGACGAATTTTCCACAACAGTGCATGGCATCTTGATTCCAGAAAAAAGGGGTCAAGCTTCCAAGATGCCGCAAGACCCTGGGCAGTGGTCAACCAAAGCGTCCTGTCAGTGCCAAGATTTCCGCAGGGCCATCCAGCCCCCTTGCAATGCAGGAAACTCAGCTATAGAATCCTTGACAGACAGCTTCAAAATCTCCAAGGAAGGTTTTCCTGGCCCCTCTCCTTCCCAGTCTGGTCCGGAGGTTTGGAACAGATTTAGGGGGTTTATGGGGGGCAGGGTGCATCCTGTCCTGTAGTTTTTGCTGCAACAGACTGAAACACAGCTGCTGTTTTCTCTTCTGGGAAATTATTATTATTATTATTATTATTATTATTAAAAGTAAAATATTTAAAGCGGACATTCTCCCTCTTTCTCTCTGCCAGCTACCAGCTCTCCTGCACGATCGAGCCGCCTGCGGAAGGAGCGACCCCTGGCCGCCCCGTGAAGCCCACCCTGGTGATCACCCACTGCGCAGAGTGAGAGGCGGGAAGGGCCCGGGAGAGATGGGAGGGTCCCCCGAGGGACATCTAGCCCAACCCCTTGCCAGAAAAGAATCCATGACAGCTGGCCACCCGTCCTCTGCTTTAGAAACCTCCAGCGAAAGAGGAAGTCCAGCCCCACCTCTTCTCTCCCCCCGCCCTCTAATTTCGAAGCTTTCTTTTCAAATAATAGAATTGTGGAGCTGGAAGGGGGACCCCCTGAGGGACATCTAGCCCAACCCGCTGCAATGCGGGAATCTCAGCTCAAGCACCGCTGGTGCTCCAATGGCCACCCAACCTCTGCTCCCATGAAGGAGAGTCCAAATCGCAGGTGTCCAGCTGGAATCTTAAAACCCTAGCGCGGCGGAGCTGGGTCTCACCTGCTGAGACGTCTTCTCCTGGTCCTTTCCCAACCACCAGACGTTTCTCCTTTCTCCTCCAGCCTGGCCACCTCCATTGGGATGAGCACCCTTGTCTCGTGGGACAAGCCCAGCTCCCCACAGGCCCCGCCAGACCTCCTGCTGCCTCCACCTGCTTCGCCCACCCCCCAGGGGCAGCCACACCAGACCCAGGTGAGTTGGGGGCCCGGGGCGATGTCCTTTCCCAGCTGCGATTTGTGAGCTCTGCGGGAATTTTCACTTCGTAAGCAGAACAAGGGTCCTGCTTAGTATCAGTTTTTAAGGAAAGGGCTGGTGCTATGCTGCTTTTACGGTGATTTTCTGTACCTTTAATCTCTCATCTGGTTTCTATCTTAGGGCTGCCATACCTCCAGGGTTTCCCAGACGCTTCCGGGATTTGGGCCTGGAAAATGGCGTCCGGGGGTGGGGGGATTTTCCTGAAACCAGCAAAATGTCGAGGGAAACCCGGAAGTATGGCAAAAGGGATGAAAACTGTGATAAAATCTGCAGAAAAAAGCTCCAGGGAAAGAAAGGAAAAAAAAAGCTCCAGAAAGTCAGCAACTCTGTCCGGATTTTCACATTTGGAAATATGGCAACCCTAATGTATCTTATCTACCTACCTATTTGTGTTTAATTGCTTTTTCACAATTGTCTTTCCTATGACGCTTTTATCTGTTTCCATTTTATTTGTAAGCCACCTTCAAAAGTACCTGAATTTGGAATGAGGCCACTTTACTCTTTCAGCGGCTGCCTGTTGGTGCTTTTATGTTGCTTTTTTTCATGCTGTTAACTGCCCTGGGACCTGTGGAAATTTAACAAACAAATAAATGAGGTACCTACTGAGGACCCATAAGAAGCAACTGTGCCAAAAGGGGCATCGTTGTGAATATTAGAACTGTGGGGGGAGATTTCTCGAAGTCCCCCGCTGCTGCCGGCCCGTGTAGACAGCCCTGAGCAGGACGCATCCCTCGCTAACCCTTGCCTCCCGCTGCCTCCCCAGCGTATGAAGTGGCCGTCCGTCTCCTCACTGGACACAGCCCCAGAGAACGCCTCTCCCTCCTCTCCGGAGGGCTTGGCCCCACCCCCTGCCGTGGGGGGCACCTTCGTCCGGGGCCACCGGCGCTCGGCATCCTGTGGGTCAGCCTACCCCACGGCCCCCGCCCCGGACAGCGGACTCCCCTCGGACTGCCGCATCATCCGCGTCAGCATGGCTCTGCACAACGGCACCCTCTACAAGAGCATCTTGGTGAGCGAAGGGGGCAGGACCCCTGGGGAAGAGAGGGCCTGGCCAGGGAGGGGGGCGCAGGAACAGCCCTTAGCTGTCCCCCGTGCGCGGCAGGAGGTTGGTCTAGACCAGGCACCCCCAAACTCGGCCCTCCAGATGTTTCGGGACTACAGTGGAATGAATTTTGTTATTACAGTCACAGACCAGTTCCGGGTCACTTACAGTATCAGGAAAATCATAAAACACAACAGGGATACATTGAATTGCAATTGGGTACAACAGAGACAGTTCAGATACAGTGATACCTCTGGTTAAGTACTTAATTCGTTCCAGAGGTCTGTTCTTAACCTGAGGTACCACTTATCTAATGGGGCCTCCTGCTGCAGCTGCGCCGCTGGAGCACGATTCCTGTTCTCATCCTGAAGCAAAGTTCTTAACCCGAGGTACTATTTCTGGGTTAATGGAGTCTGTAACCTGAAGCGTATGTAACCTGAAGCGTATGTAACCTGAGGTACCACTGTATAGCGGCAGTGTGTGTGTGTGTGTGTGTGTGTGTGTGTGTGTGTGTGTATAATCTTGATCACTAAAATATACCCTAAAATTATCATTTAAAACCTCAATCATTTTGGCAGTACAGCTTGTTTCCTAAGTTTTATGGCAGTCGCACAGAATTTGGCCCCCCTTAGCGTGATCTCCAGGTCCTTGCCCTCTACCAGGAGTTTTAGACATTGACATTCGGACCCATTTGGAGATTTTTGTATAACAGGAGTGATAAATACCGAGAGACTACTATTCCCATCATCCCTGACCACTGGCCCTGTTAGCTAGGGATGATGGGAGTTGTAGTCCCAAAACGTCTGGAGGGCCGAGTTTGGGGGTGCCTGGTCTAGATGGCCCTAGGGCAGCCTTTCTCAACCTGTGGGTCCCCAGATGTTGTTGAACTACAACTCCCATCACTCCTAGCTAGCAAGGCCAGGGATGATGGGAGTTGTAGTCCAACAATATCTGGGGACCCACAGGTTGAGAACCACTGCCCTTCCCGGGCTGCAGCTCTACGGTTCCCCAGCCAGGTGCCTGCCAGCTCTTTCGCACTATGACGCGGGACCAGGTCATCTGTGTCGTGGCCTGACCCCACATGCAGCCACCCAGCTGCTTAGCCTGCAAGGGCTGGGCTGGATGACCCTCAGGGGTCCCTTCCCACTAACTCAATATGATTCTGTGGCCGGCTGAACTGGCCCATTCTCAGGGGCTATGGAACACCCATTCTGCATCTGTAATAAAATGGATTTTCCGGCATGGCAGCTCCTGACTGTGGAACTCCCTAATGAGTGACACCAAGCAGATACCATAGAATCAGAAGGGACCCCAAAAATCATCTAGTCCAGCCCCCTGCAGTGCAAGAATCTCAGCTCAAGCGCCCCCGACAGATGGGCACCCAGCCTTTGCTGTGATCTTAACAGCGCCTCCTAAAGCGTTTTTTATTTTGGGCAGACCTACCCAGATAACGTAGAACGTTGGTGTGTTTTAATCTCAGTTTGCCGCAAAGGTTTTTGTTTCATTTTTAAGGTTTTACATAGTTATTTACACACCGTTTCTGCCAATAGTTTCATTGTTTTTCAAAACGGCTTTGAGGCTTGTTTGTTTTGTTACAATCCAGTGGCCTGTAAATTTTATGAAATAAACTCACAATCGGCCCTGGTCCAAAAAATCCTGAGGGGCACCCAATTGGCAAAGGCTGAAAATCCTGTTTCTTCTCTCTCTCTCTCTCCCTGTGCTATTGCTGCCTGCCCTCTGCAGGTCACGAGCCAAGACAAGGCGCCGGTTGTGATCGCGAAGGCGCTGGAGAAGCACAACCAGGATCGGGTCCTGGCCCCCAACTATGAACTGGTGCAGCTCCTGCCGGAAGGCCGAGGTGAGGCCCATCTCTGTGCTTTATAGTGGGGAGGGGGGAATCTGAGGGGATGTGAATCCTGCATTGCAAAGGGGGTTGGACTAGATGAGCTCTGGGGGGTCCCTTCCAAGTCTGTTGCAAGCATTTACGCCACTGGTTTTAACTACTGCCTGCGGGATTTTGCAGTGCGTCAAATTGCTTTTAGGTTATAATTAGCTTTCCGATGCTTCCTTGGCAGCTTATACAGTGGTACCTCGGGTTAAGAACTTAATTCGTTCTGGAAGTCCGTTCTTAACCTGAAACTGTTCTTAACCTGAAGCACCACTTTAGCTAATGGGGCCTCCTGCTGCCGCCGCGCCGCCGGAGCACGATTTCTGTTCTCATCCTGAAGCAAATTTCTTAACCCGAGGTACTATTTCTGGGTTAGCGGAGTCTGTAACCTGAAGCGTCTGTAACCCGAGGTACCACTGTAAATGTTTCCTTAAAAAATATTTTTCCAACACAGCAGCACAGAGGACGGTGTCTTTTAAACATTTCCTCTGCTTCAAGGCTGCCCAATGGACTTCAAAGTCTTTATTATCCTCCCCTTGTCTGTCAGCAGATTCTAATCAAGCCATCTCCTGATGTTGACAAAGTGGCCAAAATCTTGCGGCTTTGTATTTGGGTTTTTAAGAAAACGGCAGCTCGGGTTCTGCAAAGCTGCAGAGCAACAGAGGTTTGGGAAAGCAATGCTAATAGAGGTGTGTTTTTTAAGATGGGAGATGAGCTGCGCCCCCAGGAGTCCCTGGTTCTGGCTTTGGGCATGCCATTCCTTTTCCACTAGGGAACTCCAAAAATGAGCAGTTCCTCTCGTTCTTCCACCTTGACCCCTCCTCGCTCTCTTGCCCTCTCTCTTCCTACCACCCCTGCAGAGCTGGCCTTCCCGACCACAGCAAACGTCTTCTATGCGATGAGCAGCACCTGCCTGGACTTCATGCTGCGACCCAAGCGCCCGCGGGAGAAGCTGCCCCCTCCGCCGCCCCCGCCCAAGCCCAAGCCGCCCAAGGGGGTGGAGATCAGCGCCACCTTCCCGAAGATTAAGGCCACCGGGCGGAAGATAGCCAGAGCCCTCTTTTGAGTTGGGCGGCAAGAGGATAGAGCGGTGCCTCGGTTTCCACTCGCTCGGGGCTGGCGGCCCACGCTGCCCTTGAGACTGGGGACAGCATAGGGTTGCAACGCGGTGTCAGAAGTGGCAATATGTTGGCAGAGCTGTGGCCCGTTCTGGCTGGTGGAGAACCCTGGTTTTCCAGAGTCTTTGAGGAACTCGATGTCCTTAACTGCTTGGACCTGAGGGCAGGACCTGATCCGATGGATGCAAACGACGAGAAAGGAGATTCCGGCTAAACATTAGGAAGAACTTCCCGCTTGATGGTGGAACCGGAGGTGGCAGAGTCTCCTCCATTTTTTAAGCGCCACCTGGGATCCTTTAGCTATGATTCCGCCATCTCAGGGGGGCTGGACTAGATGATCCTTGCAGGCCCCTCCTGATCCTCCGTTTCTGAGTCCGTTGTCCGATTTCCAGTGTCAGCACCTTTCCTTTCCTTCATCATGCCGTTCACAGCTCAGCCGGGTAGAGCATGGGGCCGATAAGGTTTGCAGTCCCACTTTGGACCGCTGGGGTTGGACTGGATGATCCTCAGGGGCCTTCGAACTCTGCGATTCTAGTGAAATCCCTCCCCTCTAGCTCAGGGGGGAAGGCTGCGTTGTCAAAGACACGGATGTCGTGTCGCGCTTGGAAGAGTTTCCATCTGCGTTGTGCGCTTCCTGTTGCCATTGCCACCGGCTTCCTGTTTCTTTGCCGTGGGCACCTTCTCCTCTCGCTCTGGGCTCCTCCCACCCCCCCACCCCGCCTGCCCCAAGTGCCTTGACTGTCAATGGGAGGCACTCCGCTTCCTGCTGCGGGGAGGGAGGGCTTGGCGGATTGCCCCATTGACGGCTCCCTCTTTTTGGACCAGTGGGAATGTGGAGCAATTCTGTGCCTGTCGGAGGCTGTTTCTCACAGATCCCAGATGCAAACTGCCCCCTCTGCTAAGCTCAGCTGCCCCATATCTCAGGGAGGGTGTGTGTGACACTTAGATGCACTTGACACTGCGCCGAGTGCAAATTAACACTAATTTTTTTATAAAAAAGACGGCGCTATGTTGTGAGGCTGTGGGGAAGGGTTCGGCCCGACCCAGGGCCAAATTTGTCCTTCCTAAAGCGAGGGGGAAACGTCACCTGTGAATCCTGATGCTGGTGGGAAGACGGTGACTTTTCGCGGCTGTTTTACACGGACAGCCACTTTGCAAATTCCGCTCCAGCCACCCTCAGGTTGGGATCTCCTCCAGGGGTTTTGCACTGAATTTCCCATCAGCCCCAACCGATGGCTTCCAATTACGAGAAAGGAGGTTCTGCGTAAATGTCTTTCTGAACCGCCTTCTCCTTCCTAAAAGGTTTTTAAGCCGAGGTTGGGTGGCCGTCTGTCGTGGGGTTAGGCTAGATGGCCCTTGGGGGTCCCTTCCAACACTTGAATTCTATGATTCATTGGAGGTTGGGCGGGCTTCTGTCAGGTATCATTGAACTCTGGTTCCTGAATTGCAGGGGGTTGGACTAGATGACCCTAGGTGTCCCCTCCCAATGTCACAGCTCTGAGACTCCAGGACTTTTGGACTACAGTTCCCACCAGCACCTGATGGGGAGTTGTAGTTTAAAACCCCAGAGGCGATCTCAGGATGAGGAAGGTTGGGAGTTCCCCCACTTTTTCCTCTCCTGCAGGCTGCTACTTCTCACCGCGCAGCTAACATTTTATATACGATCCTAAACAGCTTGCAAATTGGCTCTCATCTTTCGCGTACTTTTGGAGGCAATTCCTGTCTCTCCACACCAGCATGTCTGAAACTCTGCAGAGTCCCCAATATATTTTTATACTATTTAAGTTTCAGCCCAAGAAACGCCTTCTTCACGGGAGCCTTTTAACACCTTCCTTAACGTTCTGTGGACTGAGCTGCACCGGTTGGGCTGCCGCCTGCCCCTTGCCGCCGCCCACGGGCAACCAGCACTTTCTACCTGCTGCCTATAACTTTTTTTTCTCTTTCTCTGGAGGAAAAACGATGTTTTGAATGTTAAAAACATTTGTACTCGGCTGCATCAGGGACACTGAAACTTTCTATAAAATATTATTATAAAAAGCAGCTTTGTGGTATGGAAAGCTTTGTGCCTGGCAACCCAGACTGAGATGGGAGTACCTCTGAGGATGTGAAGAGTGCACTAAAAAAAATTGGCAATATTTGGGCCATCTTCACAAAGTGCTCAGAGGTTCTGTTTACAACCAAGTGTCCTTAGGTGCCTCTTGGCCTTTTGGACGTGTCCCAAGGATTTCCTCTGCCAGCTTCTAGGTGGCTCTCGCCTCTTCTTGCCTACAGCAGCAAAGTTGGAAACATTCCCAGGCACCTGTCCCTGGCGGGGAGGTGAGCCTGACGTAGGGGGCAACACAGGGCTCTTTGCCAGCCCCAGAGAAGCAGGCAGGCAGCTGCAGCCTGGCCCTAGAGACCTGAGGAGGGGCAGGACCTCTCAAAGCCTGGAGATGTGAGATATGATAGCTGTCTTCAGATATCTCGAGGGCTGTCACATGGAATAGGGAGAAAGGTTGTTTTCTCCTGCTCTGGAGGGGAGGACTCGAACACAGGGCTTCAGGTTACGATAAAAGAGGATTTCTGACAGGAAGAGCTGTTCCACAGTGGGCTCTCCTTCCTTGGAGGTTTTTAAGCAGAGGTTGGGTGGTCATCCACCAGGAATGCTTTAGCTGAGATTCCTGCCTTAGCAGGCGGTTGGAATGGATGACCCCCCGAGGTCCCACCGAACTCTACATTTCCATCCGTTCCCTAGAGAGCGAACCGGATGTCCCTGCTTCCTAAAAAGCTCTGCCAGTGCAGCGGGAATTGCCAGAAACCCCATCCTTCTCGGCTTTTCTGCAGCCCTTGCGGAAGTGGCTGTCGGCTGAAGGAGGGTCTCATCCGAAGAACGTGCTCTGCTCCCGCCTTGGCAGGGGGCTGGACTAGATGGCCCTGGGGGTCCCCCCTTCCAACTCTACCGTTCCAGGATCCCAGACCAGCCACCCTTCGAAGCTGCCGCAGCCTGACCCTAGAGAGAGCTCCTCGCGAGGCAGCGATGGGGTCAAGACGCCCCACGGGTACCAGGCCACAGGGACAGATTTTGTGTGTCGGCTTCGTGTTGGGGGGGGGGATGTCTCCTTTCCAGGGGTCTCCCCCTCCCCATTGCGCATGGCGAGGTCCGAGTGCGAAAGACAGAGAGTTGGGAGACTTGGCCCTAGCTTTTATTTATGCCCAGCGGAGCAGGCCTCGCAACGGTGTCCCCATCCCTCCCCCCACAGTCCAGGAACGGCCCCCCAACTCCCCTCAGGCCTTGACGGCCCCCTTGGCCTGGGCCTTCTGGAACTCCTGCTGCAGCCGCGCCAGCGTCTCCCGCTGCTGGTCCGACTTCTTCTCGTAATCCTGCATCTGACCCTCGTAGCGCTTGCTGAAACGAGAGGACACAGTGGCGGCGGCGTCAGCGCATGTGGCTTCACAAGCCCCGGGGAGGCTGAGAACGCTGCAAGCCCCGCACTGCAAGGGGGTTCGGCTAGATGACACCCGGAGAGCCCTCCCAACACTACAGTTCGGGGATCCCCAGCAACACGTGTTCAGAGAAGTGACCCCTCTGACAGCAGAGCTGGAACACGGACCACTGTATAACCAATTAAAAACTAAAAAAAGATAAAAGGACAGCTCGTAGTCAACGTCAGTCTCCTCCTCCTCCCCGAGGCGGCTAGCCAGCTGTCCTTTTGTCTTATTTTTAGTTTTTAATTGGTTATACAGTGGTACCTCGGGTTACATACGCTTCAGGTTACAAACTCCGCTAACCCAGAAATACTACCTCGGGTTAAGAACTTTGCTTCAGGATAAGAACAGAAATCGTGCAGCCGTGGCATGGTGGCAGCAGGAGGCCCCATTAGCTAAAGTGGTGCTTCAGGTTAAGAACAGTTTCAGGTAAAGAACGGACCTCCAGAACGAATTAAGTATGTAACCAGAGGTACCACTGTAATAATAATAATTTATTATTTATACCCCACCCATCTGGCTGCGTTTCCCCAGCCACTCTGGGCGACTTCCCACAAAGATTAAAAATACATTAAAATGTCTGTACAAACCACCTCAATTAGTGGCCACAACTGCTGCCTGTGGAACCCTGGCACGCCCCCCCCCCCGCTTGCAAAGGTAAGTCCACGGCAGCCTGTCTCTGAACCTGAAGGTCCCACAGATGCTATAGAATTGCAATGGGGTCCCCCAGGGTCATCTAGTCCAGCCCCCCGCAATGCAGGAATCACAGCTGCTTAAGTCCTCATCACAAACAGCAAGTGAGTCATAGCAACCCATGGATTCACATATACTTTACATAGTTTTGTAGCCTTGATTATATTTCATGGCCATTTTGTTTGTTATTGCTGTTTTCTTCCACTTTTAAAATGTTTTTACATAGTCATACCTCAGGTTACAGACGTTTCAGGCTGCGTTTTTTCAGGTTATGGAGGATATATAAATCGCACTTTGTGCATGCACAGAAGCGCCGAATCGCAACCCATGCATGCGCAGATGCACCACTGCGGGTTACGAACGCTGCAGGTTGCAAACGTGCATCCTGCACAGATCACGTTTGCAACCTTCGTGTCCACTGTATTCTCATTCATATATATATATATATATACACACACACACACACACACACACACACATAAATTTTCTGTTTAACAATTTAGAATATTCATTTAAACAACCTTAAAATATCAGTGACTTCCCTACTTCTCTTTGCATGGTTCATTTTGCATAGCACAAATCCCTGCACATTTTACATAAACTAAACAATTCAGTTTTCCATTATTGCACACTGTTGAATTTATCTTAATGCTGCCCATGTTTTCAAGCGCACACAATTTCCCCTATTCTCTTATGCGCAGGACGTTATTTTGAGCGTCTGCGCATGCGTGAGTGGTGAAACCCGGAAGTAGCAGAACACGTTACTTCCAGGTCGCTGCGGAATGTAACCCGAAAGTGCTCAACCTGAAGCAACTTCAACCCAAGGTATGACTGTGGGTGGGGGTGGGTGGGTGTATATATATATATATATATATATATACGAAAAACCGCAGTAGCAGAGCCTCCCCGCGGGATGGAGGCGGCACTCACATCTCCCCTGCGATGTAGTCCAGCCGTTTCGCGACCGTGGCTTTGGCCTCATCTGTGTCCTGCTTCACCAAGACAGGCCCAATCAGCTTGTAGACGGTGTTGGACGAATCCAACAGGTCCAGCTCCTGCAGAGGAAGGAAAGGTCAGCAGGGAGGGAGGCGGCTCAAAGCGGCAGTTTCTGCAAAGGCGGGGGGAGGGCGGGGGCTCACCTCCTTCACCACGTTGTTCTCGGTCAGCTGAGCCTCCAGTTTCTGCCGGGCCGTCATGCACTTGCTGATATCTGGAAGCGGGGAGGAAGAAAGGGCACAGAAATTGATGGACTATGCAGAACGGGCAACGCTCACCGAAATAATAAGAAGAATCAAGAAGATCAAGTTCGTAAGAAAGAATGGAAATAAACAAATAAACTCTAAACAAAGCAAAATTACTCTAAACAAATAAAGACGCTAGCAGGTTTAATATAAATAACGTGCAGTATACATTTTACACACACACACACACACACACACACTTATGTATGTAGAAGAGATTGTAAATAACAAGTTAACTTAATTGGGAAATGCAGGAAATAATATAAAATATAAGGAACCCAAGAAGAGGGGGAAGGGAGTCATAATAAGAGAAATATGGAATATCATTTGTGTTTTAAATTTTTGGTTATTTTTTCCTTTTTTCTGTACTTTGTAAAAGCTTATAAAATTATTATTATTATTATTATTATTATTATTATTATTACTATTACTATTAGTGGGGACGAGGAAGAGTTCCCCCCAGTAAAACAAACAAAAAAAGGAAATCCACACAGTTAAAAGTGTAGAACACACATGGAAAAATATTAGAACCAACACAACATAGACCGGCAGTCCACAGGAATGAATGAAATCCAACCCAAAAGCATAGTATTGGAAGGGACCCCGAGGGTCATCTAGTCCAACCCCCTGCAATGCAGGAATCTCAACTAAAGCATCCATGAGAGATGGCCGCCCAACTTGTGCTTCAAAACTTCCAAGAACTTAACTTTTAAGTGGGCCCAGCTACTTCTTGGTGGGAGGTCGAGGCGTGACAGGTGTCTAGACAGCACATATAAGAAATGGGGGGGGGGGGGAGACTCCCACATTTTAAACGCAAGCCCAGAACTGAGAGATGCTGCTATAACGTTCTGGAGCAGGGAAATGGGATTCTGAGGTGGTCTTCTGACTCACTTCCTGAGCCAGGTTCAGGGGCCTTCTGGCAGTTCCCTCATTGCAAGAAGTGAGGTTACAGCGAACCAGGCAGAGGGCCTCCTCGGTGGTGGCACCCGCCCTGTGGAACGCCCTCCCTTCAGATGTGAAGGAAATTAGCAGCTATCTTATTTTTAAAAGATATCTGAAGACAGCCCTGTTTAGGGAAGTTTTTAATATTTAGTGCTGTCTTGTTTTTAATAAATTATTTAATAAAATAATAAATAAATAATAAAAATTATTTAATAAATAACAATAATAATTATGTCCTTGCATTAATTTACAAAGCCCTGGGCAACTTGGGTCCAGGGTGCTTCAGGGACCGCCTGAACCCCAATTTCCCACTCAGGTCACCTGCAGGAGTGTCGCTGTTCATTCCCCAAGTTGGTGAGGCCCATTTGGCAACAAGGAGAATCCGAGCCTTTTGAGTTATTCGCCCCGTCCTGCGGGACTCCCTGCCACTGGAGTTCGGCCAGCTTTCAAAGACCTGGCGAGAGCTTTTCTGCTGTCTGATTTCAACTTTTAGAACTGTTTCATGTACAGCTATTTTAAGGCGCTCTGATACTTTCTTATGAATAGCTCTGTGTGTGTGTATAATGCGAGGTGGTGGTGGAATTTACCTTTCTGCAGCTGCTGGTATTTCTCCAGCTCTCCCTGGAGCTTCTTCTGCAGGGCTTCAGCCATCGCCTCCTCCTCTCACTTGGCTCAGGAGCAGGGGTGCGGGTGGCACTCTCTGCAGAAAAAGCAAGTAACTGCCAGTGCAGCTTTGCTGGTAGAAAAGCCAAGAGCCCCCGGGAGCTAGGAGAAAACACAGGGCAGATCCAGCTGTCAAAGGGCTCTGCTTACCTCCCGCTCAGGGCTCCAGTTTGGAGCAGCCCCTCGCCACCAGCTCCTGGGCGGGGAGGGGGGTCTCTATCCTCAAAACAAAAGCCCGTGTGGGAGCACTGAACCCGGGGGGGGGGGAGTTCTGCATGGTGAAGATGCCCTCTGCCTATGGGTCACCCCAGGGGCCGCCCCAACTCCCAGGGGCATCTTCTGGCCCCCTCCCCATCTGGGTGTGTGGAGACGGGGGAAGGGGGCAGCCACCCCCCAGGGTCCCTCCCCCCCCAGCTCCCCTTTCTCCCCCACCTCCTCCAATGGATCCCCCAGGCACCCCTGGAGCCCCCTCCCCACACAAGCCCCCTCCCCCATTCAGCACCCATGGCGCCCTCTCCTCGCCCCTTGGTGCCCCCACCCACCTGCCCCTCTTTTTCTGCCCACACCCCCTGCCCCCGACTCACGTTCCGCTAAAGCTCCTCCTCCCGAGGAACTTCCGCCCGCAGCACCTCCGCGTCACCCAGGATCCCTCGCGGTCTCGCTCCTTCCCGCACAGGCGCAGGCGGGCCGCCAGCGCCTTTGGATGCGTCACTTCCGCCCCACGCCAAGATGGCGGCTTAACACAGGACGGGAGCGTAGTCCTAGAGCGGTCGCCTCGAAATCTACGAACACTTCTCCGCCGCAAAGGATACCGGGAAATGTAATTTGTCCCCCAGCGGAGCTCCAGTTCCCGGAGCCCTTGACAAACTACAGTTCCCAGGAGGGGATTTTCTTGTGGGGGGGGGATGGTAGAGTGGAGAAAAGTAAAGTGTTTTTGAATGCATCCTGTGAATGCGATCCACGTGTCTGGCTGGGCCACGTGTAATCGGGTTTGCACGCTTTTGTTATTGGTTTTTCCCTTTTTTCTTGTTTTTCTGCTTCTATTATGGATTTTCATGCTGTGAGCCGCCCTGGGATCTTTGAGGACGGGGCAGCGTCCAAATTTAATAATGCTATAATATAATAATTTATTTATTATTTATATAATAAATAAATGGGCTGTAGCCACGTGTGTGTGTACAAACTTTGGAGACCCACACTGCCTGTCGATAAATAAATAAGCATATGAGAAATTCTGAATGGACTGAGTACTGTTTTCCTAACATGTCAAATAATTTTTAAACTTCCCTTTTTGGTTATGACTTTCCACAAAAAAACACGATACTGAGTTGGCCCTTGGACAGTCAGAAGGAGGGAAGGCACAAGGGCGCATGGACTGAAGTGCGCAGGGCAGAGACTTAAGAGATCCACAGGGTAACCTGCCACTTTGACTCAGAAGTCAAGGTTTCCTCCGAATTAAGTGGCCAGGATTAGGACCCTGCTTCAGGAAAGAACACCCTCAGGAGGGACATCAGCTGGAAGCAAAATCAAGCTTTGATTTGAGGCTGCAATAGCTCCGTTGGTTAGAGCGTGGTGCTCATCATGCCAAGGTTGCGGGTTCAATCCCCGTAAAGGACATCTGAAACCCCCAATGCTGGGGGTTGGACTAGATGACCCTTGGGGAACTTTTGGAGGTGTTACGGAATGAATGATGGCGGAGGAATATTTTTGTAGAGCAGGCATAGGCAACCTTCGGCCCTCCAGATGTTTTGGACTACAGTTCCCATCATCCTTAGCTAATAGGACCAGTGGTCAGGGATGATGGGAATTGTAGTCCAAAACATCTGGAGGGCTGAAGGTTGCCTATGCCTATTTCAGAGGTTTCAGCTTTTCTTAACACAGGCAAAAAGGCACTGTTAGTAGTGATTACATAACTGATTACAAACTTTTTAAATAAGTGATGTGATTCAAGGACTGAGAAAACATAGGCATTGGCACAACCTGTGACCTGCTTCCCAGAGGGAAGGCAATGTTAAAAAGCATGGGGAGAGGACGGAGCCCTAAGGCACCCCACAAGTGAGCGCCCAGGGGTCCCCCAACATCACTTTCTGGACACGGCCCAGGAGGAAGGAGCGGAACCACTGCATAACCCTGCCCCTAACTCCCTACCGTCCTAGACCGTCCAGGAGGATGTGTTAGTATTTGTAATGTCATTTCATTGGGAATGCACCGTATTTTTCGCTCTATAAGACACACCTAGTTTTCAGAGGAGCAAAACAAGGAAAAAAAACATTCTGAATGAAATGTTGTTGAAGACGCTTCACGTGGCTATGAGAGCCAGTGTGGTGTAGTGGTTAAGAGCAGGAGACTCGTAATCTGAGGAACCGGGTTTGGGTCTTGGCTCCTCCACATGCAGCTGCTGGGTGATCTTGGATTAGTCACACTTCTCTGAAGTATCTCAGCCCCACTCACGCCACACAGTATTTGTTGTGGGGGAGGAAGGGAAAGGAGATTGTTAGCCGCTTTGAGACTCCTTCGGGTAGTGATAAAGCGGAATATCAAATCCAAATTCTTCTTCTGCTTCTATCCCTGAAGCCAGAACAAACAGCTGCGAAAGCAATGCAAAGCCTCTTCAGTGCAGTGGGAGGAAGAGGCTTCGTGCGGCTATCGCTGAAGCCAGCGATAGCTGTGCAGTCTGCATTAGCTCCATAAGACGCACACACATTTCCCCTTACTTTTTAGTAGGGAAAAAGTGTGCCTTATAGAGCGAAAAATACAGTATTTCAGAAAGCAGAGGTGGCATTGGGGAAATGAAATGGCACTTGTTTGGTTAATTCAGTTCGCTGTGTCTTGACTGCTGAGAGGTCAAGCTGAGAGGTGTGGGGACTTCATGTACACACTGTCTGGAGGGGTTTGTAAATAATACTAGTGTTTCAACTGTTGCCAGCCTGACAAGTAAATATTTATTTTCAACAAATTGGGTAAGGCATATATTTTTATCACAAACAGCTATCCAGATACTGTGGTCAATTGTATTAAAAGCCACTGAGAGATCCAGCAGAACCAGGAAACAGCTTTTACCTCTGTCCCTAGCCCGCCAGAGATAATCAACCAGCGCCACCAGGGTGGTCTCAGTCCAATAGAAGGGCCTAAAACTCAATTGGGACAAATGCAGTCTGAATGGTCCACATCCTCCAGATATGCCTGGGTTTATTCTGCAACCAAACATACATTTAAATTGTTTTTCCCATGTGAGTTCCTTCCTGGAGGAGCGAACCCAGGAGGTAGCACTGAGTGACTCGTGTTCCATATGTTGGCCATTTTCCTGCAGCGTGCCTCTGGGGTCTGTTCTGCGCCCCATGCTATTCAACATGTGTGTCCAGGGCAGCTGTTTATCAGCTCCATCTGGTAGGCAGGCTGAGACCCTACCTGCCTGCGGACTGTCTTGCCAGAGTGGTGTATGCTCTGGTTATCACCCGCTTAGACTACTGTAATGAACTCTATGTGGGGCTACCTTTAAAGGTGACCCGGAAACTGCAACTACAGTGGTGCCCCGCAAGACGAATGCCTCGCAAGACGAAAAACTCGCTAGACGAAAGGGTTTTGCGGTTTTTGAGCTGCTTCGCAAGACGAATTTCCCTATGGGCTTGCTTCGCAAGACTAAAACGTCTTGCAAGTTTGTTTCCTTTTTCTTAACACCGTTAATACAGTTGCGACTTGACTTCGAGGAGCAACTCATAGAACGCGGTGTGGTAGCCTTTTTTGAGGTTTTTGGTGATTTTTGAAGCTTTTCCAAAACTTTTCCGACACCGTGCTTCGCAAGACGAAAAATTCGCTAGACGAAAAAACTCGCGGAACGAATTAATTTCATCTTGCGAGGCACCACTGTAATCCAGAATGCAGCAGCTAGGGTGGTGACTGGGAGCGGCCGCCGAGACCATATAACACCGGTCTTGAAAGACCTACATTGACTCCCAGTACGTTTCCGAGCACAATTCAAAGTGTTGGTGCTGACCTCTAAAGCCCTAAACGGCCTCGGTCCAGTATACCTGAAGGAGCGTCTCCACCCCCATCGTTCTGCCCGGACCCTTCTGGCGGTTCCCTCGCTGCGAGAAGCCAAGTTACAGGGAACCAAGCAGAGGGCCTTCCCGGTAGTGGCACCCGCCCTGTGGAATGCCCTCCCACCAGATGTCAAAGAGAAAAATAACTACCAAACTTTTAGAAGATATCTGAAGGCAGCCCTGTTTAGGGAAGCTTTTAATGTTTAATAGGTTATTGTATTTTAGTGTTTTGTTGGAAGCTGCCCAGAGTGGCTAGGGAAACCCAGCCAGATGGGCGGGGTATAAATAAATTATTATTATTATTATTATTATTAACATTTACATGAAAACAGTGGGAAAGCTTGTCCAGAATTTTGGGTTTTGGTGGCACCCGTATGACGGTTTTCTTATGTTTTTAGCAGTTCTTAATTGCCTTAAGTCCCATCAGGGAATAAGATGGGATAATAATAATAATAAAATAATAAAAATAAAAAGTGTAGTCTGCTGGCAGCAGGACTCCCTTCAGCATGACTGTAGAATAACATTTGGGATTATAGAAAAGCCCAATCTTCTCCAAACCCCAAAAGCAGGAGCCATGGGGTTGCCACATGGGGACGATGAGGGAAAATGGGGCCACCAAGAGCCTGCCCTGGAGCTCCTCCTTTCCCCTGTTGGAAGTAGACTTTGATAAAAGTATCCCATTATTCAGCTGCATTATGAGGGAGGCTGAAAAAGAAAATTTAAGGTCTTATATATATCGATAATAAAGGAGCATGATCAATTAAGTGGTTCCTCACAGGAAAGGGAACTGCTCTCTGTCTATGTACATGCCCTCTGTTCCTAATTACTTTTAAAAAAATCTCTGCATAATCATCCTCCACCCCTTGAGCCACATTTCCCCCCCCTTGACCTTGAGAAGTTTATGAATCAACTGCACAGTACCTTTGGCTGAAGGAGGTCCATATTGACCATTTTTGGAGACCCACATCTGAGTTGTTTCTGGGGTCAGGGGTTTGTCAGAGAACTAGTGACAAGAGTGCAGACTGATGATGTGGACTCTGTACCAGGAAAGCTCACACCACCATTCACCTGTGGTTCTCTTCATAGATTTTGCAGTTATTTTGGAATTTGTGCCGCAATTTCAGCTTATGAAAAGTTGTTGTTGTTGTTTAGTCGTTTAGTCGTGTCCGACTCTTCGTGACCCCATGGACCAGAGCACGCCAGGCACGTCTATCCTCCACTGCCTCCCGCAGTTTGGTCAAACTCATACAGACGGGAAAATATAACAGGGTTGCTGTGACCTATAATTCATCCACTAACTCAGGGGACAGCAAGCTTATCAGCTGATGGGCCGGTCCACACTCCGCCAGTCAGAGGATGGACTGGAGCGTGTGCGCATGCGCACTCTTCTGGGTTGGTGTGCACGGAAATAACGGCCCAGATGTGCACGGCAATAGCAAGTGCACATGGGTGCATCTCCATCCCACATGCGTGTGCACACATTATTTCAGGCACACGTCCAGGTCGGAGGAGCGCCTGTGCACAAGCGCAAAGGCGCCATCAACCCAGAAGTCGGTCCCCACGCTGTGCCGTGTCGGTAAGAGTGGGTGGCGGCGGGTGGCAGGGGTCGTCACGGGCCTGTCGGGTGACCTCCACGGGCCGCTACCGGCCCATGGGCCATAGGTTGCCAACCTCTGCACTAACTCTTACTTGTGTACAGCCTGTAAATTTGGCAAACTCACCCACCTTGCCTATAATACTGGCAATCTTTGGCCTGAATATGCACACCTGTGTGTAGAGCCTCCAGCCACAGGTATTGTCTATCATGAAAATGGGTCCTTTGCCCAGGAAGCACCCAAGCTGGAAATGTTCATGCATTTACCATCTTTGGATGCAGATGGATTGGGTCTTAGCACATGGACATAGCCATGGGGGGCAGGGAGGGGCAGCTGCCAGGGTGGCAGGGGAGGGGCTGATCCAGGCAAGCTAGCCGCAAAGTGGGGGTTCCCACCCCCACCCTGGTGTGCACTGCAGGACCCTATGTGAAGCCCAGAGATGGATCCAGCTTATTGAATCTAATTTCTGCTTTCTTAATGCATGTGTTATCTTATGGCTTTTGGCTTTTGTATTTAGTCCATTCACATTCCATGTTAAACATTTACTGTATTTTTTGCTCTATAAGACTCACTTTTTCCCTCCTAAAAAGTAAGGGGAAATGTGTGTGCGTCTTATGGAGCGAATGCAGGCTGCGCAGCTATCCCAGAAGCCAGAACAGCAAGAGGGATTGCTGCTTTCACTGCGTAGCGATCCCTCTTGCTGTTCTGGCTTCTGAGATTCAGAATATTTTTTTCTTGTTTCCTTCCTCCAAAAACTAGGTGCGTCTTGTGGTCTGGTGCGTCTTATAGAGCGAAAAATACGGTATAAGCCATCATTACACTCATCTGTATGGTTCTCCCCTGTCTGTTATTCAGGGAATAGATAGATATTCGAGCTCACAGTGAAGCATTTTGCACAAACCTGTGTCAACACACTCCGCCCTGGCATTCCTTTGAGATGTTCAGGCACTGCCTCCCCTCCCTCATGCAAGTTGTGCAGAGATAACATTTTACCTGGACACTTCATGTAGCGGAGTATGAGGAGGTGTTGTAACACAATTAATTTATAAAATATAAAGAATATATGCGGTTTGCAATATTACCTTGGGGATGTAAGAAGATCCACACTCTCTCCCTCCCTATGTAACATTACAGTACATTCAATCTTACATTATGCTTACTATTGTGAGACCCTACCTACATGTCTATACATTAAAGACTGAAACTTTGAATGAAATTCTATTTATATTCCTGATATTTACATGATTTCACCCTTGTCTGAGCTTCTTGAGGTCTTCTTAAGTTTTCCACTACAGTATCAATAAACTTCTTTCCTCACTGAATACATTGAAATGGTCTCTCCCCTTTGAAAGTCCATTGATGTTGTCTGAGGTTTCCACTTCTACTGAAGTTCTTTCCACACACCATGCATTTAAATGCTTTCTCTCCTCTGTGGGTCCATTGATGCATATCAAGCTCTGTACTCTGCCTGAAGCTTTTTCTTTATAGATTTAAATGGTTTTTCCCACGTGAGTTCCTTGATGTTTTCTAAGGTTTCAAGTCTCAGTGAAGCTCTTTCCACACTCCATGCATTTATATGGTAACTCCCCTGTGTGAATCTGTTAATGAATTCTATGTTTTCCTCTCTTTTTCTGGAAATCTATTTATTAAATTTTCCAAATTATTATTTAAATTCACATGCCAATTTGGCACAGTCCATCAACTTAATCTGCCATTCTTCTCTGGTAGGGACTTTGTCTTCTTTCCATCTCTGGGCTAATACCATCTGCGCAGCCATCGTTGTGTACATAAATAACCTTTCCTGCTCCCTTGAAATTTCTCCACCTTTGAGTCCTAAAAGAGAAGCTTCGGTTTTTTTTAATAAAAGTTATTTTAAACATTTTTTTTCAATTCACTATATATCATTTTCCAAAATGCTTTTACTATCATGCATGTCCACCACATATGACAAATTGAACGTGTTCATCTTTGTAAAGCCTTCCAGAAATAATTTATACATTTTAGAAAGTAATTTCATATTATTCTGTCAAACATAATGTGTTCCGGAAGTCTGTTTGACTTCCAAAATGTTCGGATACAAAGCACAACATCTGATTAACTGCAGGAAGCTCCTGCAACCTATTGGAAGCTGCAGAAGCCGCGTCGGATGTTCAGTTCCAAAGAACACTCACAAATCGGAACAATTATTTCCAGGTTTGTGGTGTTCGAGAGCCACAACGTTCAACTTGCAAGGCGTTCAGGATCCAAGATATGACTGTTTATGGTTTCTCCCTTGTGTGAATCCGTTGATGAATTCTAAATTTACCATTGTCACTGAAGATCTTTCCGCACTCCATACATTTACATGGTTTCTTCCATGTGAATCCGTTGGTGTGTTTTAAGTGTTCTATTATAAGTGAAGCTCTTTCCACACTCTGTACATTTATATGGTTTCTCCCCTGTGTGAATTCGTTGATGTTTTAGAAGTGTTCTATTATCAGTGAAGCTCTTTCCACACTCCTTACATTTATATGGTTTCTCCCCTGTGTGAATCCGTTGATGAATTCTAAGTGTTCCACTCTCACTGAAGCTCTTTCCACACTCCATACATTTAAATGGTTTTTCCCCTGTGTGAGTTCGATGATGGATTCTAAGTGTTTCACTCCGATTAAACCTCTTTCCGCACTCCATGCATTCAAATGGTTTCTCCCCCGTGTGAGTTCGATGATGTACATGAAGGTGTACGTGTTGATTTAAAGCAGAGTCTCTGGTGCCCAGCGGAAGGATGAGGAAAATGTGTTACATACTCTATATTGCTTTATTTACAGTTCAAAGCTGGTATATTACAGAAAGACATCTTGCCTCTGCCAGAGCAGAGAAATGCATCCTCTCTCCTCGACAGCTTGGAGAGAAACACACAGTGAAAAACAGGAAACCAGTGTACGTCACATCCAGTCTCCCTTTCCCGTGAGAAACTCCAACAGTACAGACTGTGGAATGTAAACACCTGTCTTGTGACTGCAGTTGCTGCTCAGTGAAGGAAATAGAAACCAACATCCTCCCCTTTCTGTGAACATCACTGGGCAGCGTGTTCGTACAATATCAGTACAAACCCAACTTCTGCACATAGGTACAGTGTTGATCCCTTGATACAATCTTGGACAATACATCAGCAGGAATTTCATTACCTGGCATATAGGACACCGTTACGAGTCCCTTCTGAATACATTCCCTAGCATGCTGCAACTTTAATTGCAAGTGCTTTGTGCTTTGCTTACAACCTTCAGACTTCAGCAAAGCCAAACATGCTTTGTTGTCCTGGTAAACCTGGATTGGACATTTGACAGGAATTTTCATATCTTTGCACAATTGTACTAACCATTCACAATCCTTAAGTGAATAAGACAGTGCATTCAGTTCAGCTTCACAAGTACTTAAGCTAACTGTTGTTTGCTTCTTGCATGACCAATCAAACAGACTCTGATTGTACATGTAGCAAACTCCAGACGTACTTTTCCTGTCTGTAGTGTCACTTCCAAAACTTGCATCTGCAAATATCTCAAGACCACCAGACTTCTGATTGTTAAATCTCAGTCTGTAATGCATAGTGCCTTTCAAATACCGCGCTATGCGTTTCAGAGCTTTCCAATCCTTGACACTAGGATTGTTGACTTGTCTGCTTAGCAAATTACAGCTAACAGCAATGTCTGGTCTTGAACATCTGGCAATGAAGTTTAGCTTGCCTAGCACACTCCTGTACAGTGTAGTGTCAGAAAATGCTTCTTCAGTGTCATCTACCTGATAACCTGTTGTCATCGGTGTGTCTACAGGGTTAGCATCCATCAGATTTAGTTTGCTTAACACATCAGCAATTTTCCGTGACTGGTGTACTAGAATGTTACCATCTTGATCTCTCTCTATTTCCAGAGATAGGTAGTTGTTTACCTCACCAAGATCTTTCATGTCAAAGTGCTCTTTCAGTTGAGCTAGGGCGTTATTGTACATTGCGACATCTTTCCAAAAGAATAATAAATCATCAACATAAAACAAACAGTACAGTTTCTTTTGCCCCTCCTCTTTGACAAATACACATGGATCAGCTTTCCCTTGCTGAAAACCTAGAGAAAACAATACTTCAGTGAGTTTTGTGTGCCAACACCGTGCACTTTGTTTGAGACCATAAAGGGATTTCTTCAGAGCACAAACAAATCCCTGTTTTACCTGTACGCCATCAGGTGGAAGCATATAAAGTGATTCATCTAGAGATCCGTACAGAAAAGCTGTATTAATATCATGGTGACTAATGTGTAGATTTTCCTCTGCAGCTAGCTTGAGCATAAGCCTAATGCTTTCATATCTCACTGTGGGTGAATAGGTCTCGTGATAGTCTTCACCTGGTACCTGTGCAAAACCTCTGGCTACCAATCTGGCTTTGTGTCTGACTATCTTGCCATTTTGATCTGTCTTCGCTTTGAAGACCCATTTGCTTCCAAGCAGTTTCATTCCTGGAACTACTGGAACTAGCTCCCATGTTTTGTTCCTTTCTAAGGAATCAAGCTCAGCCTTCATGGCATTTAACCATGGCTCAGCTTCCTTTGAATCCAAACCCTGGATTTCTTGGAAACTTGAAGGTTCAAATACCTTCTTGGAGCTTTTAACAGCTGTTACTGCTATCTTAGCAAACTCATCAGCAAATCTCTTTGGAGGTTTGCCTTTGTGGCTCTCTGTGACCTACGAATTATCCTTAAGTCTTCAACACTCTCCTCTTCCTTCTTAGGAGAAAACCGACCTATTGTGAACAATGGTTCCTCCAATTCTTGATCAGAGCTTTCAGAGGGTCGCATAGAGGCTTTCGCACTCTTGAAATCCTCTGAATCACCCGATTCAGTTTCAGATTCAGACTCAGAACCTTCATCAGTGGGTGTGGGCTGTTGTGGTTGCTTTTGACTATCCTCAGTCTCATCACCGTCATCAGGATAACATTGGAAAATTCCCACATTCTCCCCCACTTTGCATTGTACTCAACACTTCTCGTGAGCTTAATTGTCTTAGAGTCAGTCATCATTATTCTGTAAGACCCTTTCTGATAACCTAGAAAGATACCATGCAATCCACGCTTGTCTAACTTGGAGTTTTGTGGTGAGCGAACCCACATGTCAGAACCAAAAATCTTCATGTGTTTGATGTATGGCTTCTTGCCAAACATCTTCTCATAGGGGGTACATCCAATCGCTGAAGATAATCTGCGATTGTAACTGTAAACAAAACACGAGAGAGATTCGGCCCAATAACTCTCTGGAAGATTGGCATCATGCAGCAAGGTTTTTAATCCTTGAAGCACTGTCTGATTTGCCTGCTCCGCAAGTCCATTCTGCCATGGCGAGCGAGGACTAGACAAATCGTGTTGAATTCCTTTCTCAGTCAGAAAAGCTTCAAACTGCTGAGAAGTGAATTCCCCGCGATCACTGAAAAGAGTCTTTATCTTCTTACCATGCACATTTTCCAACCAAGCACAGAATTCCTTGAACCTAGGAAAAGCCTCCGATTTCTGCTTGAGATTGTACACAAAAATATATCTAGAAAATGCATCAATGAGAACCATGAAGTACCTATTTCCACCCAAAGAGGGCGCTAGTGGTCCAACCAAATCAGCATGAACAACCTGGTATGGTTCTGTAGCTTTCCTACTAGACACCTTACCTTTCGCAGCCATTTTCACCTTGTTTGCTGCGCATGCTTTGCACTTCATGTGGTACCTGCAGGGTTTAATAGTCATACCTTCAACCAAGGCAGGCATTTTAGATACTGCCTCAAAATGCAAATGACCAAATTTGCGATGAAAATCGTGAATACATTCTGCATGCAAACTTTTGTTAGAACCTGCAATGCAACAAGTGTCATCCTGCACCACATCATCATAATACAAAACAAACAAATGATCAACATATTCTGCATGCAATACATAATCATTTTTCTTTGTGATGATGCACTTCTTGTTCTTGAAGGAAACGTCAATGTTCCGCTCATTCAGCTGTCCAACGCTGAGCAGATTATGTTTGGCGTCTGGCACGTAAAGCACATTCTGTATCGATAAGTCCAAACTGTGAAGAACAACAGTTCCGTAGCCTTTACTGGGAATAGTGTGGTCATCCGCCTGGTGAATCGCACCTTCCTGCGGTGTAAAAGACACAAACAGTTTCTTATCGTTGCACATGTGGTGGGTGGCCGCTGAATCAACAACGAAGAAAGATCTAGACGTCTTCTGGACCTCTGCAACCTTTGGAGTGAAGCGTGAAACCATAGCCTTGTGCTGCGTTGTCCTAGACACCGGACCTTTGCCTTTGCCTCGGCCTTTTCCGCGCGATGAGCTTCGCTGCGCTGCTCTGTCTTGGCCCTGGGATGTCTGCATTCCCTCTTCATATGGCCTAGACGTCCACACGAGTAGCATTTCACTGCCTTCAAAGCTTTGGCGCCATCTGGTGGTTCCACTGCACTATGGGATGACGTCTGTGAAGACTCCCTTGCCCATGCAGCTAGCACCCCGGCGATCTGCTTCATTTAAAATCACGGCAGTAACAAAGTCCACTGTCAGCTGAGCAGTTGGTTGCACAGCAATCTGGGTTGCAACAGACTCCCAACCTGAACCCAAAGATTGTAGTATCATGAAAGAATACACAGCCTCTGGAAAGTTGAGTCCTCTCTGTTGCAGCTCATGTCTCAGATTTTGCATCTCCATTAGATGTAAACGCACATCTCCACCTTCAGCAAGAGCCATATTATGCAGCTTGTTAAAGTAAAACATAGTGGATCCAGCTTCTGTCCTTAAGTGAGCCTCTCTCAGAGCGTCCCAAATTTCTCTGGCTGAGGTCTTATCACGCAATAGACAGAGCTCTTCTGGGGATACTATCAATGTAAGAGTTCCCTTGCTTTGGAATCCTTAGCTTCCCATGCATCTGTAACTGGAACTGGGGGTTCCTGTAATCACCTCAAACAAACCCTCTTTCCGCAGAATTGCCTCTGCATACTGAACCCAGTCGCTGTAATTTTTCTTGTTGAGCTTAGGAATCCCACAAGCATCCTGAAGGGCCATCATGACTCTGGCATTAGCCTTCAGCGTCATATCTGCTGCTTTAAATCTTGCTGCGTCACTGCTGCAGCTGCCTCATTACAAAGGCACACTTAAAAGTTACTTTCGATTTCCCCAGCATAGTGACTTGTGCCTGGGAGCCTTTTGCCTATTCCCGGCAACCGGCTTTAAAAGTTCAAAGTCCAGCCATAAAGCCATTATCTTGAAGCTGGCAGGCTGCCCGGAGCAGTAGCACATACCTCATCAATCACTTCTACGCGCAGAGCAGATTCCTTTCCGATCCGTCCCTCTGCATTCCGATCCTCTGCCGGCACTCCGATTCGACCTCTGTAGCCCATAACCACGTGTTGATTTAAAGCAGAGTCTCTGGTGCCCAGCGGAAGGATGAGGAAAATGTGTTACATACTCTATATTGCTTTATTTACAGTTCAAAGCTGGTATATTACAGAAAGACATCTTGCCTCTGCCAGAGCAGAGAAATGCATCCTCTCTCCTCGACAGCTTGGAGAGAATCACACAGTGAAAAACAGGAAACCAGTGTACGTCACATCCAGTCTCCCTTTCCCGTGAGAAACTCCAACAGTACAGACTGTGGAATGTAAACACCTGTCTTGTGACTGCAGTTGCTGCTCAGTGAAGGAAATAGAAACCAACAGAAATGTCCCTGAAGTTCTTTCCACAATCCATGCATTTAAATGGTTTCTCATCTACGTGAGTTCGTTCATGTGAACGAAGCTGTGAAATGTCCCTGAAGTTCTTTCCACACTCCATGCATTTAAATGGTTTCTCCCCTGTGTGAGTTCGTTCATGTGACCGAAGGTGTGAACTATTAGTGAAGTTCATTCCACACTGCATGCATTTAAATGGTTTCTCCCCTGTGTGGGTCCTTTGATGGTTTCTATAGCTTGAACTCTGACTGAAGCTCTTTCCACACTCCATACATTCAAATGGTTTCTCCCCTGTGTGAATCCGTTGATGTTTTCTAAGTGTTCTATTATCAGCGAAGCTCTTTCCACACTCCGTACATTTATATGGTTTCTCCCCTGTGTGAATCCGTTGATGAACTCTAAGAGTTCCACCATCACTGAAGCTCTTTCCACACTCCATACATTTATATGGTTTCTCCCCTGTGTGAATTCGTTGGTGAGCATGAAGGTGCGACCTCTCTCTGAAGCTCTTTCCACATTCCATACATTCAAATGGTTTCTCCCCTGTATGAATCTGTTGATGTTTTTTAAGTGTTCTATAATCACTGAAGCTCTTTCCACACTCCATACATTTATATGGTTTCTCTCCTGTGTGAATCCGTTGATGAACTCTAAGCGTTCCACTGTCACTGAAGCTCTTTCCACACTCCATGCATTGAAAGGCTTTCTCCCCTGTGTGAGTTCGCTGATGCACCTGAAGGTGTGGCCTCTGTCTGAAGCTCTTTTCGCACTCCATACACTCAAATGCTTTCTCCCCTGTGTGAGTTTGTTGATGTGCATGAAGGTGTGACCTCTGTGTGAAGTTCTTACCACACTCCATACATTTAAATGGTTTCTCTCCTGTGTGAGTTCGTTGATGTCTTCTAAGTGTTCCGCTACCAGTGAAGCTTTTCCCACACTCCACACATTTAAATGGTTTCTTCCCTGTCTGTTGATGTTTTCTAGGCGTTCCACTATCATTTAAGCTTTTTCCACGCTCCATAGCCTGAAATGGTTTCACTCTTTGAGTTCATTGATGTGAAATTTGTGTGTTCATTGACTGAATCACATGCCACTTTCAATGCATTTAAATAGTTTCTTTGTTAATCCTAAGGAAATTTCAGATGTCCCCCAGAATTCTGACTGTCTTCTCCACTGCTTTATTTGGAGTGCATGGAACATAAACTCCTATTCGTGTTTCAAAGAAGAAAACAAAAGAATATGAAGCACATAAAGTTCAATTAGCACCTTCTCCTATTTTAACATCTCATACATCCTTCCATGTCGTCCCCCCCACATGTCATAGAATCATAGAACTGGAGAGTTGGAAGAGACCCTGGGGACCATCTAATCCAACCCCCAGCAGTACAGAATTGTCCATGAACACTAATCCTCCAGCTCCGGGCCATATTTTTCCTCAATCAACCTCTATATATTTCTTTTTCTTTTTAAATTGAATGTTATTAAGCAAAACAAATCTTAAAATGCACACAGAACATACAGTACTAACATACATCCCATACAGTCTGTACAATATAAAGATTGTGAAAAGTAGAAGTAAATAAAAGAAAATACAAACAACAGACAAAAAAGTAGAAGTAGTAAAAGTATAAGCAGAAAAGGAACTCACTCACAGAAGCAATACCTTTTTTAAAAAAATGCAATACGGAAGGACAATAGGCAACTTACAGAGATATTCTGGAATTTTTGGAAGAAGAAATAAAATTGAATAAACAGGATGAGATGGGACGTGTGGTGGCAGATTGGTTTCAATACCATCAAATCATCTTGTTTAGACAAGATAAAAGGAGAGGTTTTTTTACTCCAGGTTTGAAAGAGCTGTTATTGCGAGTAAAGAGAAAGTGATTTCCAAAATGTACAAGATGCTATCAGAATGGGAAACAAAGAATAAACTGGTAAAATCAGCAATGATACACTGGGTCAGAAATATAGGTCATAATTAGAGCTGGGCGATATATTGGTATATTGTCCAAGACTGGCTTGAAGTTTACATCGTGATAACTGTTTCCTAATACTGAGCTGGCAATATATTATGAATCACAATGTGTGCAAGGGCTAGGCGATACCTATTTTTCAACATTGCAATAACTTACCAGCTAAACGCTGTAATGGTAGTAGCAGCTAAACCTCACAATATCACCTGCTAAACATTGCAGGGCTATTAGCAGATAAAGATCGTAATGTTATCATTACCAAAACTCACAATATCACTTGTGGTTTATTACCAGCTAAACCTCACAATATCACCTGCTAAACGTTGCCATGTTATCAGCAGCTAAACATTTCAATCAGCCACAAGGTCTGAAATAGGGGTGGAACTGTACAGAGGAGAACAGCACAATGTCCTTGCAATTGCTACTACTTAGGGGTCTAAAATGGATAAATGACAATATTATCAATCATCATCTCAGCGGGACTTTTGGGTTTGGGCTAGGCTATAATTGGTGGTATTCAGGACAATCCAAAGTATGGCTAGGAGTCCTAGTGAATACAGATAATCTGGGACTGCCAGACTACCAGCAGGGAGGCTGGGTGATGGGAGGGGTCAGGGGTGCTGCAAGGGGAGGGGTCTCTGTGGAGGCTTCTCTCCCTTCCATTAACCCTTCCATGGACTCCCTCTCTCCGTTTCCCCAGCAAGGCACCCCATGACCCCAGGGATTCCTGCCAGGGGGAAACCGGGAGAATGGGGGGCCTCAGCCCAACCCCCAGCCCTGCTTGGGGTCCTTATTTCCCTTCCCGCCAAGGCGTCCAAGGGGGTCAGGCAGTGGCGTAGCGTGGGGGGTGCAGGAGGGGCTGGCCGCATCGGGCGCAACATCTGGGGGGGGGCGCGCACGCTCGTACTCGCAGCTCTCTGCCCCTACCTGGCTCACTCACTCAGAGTGAGAGTTAGGGGGCGCAAATTACTTGCCTTGCCCCGGGTGCTGACAACCCACGCTACGCCACTGGGTGCAGGGCAGCTGAGCATCTCTCGGCCCCCCAGGAAAGAGAAAGGGGAGTCTGGCGGTGCTGCTGCTGCCCAGGAGATCTTGCAAGGCAAACCCTGCAGGTGTTGGGTCCTCACTTCCCACCTGGATCGCATGGATGCGGGCCCCTGTCGATGGGCACCAGGGAGGGCGCTTTCTTGGAGGGGGTCTCTTTGTCCTCGCCCCCCCTCTTCCCCCCTCTTTTCCCACTCTCCCTCTTTACCTCTTTGTCCTCTCTGGTCCTCCGCCTCCCTGGCTCCACATTAGTCCGCTTTCCTTATGTGCAAAGAAAGGGATTTTTTTTTGGGGGGGGGTTATTCACTGACGCCCCTCCTCCCTATTCCGAATCTACACTTTTGACGGCACATTTAGCAGCGACACTTCCGGTTCCTTTTGGGATGCGCTTGCCCCTAGAGCTACTTAGTAGAGAGCAGCCCCTTGCTGTGTTGGGATGGGAAGCGGACGGGACGGCGCTGCCTTTAGCCTCCTGCTCTTGGGGCTCCGTCTTCCCCCCACGTTGCCTCTCCTCCCCACAGCAGAGGGTGGAGATGGCTGCGGGAGGGGCATCGTATCTTCAAAAGACCAGATTGATGGACTGCCAACTACCTTTCTTTAGCATAACACTTGATAGATTCTCCAGCAGAGACATTTAAGCAAGCACAATTATACAGAAGTGAATATAGCTGTTTATTTTATATAAAAACAGGATCAATAATAATTTCTGACCCCACAATGGGAAGTCGCCAAGATAAATTAATAGATTTTGATGTAAATTGTATTTCCTCTTCTCCTTCCTCATGGCTGGACTTGAGACAACGCAGCAGCAGCAGCAGCATTGGAAACAGAATCTAGCCTGGGACTTCTGGGGGTTCGAGGGAGAGGATGAAGCTGCCAGGAAGGAAGACATGGGGGGGGGGCAGCTGATTTTCAGGGATCCCTTTCTCTGACGCTTTATAAGATCCCTGGGCAGGAGGGAGAAGCTCAGGCAGCCCCTCCAGAGGCGGGGACCATCCCCAGGCAGGAGCCTCAGCCGGAGACGGAGCGAAAACAGCCGCAGGAAAAGGGTAGCTAATATTGGGGGGGGGGGGCTGGATCTCCCCAAGAGGGGAGGAGTCTCCTCCAGGGAAGGGGCTGCGGGGGCTCCTCTCTGTCTCCCCCCTGGGTGTTTCTTCATGGGGCTCCTCAGACACCAGCGCCAGGGATGTTTCTTGCACAGGGGAGCTGGGGGCTGGAGGGGGCTTTTATTGGGGGGAGGGGTCTCCTTACTGGGGGGCTGCCAGGTCTCCTCGGGATGAAGGCTGGGGGGCGAAGAGGGGGAGCCCCTCCCTCAGCAGACAGTTATTCCCCCCTTGAAACTTCCTTTCTCTTTCCGGATACATGAAGGAACGAAGTTTAGGGGCTTAAAACGCAACAGAAGAAAAGCGCATCTCGCTGTTTTGAAGCCTGAGTCTGAAATTCCCCTTTTTGCTGCCAGAGGAAAGTTTTGGATGGAACTGACAGATTCTTGTGAAGCTTTATATTCCCCCTCAGGTTTTCCGGGGGGCTTCCGGGAAGATCTTGATTCACCCGCGACAACAATGGAGACATCAGAAGCAGCTGAGAAGGCAAAGAGGAACTTGCAGATCGAGCGAGAGCAGAGAGAGCCCTTGCTAATGCTCTTGCCAGGAGTTCCCTGCCTGGCGACCGATGACGCTGCCTCGGCTGGGAGGCGGATTGGACGCTCGCGGGGCGGAGAGGTGGAGTGGGCGGGGCTTGGGCAGGAGTTTCCCCCGGGGCTGAGCGGAGAAAGTCCCATTTGGGAGTCTTCGGGGGGCGAAGAAGAGAGAAGGATGGGGGGCTCCGGCGCTGCGCCTTTGGCCTTTGGGGGGCTCCTGCTGGGGATGGGGGCGCTGGTGGTCTCCGCTTCGGAGGGGCTGGGCGTGGAGGCGCCTCCAGGTGAGCAAAGAGTCTGCAATGGGGGGAGAATGAAGGGGAAACTCCGCTTAGCGGGACCCCCATCGGTGGGGCTCCTTTGAGGATCCCTCCTGGATGGTCTTCCATGATCTTAACAGGGAGTCCGTAAGTGACTGTGGAACCAATTCTGGATCCTCACGTCCTTCCACAGGGGGGACATTGGTTTCCGGGTGGGAGTAGATCACAGTGTGGATTTGCCAGGCGTGCCTTCCTCTTAGCACGTTTCCCCCTTGCGTCCTGAGTTCGAGCGTCTTCAAAGCCCAGGACGCCTTTATAAAGCTGTTCTCCAATTGGAGCGCTCGCAGACCAGTGTTTCCCAGTTGTCAGTGTTTATACTACATTTTATTAGATTTGCCTTGAGAGAGAATCCCAGGACGCCTTTGAAGAAGAAGAAGAGTTTGGATTTGATATCCCACTTTATCACTACCCGAAGGAGTCTCAAAGCGGCTAACATTCTCCTTTCCCTTCCTCCCCCACAACAAACACTCTGTGAGGTGAGTGGGGCTGAGAGACTTCAGAGAAGTGTGACTGGCCCAAGGTCACCCAGCAGCTGCATGTGGAGGAGCGGAGACGCGAACCCGGTTCCCCAGATTACGAGACTACCGCTCTTAACCACTATACCACACTGGCTCTCTTTGGTAAAGGCTCTTCTCCAATTGGGGCACTCGCAGGCCAGTGTTTCCCAGTTGTCTGTGTTTATACTACATTTTTAAAGATGTGCCTTGAGAGAGTCTTTGAACCTCTTTTGCGGACCACCAGCATTACACTTTCCTTTTTAAAGTTAGGACTAGAGTAGTTGCTTTAAAAGAAGTTAATCAGGTATCTGATCAACATGGTTTAGTTCAGCGAAGTTGGTGTTGAAGAATCCTTGCTTCCCCACAGGGGACCTTTGCTTCTTCCAGGACACTGGGGGCAAAGGGGCAGGAGAGAAGGGGAAACACTCCCCCCACTGAAAAAGAGCAGCTCAGCCTTCTTGGACTGGGAAGGAGAGAGCATTTATTTATTGCTATTAATTATATGCGACCTTTCAGGATTAAAATCCTACCCCAGCAGCTTACAAGTAACA